GTTTTTTGACCCTTGCGGCTTCTATGTTGTTGTGAATCGTTTGACGCTCGAAGCTTGCGGCTTCTAGAGGCCAGAGGTTCTGGTTTACTTTGTCATACTGCAGCTGAAGTGTCGAGTTTCATGGATTTTGCAACTGCAGGGTCTCTGTTCAGACTCTGTTCTGCTTATTGCGCAACTTTTTCTGAGAGGCGACCCAAACCGTAGGAGAGTGCTTCGCACCCCCAAGGTTTGCCGTTGTCAATCATTGGTGTGATGTATAACCGGGCAGCCGGCCTGCGTATGCTTGCGTGGAGCAGGGCTTCCCACCTTTGCCGAGGCGCCTTCCCGGAAGATGCTCAAGTGCGTCATCTCCCAAGGTGCAGCGGCGTCGGCTGGCAATTTGTGCTGTCGCTCATTCACCACCAACGCAACCTCAAACTAGTGACTAGTGGGCCACAGGACTTGGCCTCGTCGGGAGGTGGCTTGGGCAGGCACAAGTCACAGAACACGCCTGGCAAACAGAGCTGTGATGGTCAAGCCTCTCATTCTCACACGCTCACGCTCACGCTCACGCTCACTCTCACTCACTCTCTCACGCTCACGCTCGCTCTCTCTCTCGCTCTCTCTCTCCTCTCTCTCTCTCTCTCTCTCTCTCTCTCTCTCTCTCTCTCTCTCTCTCTCTTCTCTCTCTCTCTCTCTCTCTCTCTCTCTCTCTCTCTCTCTCTCTCTCTCTTCTCTCTCTCTCTCTCTCTCTCTCTCTCTCTCTCTCTCTCTCTCTCTCTCTCTCTCTCTCTCTCTCTCTCTCTCTCTCTCTCCTCTCTCTCTCTCTCTCTCTTCTCTCTCTCTCTCTCTCTCTCTCCTCTCTCTCTCTCTCTCTCTCTCTCTCTCTCTCTCTCTCTCTCTCTCTCTCTCTCTCTCTCTCTCTCTCTCTCTTTCTTTCTCACTCTGACGGTCACGTCAGGCTCACGGTCACGCTCACGGTCACGGCTCGTACTCTCACTTTCAGTCTCACTCTCATTGTCACTCTCACTCTCAATTCTCACTTTCACTCTCACTCTCACCCTCACCCTCACTCTCACTCTCACTCTCACCCTCACCCTCACCCTCGCTCTTGCTCTCGCTCTCGCTCTCGCTTTCGCTCTCGCTCTCGCTCTCGCTCTCACTCTCACTCTCACTCTCACTCTCACTCTCTTTCTCTTTCTCTTTCTCTTTCTCTTTCTCTTTCTCTTTCTCTTTCTCTTTCTCTTTCGCTCTCTCTCTCTCTCTCTCTCTCTCTCTCTCTCTCTCTCTCTCTCTCTCTCTCTCTCTCTCTCTCTCTCTCTCTCTCACTCTCACACTCTCTCTCAAACCTTGCCGACCCAACTGCAGCTTCAACATCTGGGACGACCAGGACGTCGCAAGGCTCCTCACCAGCACCTGCATTCTCAGCCATGCGCCGAGACAAAAAACGAGGCACAACCATAACGAGGCACAACCAGTCACCTGCAACAACTGGTCCTTCACGAACTATGGGCCATGTGTAGACTATGAGTGCACGCAAAACTTTCCCTTGCGTGTCGTTTTCTGAAAGACAGGTGCAAGGCCATTTCGGCAACCAACCAATGCCCTTCGAAAAGCACCAGACAATGGCAGTGGGGAACCGACGAAGCAAAACAGGAGATCCAAAGTGATTCGCCAGCGGATCATGCTGTGGTCAACCTGGCCCCAGACACGATGCTTTAGCAGCTTCAGCTCATGCGCGCTGTCCAGTTTTTCAAATTTATGAAGAGATGAATCTGAAGAACTAAAAGCCCCAGACCTGAACAGACCATTTGATTGCTTTTTGTGTCTTGTGTCGCACGCCGTCTCCAAGAGTCACACATATCACATCACATGTCACATGAGCCAGATCCTGATACACAACCGCCAGAACTGCAACAGCAGCTACAACCACGTCGTCGTCATCATCATCATCATCATTCATCATTCATCATTCATCATTCATCGTTCATCGTTCATCATTCATCGTTCGTCATTCATCACTCATCATTCATCATTCACCATTTATCATTCATCATTCATCACCCACCATTCACCATTCATCATTCATCACTCATCAGTCATCAGTCACCAGTCATCGTGCGGCATTCATCATTCATCATTCATCATTCATCATTCATCATTCATCATTCATCATTCATCATTCATCATTCATCATTCATCTTTCATCTTTCATCACTCATCATTCATCATTCATCATTCATCATTCATCATTCATCATTCATCCTTCATCATTCATCATTCATCTTTCATCATTCATCATTCATCCTTCATCATTCATCATTCATCATTCATAATTCATCAGGCATCATTCATCGGTCATCGGTCATCGGTCATCAGTCATCAGTCATCAGTCATGATTCCTCATTCCTCGTTTTGCCGATGACACTTGCGGAGGCTCCCTGAGACCGCGGAGGGGAAGGCCCTTTGGCAGCCGGACCCTGCGTGCCATCCATCCTCATTCCTCATTCCTCATTCCTCATTCCTCATTCCTCATTCCTCATTCCTCATTCCTCATTCCTCATTCCTCATTCCTCATTCCTCATTCCTCATTCCTCATACATCATTCCTCATACATCATTCATCATCAATCATCATCATCATCATCATCACTATCATCTATCAACGCAACAGCAGAAAGAACATCAAGAAGAACCGAAGCAGCAATGGCAGCAACAACAACTAACAACCGCAGCAAACACACAACACTAACATGGACGACGACTTGCAACATCAGCGCTTGAAAAAGCAGCAACATCCTCAGCATCCTTGCAGCCTGAGACAAGGCAAAGCAATGCGTCACATCAGTCACAGCAGCATTTTTTCCCGCTCCAGCCATGGTGTAAAATGCTTGGTCTGAGTGTCGGGCTTGCGCATACCAACATGGCTTAAGGCCCATGGACCTAATTTGGCCAGAAGCTTCCACCAGCCACAGACCTTGTGCTTCACATGAATCTTCACCATTGGCTCGTTGTAAAGGCCGACAAAACTGCTCCAGTACGAGAGCCACATTGTTTAGGTCTAAGGAGACAGCAAATCGCAGGGGGGTTCAGGATTGGGTTCCCAAAAAAACCCACAACCAACATTTGGTTGGTGGAAACCCCCGCGCATTCTCTCCGAGAGGTTTGGGCAGGTCCCACAGGGCAAGGGGCGGGGGCAGGAAAGTTGGCAACCAGATTACTGATCTGCGGACGCCTCTCGGCTTGAAACCGAGGCGAATTTGGCGGCTGAGCAGCTTGCGTACCCTCCACCACCCTGCCGCCGTTTTCGGCTGAAGTGCCTTTCGCGAGTCAGCGTGTTCTTGGCCGGCTGGGGGCTGAGTGCTGCAGGTGTGCGGTGGTACTGTTGATCCTAGAGCCCTTGGCTCGGGGTTTAGGGATAAGAGTTTAAGGTCTTGTAGGTTCCAGGTTTGAGCTTGCTTAGGTTTGTTAAGGGTGCAGCCAAACCCTGCAACCCTGCCCCCCCAAGCCCGAACAAAGCCCTAGCCTTCTCAATTTGAAACAACCGCAGAAAGTGCTTGAAAGAGAATGGTTCTGTAGACTCGCGGGTCAGTTGAGGCCATGGGCATGCCGCGCCTACGGCATCACGATGCCAGGGCCTCGCCATCTCTGCGATGCTCAGGTCATCGAGCAGACATCTTTGGGAGCTGAAAAGCTGCCACCCTGACGTCGAAACTCCAGCTCTAAACATTCCCCTACAGAACACTGCAAAGTCAAAACGGACTCAAAACACGGATTCTGGGCTGATTTTTGATTTGGCTGGACTTTGGAGTCGCTTAGGCTCACCCGGAAGCCTGATAGCCCACGATGTGCTTTAACAAAGCAGAGGTTGCCGTTGGAGCCCTGCTAGTCATGTTCCTGGCCGCGGGCACAGACATGGGTTCCGCGAACTTGGTGCGGTTCTTTGATGCCCATAGTTTCGGGACCCTGATCCCCCAAAAGCCGAAAACCCCAAGCCTGAAGCAGTAAACCCTAAAGCCAGGAAACCCCAAAAACCTTCAGGCCGTCAACTTAAACCTCCAAAACCCTACAACCCTAACCACCAACAGTTCTGGGTAAAGGCTGGGCAAACCCTTGGTAAAGGCTTCGGGCTCAGAATGTCTAGCGGCGCCTGAGTCATGTAGCACTCGCCTGTGCCGGGGTGCTGGGTCTGGAGCCTAAGCGGTCCTTTCCTGGCCAACCTGTTAGGGGGGGGGTTTAGGGTTTTGGGGCCGAGGCCTTGCCAGCTTGGCGGCTGTCGTTCATCGCGGCCTACAAGGCACCCCTCCCAGCCCGTCTTTGTAGCGGGGTGCTACACAGCCTGAAAACCTCTGGAGGAGCCGACGGCGCGGAGCTGGTAGCTGCCCCAAATCTTTGAGCTCCTCGAGACCCCCCTGGCAACACGCGAAACCCTAGCGGCCCTGAACCCGGCCTGAACCCTACCTCCTCAGCTTTCTAACTCCTGAACCTAAAAGCCCTCGTGTAAGCAACCTCTCCTGAAGCTTTGAGTCGTGACACCCCAAACTTCAGGGTTTGACATGCGCTTGAGGGTGGTGTGCTGTTAATCGAAACAGGTTCAGGCTGAGTTACGGCCGGGATCTCATGGATAGGTGAGTTCTAAGATGTTCTATGGTGCGAGTCGTTTTGGGACATCATCCCCTAAACCGGATTCGATTTACCCTGGCCTGGCTCTTCGTTGCTCTTCTTCATCCAAGGCGCCATCTCAGGGACATGTCTTCGTCTCAGCGAGATTTGGGGTTTTATGGGTTGTTCACTGTAGATTTTGCGATGTTCGGGGCGTTGAAATTGTGGGGCGTCGCCATTTTCTTTGGTTCGAGGCTATTGGTTAATTTATTCCGCTTTATGCAGGAACAGAAGGTTGTCACCTGTTGGATGGTTTTTGTTTTAGCAGGTCGAGTTGAGAAGGGACTTGATTGACTTGATCGAGTGAGAGGTTAGGGTTTCAGGTTTGAAGGCTCGTGTCGTGGATGTTGCTTCGCCGAGGATGTGCGATCCTCGACTCTGAATCACCGCTATGAACATGGATGGCAGGCGCATTGTGCCACAGCTGTACAATTGACGCTGCTCTTTTAGAACCGGGACGAGGACACGAAACTTATGAAGTATACATGTCATGAGATGAGGCTCAAGGACATGATGCCTCAGCGTCAAAATGCAAACTTTGCGCGCCCTACGCCCACAATTCGAAATTCCAAGCCCATCCTTCGTTCAAAGGGTGGATTTACAGGCCGCAGCACCGCTGAAGACGACATCCAAGGCCGGCCACTCAGGTGTATTGTGCATGGAACTGGAGGTGCTCGGAGTCTTGGGTTTCGGTGCCCATGGCAAGACCCATACAAACCAACAGAGCTTTCTTGGACATGCTCTTGCCCATTCAGTCCTAAATCCGATGTGGCTGTTGCACTGTTTGAGTTTTGGCCAGGCTAGGGACCTCTTGCTATCTCTAGGAGGTGCCAGTGCTGGCTCTCGCGCTGCTGGCCTGCTCCGCGGTGGCCCGATCCGCCTTCGTGGGCGTCTGAGTGTAGGGGTTCATGTCTCCTTACAGCTAGCTGTTGGATGGTCGGATTCCTTTTTCACAAGGTTTTTTTGTTAGCAGGAACCCTAATTTGGAGCAACACCCAATGCCCATCTCGTGCTTTGCTGTTTGGAGGTGTCAGCCAGACCCTACATGCCCCAAACTCCCATCCTAGAGCATGTTGCCAAAGCCAGCACAACACCTGCGAGAAGACCCCACAAGATGGCAAGATCAGGGTTGGATTCGCCCCGAGGCGAGCTCTGCCGCGAAGAGGCGGGTTTGCACACTGTCCTTCCGTTTAGGATTCATGCTGAGTGGGTTGCTCCTGGTTGATGTTGCGTGAAGCCTCCCTTACACCTGTGCTTGCTTGCAGCGACGGCACTGTGTGCAGTCACTCAGTTTGAATCGCCTGCAGCTGCGGCGGAATGACTTATACACTTTGCATGCCAGCATATGGCCGCCCCTTGGTGCGGTTTTCTGTCGTCTGAACCTCCATTGGGGCGGCGCTGCAGAACCTTAGTACACCACAACAACTTTTTTAGGGTAGGGCTATTCAATGGCACTCAGATTGTGTTGTCTGCCGTAACTTGTAAACCCGAAACCCTAACCATAAATCACGAGACTTTGTTGAAGGATTTTTGGCCATGTTTCGTCAGAGTTTTGTAGGCTTGGTTGGGCTCGTTGGGCTTAGGGCCTGCCTGAGTCCCCAGTTGCAGCAGGATCTATAGTGTTTTGGGGCACAGACACCCTAAATCCGCAACCCCAAACCAAGTATGGCCGTTGTGGTAGTGCCCCCCAAAGGATTTTTCCGCCAGGGTACGGGTTGCTCCAAAACCTCGCTGCGTCCTCGTCGCGGCAACATCGCAGGCACGACCGTGCATGAGCTTACGAATCCCATGAGCCCAAGCTCTAAACCCAATAAACCCCCAAGACGGCTGGGACGGGGTGCCTGTGGGTTGGGATGGTGGTGGTGAGTTCAGGGTCGTAATCAATCGTTTGCCGTGCAATATGGCTACCAACGAGTTCGATGTAGACCTGCCCTCAAGGAGTAGTCCTCAGACTCCAACCCAATCTCCGCCCACAGCTAGTGGCTTGGGATAGGTTTGTTTTATGAATTTTGGGGGGTTTGGGGAAGGGGGCGGGGGGAGGGGATGGGGGTCGCCTGGGCAGGGCTTCAGGGTGCCCTAAACCCCAAAGGATACCTTGCCTATTTTCGGACCCACGCCAAAAAGCTAAAATACAATCTTAGGAAATTATCTTCTTCCCAATGCTTACTTCTACCCCGGTGGCCTAGGTGGCAAGGGGGGTCTTATGGAATTTGGTTCAGGGTGTGGGGTTAAGGGTTAATAGTTCGCTTAGCTTCTTGGTTTCTCCGTTCATGTTATATCTATCATGTCAATATATTCTTTGAAACCGCTTACGAAGTAGTTTTACATTCTAATTTTTTTGTGGGGAAAAGCTACTGAGTTCGATTTTGGATTAATGACGTGATCATACTTGGTTTCACTCTCCTGAGCTCTTATGTTGTTCTAGTTCTTTGCGTGTTCAGGTTTTCTTCTAAATACTTCGTGTCATTATTTCTTTTTGAGTCACAAATAATTTCAACGTGCTCAATCATTTTTGAGTATTGTTTTATTCGCTCCTGATCTTCTGTAACTTGGTTTTCTAGCAGTTGAATGTCTTGCATCATGTTGCCACAATCTCCGCATCAAAGTATTGAAATTCACCTGTTTTAACTTTCGCAACTCGGCAGTTTCAAAGTACGTTCTATTTCGTCTGTCTTCAGCTTGTATATTCTAACAATGTATTTGGCGTCTATGTTGTATGTGTTCAGGTTTGTGTAATCCATGTTCCGTGCTAATTCACCTAGGTGTTATTTCTTTACGTCATTTTCCTCAGAAAATTATACTCTTAAGATTTCCTGGATCACGATTATTTGACACACTTATCTAAGCATTCAGAACAAGTCAAGGTGTATTTAACATAGTTGTAACAGTACAGTATGTTCGCTTGAAACAGTGTACATCTTCGACTTGTTTGCGCCGATAACATTTTCTCACAACATTCACATCTGGTTCACTACATGCATCAAAATCAACGAAGATCTTATTTGCTTTTATTGGCATAAAATGAATACAACATTCTGGGGATCTTGTTATAAATTGATATATTTATAACAAGACAACTTTCCTTAAGATTCGGCGAAACGAATGGCGAACAAGTATCATTTCCACACTCTTATGGTGCTTCTGAATCTGTTCCTCACACGGGAGCAATGGGACTTTCTAGATGTCTGGCCAGGGTCTGCAAACACAGTCAAGTTCCTATCGAACTTTTTGACTTACAGATTATCCATCACATTCAAAATCTTCTTTAGACTGCTTACGTCTTTACCTTTCAACATCCTCCACCTTTTTCTAACCTCTTTTCTGGGGAAGGCTTTCTTGATCCCCATCCAGTAGACACTGTATCAACACCTTCGTTCAGAATTATAACAGTCAATACTGTCATGATATAATGATCAGTGTTTCTAGCTGTAAAAGAGCTACTAAACCACCGCTTGGTACTGCTGGGTTGTTATTGGCTAAATATATTTGTTTTTATTGCGGATGTCCTAAGATTGTGTTTAATCTTTTTGGTGTGGGTGGTGCCAATTGCCGAAAAATAGACAAGGTTTGCAGTAGCTAAGATCAGGTGACCCAGTGTGCCTGCCCGTCGACTCCTGGACCTTTGATCTCCATCGGAGAGGCGGCGATCGAGGCGCTAAGGGCCCTTAACAAAGGACTTCCCAAAGGACTTTGGGGGGAGGGGGGCTTGCAGGTTTTGTCGGGCCGCACTTCCGGTGCGCGGAGTTTGGGAGGCCCGGGTCCAAGGCGACCTCTGCGTTTAGAGGACATGAAGATCATGAGGTGACCCCCGCCTCTGTGAACACTGGATCCTGAACTCGAGCCTTGAACCTCATCCGAGCAATTGTCTCACGAGGCCTTTGGCAGTGCTGCAAATCGTAATGAGTTTTCATGCGATGGCAGATTCCATCGTCTCCATGTCTCCATCACGCCTCTGTCTTCTGTGATGTTGCTAGGCATTGTAGCGCGCGGCAAAGTTTGTAAGTGTAGCAGTGTTGCAGACCTCTGTGGCACCCAGGGAAGCCACCCCCGCAACCGTGAAGCTCATTGCTGGCTTGGCTCCAAGCCCCCGAAACCCAAAGCCTGAATTTCCTTTAAAAGATCCCGGTGCTTCAGGCACACAGAGCAGCGCCACCGGTTGAGATGGATGGCCTCCGCGATATGCAGAACGGAAGGCTTCGGGCATAGGTATCAGGGCATTTAGAGTCCCCAACTCTGGGATGGTGGATGACCTTCACAGCACCCCAGCTGTTTTTCAAAGAGCGACATTGCGGGATCATCGCTCGGACCAGAAGGGGAAAGCCCCCTCAACCAGAGACACTTCCAGCCAGGGTCGCCTGGCCTGCACGAGATTCCCAGCCTGGTGCACAGCGGAGGAGACGCAGCGCGGACCAGGTGGAGCTGTGGGTGATTTGTTGCTTTCAGAAAGGACACAAGGGTCCTGGGGTTCAAAAGTTCAGAGCTTTCTGGGTTTTCGGGGTCGAGTCAAGGGCATGGAACAACCCTAAAATCCCGTCATCTCTAAACTCTAAATTCTAAATCTCCTTCAAATTTTGAAACTGTATGCCCGAGCATGCTGCCTGCCGCTCTGACATTCTCGAGCGAAGACGCAAACGCGCCCAAGTGATGCGCATACGATCAGGCCTAAGCGGTCTGGGGATGAGGGTGTAGTGAAAGCAGTACATGCATTCAAGTGAATTCAAAAAAATGGGTCACGGGGTGAGCCGGGGTAGTGCTTGAGGTGTGGGGCTTCCGGGCGTAACTACGCCTTAACCCCAAACAGCAGGTTTTGGAGAACAGGATCTAGGTGTTGGGGGGTCGGGTTTAGGTCCGGCCGGGTTGGAGCATTTGGGCGGCTTTCGTGCTGACCGGAACATCTCGATTTCCCTTCCCTGCCTGCAGCCGAAAAAAGGACCTTGCAACCCGAGCTCCTGCAAGCTTTCAGCTATGCCTCAAATCCTTCATCACCAAAGGCCCTGAAGCCCTGAAGCCCCGGACGTTAACACCAACACTCAACCCCAAGCCCGAACGGACCCGGCCCTGAGCAGTGCCCCAAAACGGCCTTTGAAAGAGCAGTTTTCAGTTGAACATCTTAAAGACCCCCCCGAAGAGCAATGCCAGCTGAAAGGGTGCGCGGCAGCGCCGCCGAGCCTTTGGGGCCCGGCTGATGGGCATTCACCCAGTGCCCGGGGCCAGAGAGGTTTCGTGGCACGGTTCCTGGGTCGTTTGAAGCGGCCGGGATCTGGCGAGATTGAAGGCGAGGAGAACTGGAGCCCCAAGCAAAATGCAAACCCTGGCCCCAAGCCTGCGAGACCCGAAGCTGGTAGCAGAAGCGCCGCAGCAGTAAACACCGCCCGAAGCCCCAAACCTGGGGCCCTGGAGCCTCAAACCTGATGCCCTCCCCTTGCTTAGGCCGCAACCCGACTCTAAGCTCGCAGCCCTGGACATGAGCAAGGTCCGGAACAAGGTGCGGGGGTCGGGATTTTGGCGCTTCCGAGGGGGGGGGGGGGGGGGGCGGGTCATAGGGTGGAGGTTGGCCTTCCCGCTTCCACAGCTCCACATCTCTGCCCGCTGCTTTTCCTTGACTTGGTGCTCGAGTTCCTGGGCCAAACCATGGGTATATGTAGGCATTAGTGATAGACTGTTCAGACATTAGGTCAGACACAGACGCCACATGTAAAACGTGGTTCGCATGCGGCCTCGAAACCAGAGCTGCGGCCTGTTTACCTCAATGTTTACATGTGAAAGTGCTCAATGCAGTGTTTGCCCACCTGTTGTGGGTGCCAGTGAAACTTGGTGGTCGTATGGCAAGACTCTGACAGCAAGTCGGCCGGGGGTGACTGGTTTGCCACTTCGCAGAGACACCAAGCACGGCTTCCGTGAATCCATTTACATGGGGCACACGGATTTGTCGGGCGATAAATGCCATCGTCCGAAACCTGGTGTCGCAAGAACTGCAACCATTTTGCGGACAGCTCCTGTGAACGACTTCAGGTGTCAAGGAGGCACATCAACTGATTCGCCCGCATTGGGGCTCGTGAAGGCCTTAACCCCATAAAGAACCCTAAACCCGAAAAATCCCATTCCCTGAGCAAGCCCTGAATGCCATAACTCACCCGAACTCTTGAACTTAAAACGCAAGAGCCTGCTCCTAAAGCCCAGATGCATCAGGTGCAGATGGGCATCCGCAGTACTTCCACAGCCCGGTGCGGCAACAACGGCCGCGAGGCTCCCACGACCGTCGCTTCGCTTTCAAGGGATGCCTAGGGTTTCTAGGGCGCTGGGAAAAGGGCGGGGCTCTGCGGCGGTCGGCGTGGGTTTTTGTTGGGCTTGGAAATTGGCAAAGCAGTTCCTCTTCCTCCGCTTCCCCACCCCCGCGCGCCCCGCGGGCTTCCTTCCGCTCTTTCGGACTTTTGTGGTTGTGGGTTTCAGAGTCTGGGCATTCGCGGGCTCGGGCGTTCGAGGCTTTGGAGACATGCGGTCGCAAAACTCGGGTTTAAGGGCTACATTGCTCTCTGGGCACTATAGATTGATGGCACATGGGTGCAGCGCATGCAATTTGCCTTCTGAGCCTGTAGCATGCTTCAGATTACTTGGGTGGGGGCGGGGGTCTCGTGGTGCGGGCCAACGGTGGGAGTTCTTGGATTCCTGCGCTTCGGCCGAACATTGTAGGAGGTGCACCCCCTTGGGTGTATATAAGGCTTATGTCTCTTGACTTTGCGATTCTTCAGTCGAGGGTTAGCGGTTGTGGTTTTGTGCGTGGGTTCTTGGTCGCTTGCCAAGACCCCCCGCACCCGATCATTCCATCATTCCCCATGTATCTGAGCCGTTGCCTCAAGGCCGTCTAAGAATCTTTGGCGCCTCAATGCGTTTCACTGGCTCTCCACTTCTCGCGTGAGGCCAAGAGCCGACCGGAGCTGGTGAGGAGCCCAAGTAAGAAGTGATGATGGTTTGGTTTGGGGCCTGGTGGGGTGATTCTTTTTCTCCCGGATTTGGGGTTTCAAGGTTAGAATTTTCAGCATTCAAGGGCTGGCTTAAGCCAGAAACCGTCAGAGCCCTAAAGCCCCGAACCCTCGACAAAGGCTGCCCCTGTCGGCTGTGGTGACTCTCACGAAGCCCAGGACTCAGCGCCTGTCTTCTGATGTGAGGATTGAAGGGTTTGGTGCAGTGCGAGCAGGCCCTGATTCCCTTTATCAAGGGGAGTGAGCAGAGTGAGGGCAGGGGCGGCAGGGGTTCAGCCAGATTCAGAAACCACAGAACGGCGAATTCGCAAAACCTGCTGGCACCAAATCAGACTGCAGTGGGCCAACATTTCCGCCGTCCTGCTGCTGCTGCTGCTGCTGCTGCTGCTGCTGCTGCTGCTGCTGCTGCTGCTGCTGCTGCTGTGGGCTAGCGAGAGCTCATCATTCTCGGGTTCTTTGTGTTGTGTTTCAGAATGTAAGGTTTTAGTGCTTCAGGCTTTTCGGATGTAGTTTGAGGGTTCACGGGGTTTCGGGTTTATAGGGGTCCCATGATCTTGGCATGTATGTTGTTAGTTTGTGTTTTGTTTTGCTTTCGATTTTTGCTGCTCGGGTTTCAGATGGTGTTCTTTTTTTTTCTCCCGGACTTAGGCATTTAATATCATTTAATCAGGCTTAGTTTTTGGAAGATATGCCGGTAGCTGGTTTGTGAGGCTTTTAGGGCTTAGAACTTTTGGGGGTTTAGGGTGTCATGATTTGGGTTTCACGACTTAAGGCTTCAGGGTCTAGGGCCTTGCCACCGGGCAGCAGCAGGGGGCAGCCAGCAACAAGCAGAGTTTCATAAGCACCCAGCAGGGCCGGTTTAGACGACCATCACGAGCATGCCTCCCTTTTGCACATCAAAGAAAGGCCTGCGGGGCACGCTCTTCATCCTGAGCCTTGCAAGCCTTGCCTCAACCCCAAATTATCCCAGAAACCCAGAAGCCCCCCAAGTCGAAGAGGGCCTCAACCCTCAAAGGCTACCCCGGCTGTAAGGTCCGAGTTGAATGTTGCTCGGTGACAAGAAGGTCTTCGCAGCTGGGGGCCCCAGCATGTTCGGGTTTGGGGATGTTTCAGGGTTTGAGGGCTTTGTAGGGTTGAAGGGTTGCAGGAGCCAGGCGCGAAAGGGGTTGGTTCGTGGCTGCGAGTTAGTTGGGATGTGGGCTGCTCCAACATCCAAGCTTGTAATCTCTAACACCTGACCTAAACCCTCCCTGGGCCGTCTCCCAGTTGTCGACACAATGATTTGTGAAGCTCTGAGACGCTGTGCCCCGATGTGCCACAGCGGAGGGCAGACGGTGGGGGTCTTGCTATGGCTTCACGCTTCCGAGCCTGGAGGGTGTCCTTACTTCCAAAGCTTTGTAAACCTTTTCCCTCTAATCGCCGTAATCGCTAGAGAGTTTCAGGGTTGGACAACCCACAAAGAAGTTAAAGGCCGAAGTGGAATGGTCTGCGAAGCCACGGCAGGGGCCCCCACCCAAAAGAGCGGGCAAACTAGCCTGCACACCGCTCCTTCAGCCATGCCCACGTGCCAAATGCGCATTGCAGGGTTCTTAGTTTGCGCCCTCAGGTTTTGGTTGAGAGCTTGGAGTCTAGGGAGCCAGCTCCCCGAGACGTATGGGGCGGAGCTGCAGGTAAACAGGGCAGAGTGGCAGATGGGCAGCGCCGATGGGGGCCAGATGGTGCTGTAGGTTGTCTTTGCCGCGTTCACTGGAATCGGACGACCCCTTGAAAAGCACTCCTGAGGGCCGAAAGCAGCTTTCAACAGCAACCGAGCAAGGCCCCCCTTAAGCACATCAAGGCCTTTGAGCAGAAGTTGCATTTTCAGGGGGACCTGGCTGTGAGAAGACTCCTAGGAGTCGCCCAGGCCAAGCCAAAGAACCCTCCTAGGTCTTAACGTTCGAGAGGCAAGACATGTTTATCACAGGATAAAACCCCCGAAGCCTGACTCCCCCAAACCCTTAGTAACACGAAACTCGCTATTTCACCTGACTCTCTCGTTAACCCCTCCCTCGACTTCCCACTCTTGCGAGAAAGGCAGGGCGGGCTGCCCCTGCAGCAATCCATAGCCTATGAGCATTCTGGCAGTCTGTGCCGGAGCACCAGTGCTCCCAGTCGGGCGTGCGGGATGGTCTGGGGCCGACGCCCTAAACTTTAACCCTAACACCTTAAACCCTCGGAACGTTTCTGAGATGTGCGGCCTTCGAGATTTATTCGGTTTGCTCGGGTATGGCCGTTTAGGATTTCTTGGGGCACCAGGAGTTTGGAGGCCCGGGGGGCGAAGTCAAGAATTGATGTGGTTCTTGCGGTTCTATTTCAGTCCATCCTTCTTGATGCTCCTGGGGGCCCTGGTGGCTATCCCTTTCAAGTCGGAGCAGAGGGCGTGCTGCCACACTGCCAGATGCCTGCCAGATGCCACCAGCAAAATGAGGGTTCACACTTCTGGAGCAGCTCAGGTTTTCACCATATTGGCGTTACGACTCTAACACAGACCAGCGTTAGGACTCTAAAGCAGGTTGCCATCGGCATAAGTAGCATGAGTTCTAGGACTTGTCGCCGCCGCTTCGCTTGGCTCACAAGCATTTGGCTGCTGCTCCGAGCTTAGTGCGCGCAATGGCTGGTGCTGAGGCATGCGCCCCTAAACTCGGGCGGATGTGAACTTGGCATCCTCCCTGTCCCTTAATGGCACCATTCTGTGAGGTTCGTCCTCGCAGCTTGAAAGATCCATCGCAGGTCGCATCGCAGTGGCGCGCAAACCAGCACTGTGACTGGTTGGCAGCAGCGCAGGCCGGGCCAGTTCATGCTTCCAGGCAGTCCAACCCAAACACTGTCTTCAGGGCCAGTCATCCCGAGGCCCTAACCTTTCTCTGAGCCCTAGCAGCCTTAACCCTCACGCCCTACTCCAGACGCCCTGTGCCTTAGCTGAGCCATTCCAGTCGCCAGGCGCGGCTGGTACCTGTCTCTGGAGACCGGCCACCTCGGCGCGCTCGAGTGGCTTGAAGCGACAACATTTCGGCTCTTAGGAATCAGGTGATGCTGGGTTCTTGGGGGTACATGCAGGGTGTGTCGGGAAATAGCAGAACCCCACAGCCCTACGCCCTACGCTCGCAGCCCGTAGGTGTGAAGCCCTAAGTCCTCAAATCCTAGCCCCCAACGAAGCCCCAAAGCCGCAAATCCCAAAACTCCGAAGCCCAACGCCTTGGCTGGATCCAAGGCCTCGGCCCCGGTGGTGTCTTTGCCTGCGCCGGCACCGGCGGTGGTGAGGACTTGGTCTTTAGTCTTTCGGGTCTAGGGTATGGGTGTCCCATCCTCTTTCATGGGCAGTCGCAGGCCCCGCGGCCGTGCCACACAGGTGCCCCGCAAGCGGAGCTCGGTCTCACCAGTGCAGGCGGCCGGGCCTCGTCTCGGCAGATTTTGGGGTCCATGGGGGGGCAGGTTGTGTGATCTTTTTCATTGCACGGAGAACCAAAAGCCTTGGTGCAGGTGGGTGTTCTGGGCTGTGGCGTCGGAGGTGTGGAGGAGATCCACTTCTCGCCTTCCTGAATTGCCGGAATACAAAGCACAGAGCACGGACTCTTGCCCCCCTCCCTTCAAGCCAAATCACTGCAGTTCTGACATCTGGCCGTCACGCTCCCTATATCAAGTCTTAGCCAATATTTTCTGGAAGCTGGTAGGCTTCTCAACCTGCATCTTCGAAGCCTGCCTTTGCTCAGTTCAGGAATTGGGGCAACCACCCAAACCCAAAACAGACCCTGACCCTAGCATTCATAGGCCCTGAACATTCAAGGGTGGACGCTTCATGTGATCAGCGAAACGACCGATACACAGGAGCTGTGCCGCCAACTCGATGACTCCACAGCCCGGGCCTGAGTAGGGTTGTTTTTGGGGAGTAGGAGTTTTTTTTGGGCTTCACCAGGGGTTTTGGGGGTTTAGGGTTTTGGGCGCCCCGGAAAGGCATGCATCTCAAGAAGACAAACTCCCAGCTTTCAATCCTTCTCACTGCGCTGTGAACCAAGCTACCTGAGATATCATAGGTCTCTGGATTGCTGAGACTGCCTGGGATGTTGTTTTTTTTGCATGCTGAAGCGCTTTGGCCTTTAGTTCAAAGCCGCTCGACACTTGCTGCTCGATTTCCCAAACCCGAAGTTTCAAAGTGAGAGCCCAGGGAAAGCATGGGCACGCAGGCAACACGGACAGACTGCTCTAGTACATTGGGTCAGACACAGATCTCCATCAAAATAGCAAGCCGCATGTAAAGCTTGTGCTGCGCACATGGCGGCCTCGAAACCAGAGCTGCTGCCGGTGTACCTGAACGTGTACAACGTTTCCAACTATGAATCGGTCAAGGTGCTTAACGCAGTGTTTGCCCACCTGTGGGCACCAGTGAAATTTGGTGGAGTATTTCACGTTGGAGTTCAGATTGGCGACATCGAGTGGTCGTACGGCAAGACTCTGACAGCGAGTCGGCCAGGGGTGATTGGCTTGCCACCCCTAAGCGACACGAAGCACAGTTTCCGTGAATCCATCTTTATGGGCCACACGGAGAAAACCATGGAGGCGATCAACGCCATCCTCCGCGACTTGGTGGAGGAGTACCCAGGGTACCAGTATGATGTGTTTCGCAAAAACTGCAACCATTTTGCAGACAGTTTGTGTGAGCGTTTGCACGTGTCAAGAATGCCGGAGCACATCAATCGGTTCGCCCGCGCTGGGGCTTGTGCAGAAGACTTTGTGAAAGACAACTTCGGAGATTTTAAGCACAGCTCCTGGGCACACATTGTGCCCAGCTCCCTGGCCTCTTGCATTGGAGGCAGCGAGAAGACGCCAGTGCGAGAGAAGTTTGGTCGATATACGGTGCCCAAGCTCGCCAAGAAAACGTTCCGCGTCCCTGGCGCGGTGCTTGTTACAGCCAACATGGAAGTGGCACCCCTTTGAAAACTGGTGACCTGACAGCCCCAGCGGAGGTTGAGGTGCACATCGCGAAGCGCTCCACCTTCTGGCGCAGATTCTACGAAATGCTGCTTGCCAATGACAACAAGAATTCAGTTTGGGCTACACATGCCCCGAGTGACATGCATGTATTGCTTGCCAGTGCAAAAAGATGGGAATCGCGTGGTTCATCCTTCACACATCTATGGCGAGAAGATGTGAGAAGCTACCAACTCCCTGGTACATAGACGTTCGCAAACGCATCAAGCGCAGGAGCCGCAACAACCCCATGCCCTGAGCCCTAAACAAACCCCAGCCCCGAAACTCACCGAGCCCTCAAGCCTGCATCCCGAAGCCACACATGCCACGAGTGAAATGATAATGCATGTAAGATGGGAATCATGTGGCTCATCCTTCTCATCTAATAATGCTGAGAAGCTTCAGCTCCTTCTCGCATAGACAATCGCAAATGCATCAAGAACGCACCTGCTCACTAGCCCTCAAGCCTGCATCTCAAAGCCCATTTCTAAGAGCGACACCGTAAGAGATCCCCAAGCCTTGAGAAGGTATCCTAAGGGCCCCCCTTCAAAGCCCACCCTCCCCCCCCCCGGAGCCACCGGAGAGCTTTTTTGTCAGAGGTGGCCTGGGCACTCCTCCGTTTCCAGGTCGGTGGCGGCACCTTCGCCCCCCGGCACCCAGATAGGAGCTGCTTAGGGCTCGGGGCTATTGGGGTAAAACGGGCCCGGCTTTCGCCAGTTAGTAAGGCTTCGGGCTCGCAGGGAAGGCTGTTTGACCGGACCCAAAGCGCCCAACCCCCGAAGCCCAAGAATGAGAGCATCCGACGGCCCAGGTGAGGACCAAGATGGTCCTCGTCCATCTGAACGGCATTAACACGCCGGTTGGGGACCCCAACTCAGGGGGGGGGGGTGCTGAGGGTTTTCTTGGCGAGCTCTTCACCCTGAATCCGGAAAAAGACTCCGTCAGCTCGCACCGTCGCTCGAACACCTCCAGTTTTGGGCGTCCTCTATGCCACTCGACAAACCTTCAGGCCCTAGACCAAACGAAGAACAGTGGCCTTTCAAGGTCAGTTCTTAGCCACACCCTTAAACGTTTAAGAGTGGGAGGTGATCCAGCGCGGCCTTCTCAATGCCAGGAGCCAGGAGGCGCGCTTTTGACAGACTCCTAAGGATCCGGCGCCCACAACGTGGGTGGGTTGGTGGCTTTGAGGGGATGTGGCGCAGTGCCTTTGTGCAGTACTTCTAACTTCCGACCCGGAGGCAAGTTTGACCTAGGCTCTCCGGCTGCCACACAGGGGTTGAGGGGGTTTAGGGTGGAGGGCTTGTGGTTTTGAGCTTTTGGGGGGTTATTTACTATGTCCTTCTATTCCGAAACTGTCTTGGAAGGTTCTGCGCCAGCTGGGGGAGGTCAACGCAAGTCTGCAGGCCCCGTTTCTGGGGGGTTTGGGACTGGGAATTCGAGTCTTTTAGCCCAACATGGGTCAAAGCCCCCCAAAAAGCCTGTCAGGTTCTGAGAAGCTCTTGGGATCAGAAAGCCAGAAACAAATTCCAGTGGTGTGCAGCGAAGGTTGCTTCCGGAAAGGAGCTGACTGTGGACTACCTGTGCGAGGTGGCAAACTTGGGACTGTCGATGCCTGATGTCTGCGAAGCTTTAAGCCACCTTGGAACACTCTTGGAACCAAACTCTGGACGGAATGCCAAAAAGGCGAAGAAGGCTACCGAAGAGGGCTCTTGATCCGGTTCGGAGATCTTCGGAGCTTATGGGATATTGAGTTTGGCAGCAGCAGAGGGGACCTGGTTGCTCTCCTTGAATCGCCCAGCGCCTGCTGCCCGTCTTCTCGACCGATCACATGGAGTACTCCCTGCAGGCACCTCCGAGCTTCTAAGGGGTAGCAGAGCCCCCTGAGCCCTCATTCCCCAACCTGACAAACCCTTAGGCACTTAGGTACTAGCCGCAACCTAGACACGAACGGAGTCGATACAAAGACCAAGGCCCGCTTCACTTTTGCACAGTCCTTTCTGTTGCATGGCATCGAAGAAGCAGTTTCGTCTTGTTGTTTGCATGGGGCTATGAGAACTCCCACGATGCCTCGCGATGGATGGTGGTTCTCTTCAGGCTTTTGGAGATTCCACAGAAAAGTCCCAAAAATGTTACCTACTTTGCAACAACTCCCCCTTTGCGAAGGGGCTCAAGACAGAATACGACAAGATGGCCGCGCTCTCGGTTGGAGACGAAACGAAAGGGAGAGGTGAGTGAACAGTGGCAAGTCCAGCAAAGAAAGAAGGAAGGACAGTCAGAATCTGAGTAAGAACGAAAGAAGAGAGGGAGAGAGCGGAGGTCTGCACGGAGGGTCGTAAAGAAGCAGACTGGGCAATCTGTGCGCCATGCCTTCTCGACTCTCGGGGAGATAGCCGGTCAATGAGGGGCACCTAGGTCAGCTTAGGGCAAAGGGGCGCGACCCACAGCAAGGCAGGTGGCTCCGAGGCCAAAGAGCGAGACCCCTGAAAGGTGATGTTCTGTAGGGGGTAGGGGGGAGGGGGGGGGTGATATCAGGATGCCCTGCGCCGATCCCGCTGAGCAATGCTGACTGTCCCAAACAGCAAGGAAGAGGGGGTCAACCCCCACTGCCTGGATGAGCATCCTTCTACAATAATCTGGCATCTACAGCCCAAGTCCTTCAACCCACACCCCAGACCCTGAAAACCCCAACCCTTGAAAATTTGAGGGCTTCGGGCTTCGGGATTTCGAGGCAGCATTCGGGTGAACTTTGCCTTCTCCTTCCAGTAGCCATTGGCCGAGGTGAAGGAGTCTCAGCTGCGGGCAGAGGCTCCTCTGCAGGCTCTTTCTTAGCCGTCTTAGCCTCCCTTTCGAATTCGCCTTGGAGAGGTTGATCTGGTCCTGACAGCATTGGGCGGAAGGAAGTTCCCACTTGTACCAAGGCTAAATCGGCTAAACCCCCCCAAGCGGCCCAGAGGAGCCTGCGGCCGCCATGCCTCCGCTGCTGCCGACGCTCGAGCGGCGGCCTCGTCGGGCCGGGCCCGAACTCGCCTTCTCTCTGGGTTTTTGGGGCAGTTCCTGCAGCGTTTCGACTTCAGCAGCTCCTGATTTCGGCATGAACTGTTTCATGGCGGGCTGCTGGTTCGGGATTTTGAGTCTATCGTAAATTAGATTGTGGGTTTGGGTGGCTTCTGGTGGCTATGGTTCGGGTTTTCAGGCTCAGGGGCTTGGTGCGTGCAATGCAGGCTTTGGGGTTTGTGGAGTGTACAGTCGTGTTTTGTTTTGGGGTCTGGTATTGGTGCGTGCGCCCCTCTTGCAAGGGGGAGTCCAGGAGTTCAGGAGGCCTCGAGGGTCCCGTTTTCGGGCCCATGCCCAAAGCTGCGAGGCAAGCATTCGCAGGTCAAGCCCTTCGAGTGAAAAAAGACGCTCGAGCCGCGAAGGAACCTCCCCCAACACCCGAAGTATGGGACCGCTTGAGGTGAAGCCTTGAAGCCTTGAAACCCTGCAGGCCTGCAACTCTCGACTCTAAACCCTAAGGCCCTAAGGAGCCGTTGCGGGCATCCTTTCGAGAGGGACATATGCCCAGGCCTTCCACAACACGCACGGTCCACGGGCCAGGGGACGTGACTTTGGCAGAGGCCGATCTGAGGGGTCGTTGGGTTTGGTGTCTTGGCTTTTGAGGGCTTTGAGGTGTATATAGTGAGTGTACGGTAGGTAGCTTTTTTGGGTTTTGGGGTTGAGGTTCTAAGGTTTCAGGATTCAGGACTTCGGGCCTTATCTTTGTGTTTGTGTATGTCACCGGAATGTCACTGTCCCACTTTGGAGTTGTTTTTTCTGCATTGGAGGGCAGCGCCTCGATGTCCAAGCCAACCTGGTGACCCTGGGTTGGGGTTGAACCAGGGTTCCGAATGGGGCTTCATGGGGTTTGGGTTTTCGGGTTTTGGGGCACCGACACGGCATGCATCTCAAGAAGACCAACTCCCGCCTCTGTGCCTTGAAACCTTTCAACTCTTTTTCGCTGCGCAGCTGCCGAACAAGCGAGAGCTTGCTATCATAGGTCTGAAAACTGCTGAGGAATGCTTAAGCGTTGGGCCTTCACGCTTGACACCTTGTGCTCCTTGCGAAATTGCGCCTTGCAGACTCAGAACTTGGGCAAAGCATGGGCATGCAGGCAACACGGACAGACGCAGACACTGACCTCCACTAAGATAACATTCCACATGTAAAGCTTGTGGCGCACATGGCGGCCTCGAAGCCAGAGCTGCTGCCGGTGTACCTGAACGTGTACAACGTTTCCAACTATGAATCGGTCAAGGTGCTTAACGCAGTGTTTGCCCACCTGTGGGCACCAGTGAAATTTGGTGGAGTATTTCACGTTGGAGTTCAGATTGGCGACATCGAGTGGTCGTACGGCAAGACTCTGACAGCGAGTCGGCCAGGGGTGATTGGCTTGCCACCCCTCAGCGACACGAAGCACAGTTTCCGTGAATCCATCTTTATGGGCCACACGGAGAAAACCATGGAGGCGATCAACGCCATCCTCCGCGACTTGGTGGAGGAGTACCCAGGCTACCAGTATGATGTGTTCCGCAAGAACTGCAACCACTTTGCGGACAGTTTGTGTGAGCGTTTGCACGTGTCAAGAATGCCGGAGCACATCAATCGGTTCGCCCGCGCTGGGGCTTGTGCCGAGAACTTTGTGAAAGACAACTTCGGAGATTTTAAGCACAGCTCCTGGGCACACATTGTGCCCAGCTCCCTGGCCTCTTGCGTTGGAGGCAGCGAGAAGCCACCAGGCCGAGAGAAGTTTGGTCGATATACGGTGCCCAAGCTCGCCAAGAAAACGTTCCGCGTCCCTGGCGCCCCCTTTGAAAACTGGTGACCTCAGACACCCAGCGGAGGTTGAGGTGCACATCGCGAAGCGCTCCACCTTCTGGCGTAGATATGGTGCTTGCTAATGACAACAGGAATTCAGTTTGGGCTACACATGCCCCGCGTGAAATGACAATGCATGTATTGCCTACCAATGTGAAAAGGTGGGAATCGTGTGGCTCATCATGCACCCGTGCCCTGCACCCTGAACCTTTGAGCTTTGGGGCTTTATGCCGCCGAGGCCATGCAGGAAGTGGCCTCGGAAGAGGGCTTCTTCAACTGGGTCCTCGTTGACCCCACAAGGCAGTGCTCCAGTGTAGGTAGCTTACGGGTTCCAAACATGTAGTGGGATGCTCCCAAAGGATTTTCAAAGTACAGGTTTGGTTTTGCAATCTGAAAACTGGCCGTCTTACTCAATGATGTTACCATCTTGCTCAGGGGCATATTTTCTTCAAAGGGCCCTTCGGAAGCTTGGCTTGGCTTCTGCAGGCGTGGCATGGCTTGCGAGGGTCGGAAGTGTAAGCGGGTGCAAAAGGTAAGAAGCTGAATTTAAGGTTTTGGGGGCCTCGTGCCCCAAACAGAACATCGCTCGGTGTCTCCAGGCTCTGCCTTTACAAGGCCGGCCAGGGCGGGTACACTGAACTGCAGGACCGGGCTTGCAAGCAAGGTGTGCAAGGCCATCTCTACCGAACTTCCAGGGGCCATGCTTCAGAAAGCTCCTATGATGAAAGCATCGATCCCCGTTTCTTCCCAGCCTCCCGGTCAGAGGAGCACTTTGCCAGCGAGCGCGTCCTGTTTGGCGTGCTGCGGATGACGTTCGGTGTTCGGCTCAGTACCATTCATTCAGTGCTAAGTGGTTGCGTTGCTTGTCAAGAGAGTTCCTGTCACGCAGAAAACTCATGCTGGTACGGTTTCTAGAGGGTTTGTTGAAAGGTCTTTTGGGTGACACCTTAGCTGCCCAAGAGTCCGTTTCATGAAGAGCACACTAATGAAATGCATTGTGCGCACGCGTTCTATTGGGTGTTATATCACGAAGGCTCGCGTAGCGAAGCTTGAGTTTAATCTGCTTTAGCAGTAGGGGGCCGACCATGGCCAGAAAACAGTGTATCATTGATACTATCTTATTAGGGGCGGGGGGGTGGGGGGGGGGGGTAAATTGATATATCACACGAATTCCTTGGTTTGGGAGGGGGGGGGGGGGGGGGGGGGGTAAATTGATACATCACACGAATTCCTTTTATTTTTTTTTTGGGGGGGGGGGGGGCCTAATTTGATATATCAATACCTTGAGGTTAAGGGGAGGGGGGGGAGCGTTTTTACGCCAAGACCCGACTCTGTCTTCATCAACATCTCATCATCATCATCATCACCATCATCATCATCAGCAGCTTCACCATCATCATCATCATCAGCAGCTTCAGCAGCTTCACCATCATCATCATCATCATCATCATCAACATCAACATTTGCATCAACATCAACATCAACATCAACACCAGCATCAACATCAACACCAACCTCAACCTCAACATCAACACCAACACCAACATCAACATCATCATCAACATCATCACCAACAACAGCAACAACATCTACATCAACATCATCGTCGTCGTCATCATCATCATCATCGTCATTATTATCATCACCATCATCATCCTCCTCCTCCTCCTCATCATCATCATCATCATCATCATCATCTTTATTAGCGGCATCATCATCATCATCATCATCACGAACATCATCGACATCAGCAACATCGTCAACACCGTCATCGTCAGCCTCATCAACGCAACATCATCATTAACATTAGCGTCAACAACATCATCAATATTCTCATCGTCAACATCGACATCATCATCATCATCATCCTCATCCTCATCTTCAAATTCATCATCATCATCATCATCATCATCATCATCATCATCATCATCATCATCAGCATCAGCATCAGCATCAGCATCATCAAAATCATCATCATCTGCATCATCATCAACGTCATTGACATCAGCAACATGATCAACATCATCATCCTCCGCATCATCCACTCCATCAGTACTGTTACACGGCCATTCTGCAGGGTTCCGGTAACTCACTACGGGTTATCACCAACAGCATCATCGTCGTTCTCAACGTCATAATCATCATCATCACCACCACCATCATCAACATCAACGTCGTCATCAAAACCATCTGCATCATCACCAACATCATCAGCATCAGTAACATCATCAACATCATCCCGTCAGCATCACCAACGTCATCCTTGCTCTTACCCGTCATGCTTTGGTGTAGGGTTCAGAGTGTGGTTTTGGGTTTGGGGGTTTAGGGTTTACGGTTTAGTCTCAGTGATAATCCTGCTGCAAAAAAGGGTTTAGGGTTTAGAGCTTAGGGGTTGGGTTTCGGATTTAGGGTTTCATTTTACGGTTTGGGGTTTAGGGTGCTCGCAGCCAGTTCTGAATGCTTTCGCTTGCTAAAAGCACCCGAGCTTTCATCCTCCCTGCCTGTGGCCCTCAAGTCTTCATGGGGGCACTGATGCACGGGATACAGAGATTGGGTCTCAAGGTGTGATGGGTGGTTCGCTTCAAGGTCCAGCAACTCCTAGAAACAGAATGACGGGAGAACCTGATGTTGGGGTCCCGAGGGAGAGACTGTATGAATGAGGTTATCACATGAACTCCCTCTCCTCGAAAGGTAGGTGGTCACAGTGTAGAAGACCTCGGAATGGAGGTTAGAATGGAGATACTGGTGCAGGTGTGACAGGGAGAGAGCGGTTCACCTGGCATGGAACGTCAAGAGTGAACAGATGACTGATCAGAACCAGCTATCTAAACCACAGAACTCATGACACCTTAGCACCTTGTCTGTTCACCTCACCCTCCAGTATCATTATGGTGCATAAGTGAGCGGTTAAATGGCTATATGAAGGAACAAGTTGACGCATGAATATAGTAATTATAGCATACAGCACTCACAGCCCAATATCATTTCTCTCTTGAAGGCCGTACAACGCCAATACTAAGCGTGTGTGCACCAAGCCTATTAAATGTAATTTATTTAAGAGGCTTTTGCCCCTATGAAAACACATGAAGACTATTCTGTAAAGAGTGCAAGACAATGACCCCCTTCTTTGGGGTTTTTTGGTGTACACGACCCGGCATCTGTAGCTCATGGGCTCATCGTTTGATTTAGAGTCCAAAAATCGGATGCTTAAGGTTTACAGTTTAGGGTGCTTCCCTCTTCATGCGACACGGGAGCAATTCCCCATGAACCAACGCCACCTTTTCCAGTCCAGCCAGCGCCGCTGTAAGCTCATGAGCCTGTTCCCAGTTTCATTAAGCTGCTCATAGAATTCTATGAATTCTGTACAGCAGCGCTTCCGTCGGGTTCTGTCATGTTTCTTCTGTGTCATGGATTCTCGGTTGAAGGCTTCTCATTTTGCAAAACTCAGACCCGGACAGTGAGGCAGCAGTTCCGCCCACAACGGTCCAGGGCAGGGCCCTCAAGGGGTTTGGGTTATTGGGTTCAGTGTCTCGGGCCTCGATTCAGGGTATAGGCCTTGGGGTATGGAGTTCGCATCGGTCCGCGTCAGGCACCAAGCTCATGACCCCATAACTGGGAGCTTTGGGTTCCGGAGTCTTGTTCGGACTGCAGTTTGCGGTGCGAGAGAATCCCCATTTTTTCCAGTTTGGGGTTTAGGACGCCACTACCCGACTCCCAGAACTCCCAAACCTTCAGCCATAAACCCCCGGCCCTGAACGCTGAACTCCCCGAGCTCTGCGCCCCCAGACCCAAGCTTCGGGTGCGAGGCGCACGATCCATGGCCTCACGAAGCACGTGCTGGTCCACTGGGCTGGGCTCCCAGTCACTGTTCAAGGTTAGGGTCATAGCCGTCATAGCCTGTGGGCGAGACCGAAACGAATGAAGAGCGGTAGTGGCCAGTGGCGAAAGTTTAGGCATGGGGGTTTGATTCAGGGTCTAGGACCCTAGGATCAAGCCTCGCAGTGAAAATTATAGGTGAAAGACTGTGCCATTAAGCATTGCGAGGCCCAGACTGCAACTTCAGTCTCGTGGTTCGCCCTAGATGTGTACGCCCGTCTACACCGGCCTTTGCCAAAAAAGGTAGGGCTTTCGGTTTTGGGTATGAGGACGGCAGCCACCAGAAACATGGAAGCCCGGTTTCAACATCACAAGAAACGAGATTGGGTTCGGTCTTGATGAAGCTTCCTCGCTTCACATCCGGGCCCTTTGATCCCCATCAGCACCTCCAAAGCTTTCAATGCCCATCTCGTAAGGTTTTGGGTTCTGGGGCCCTCCCCTCAGTTTCCTGAAGCCCGAGCCCAACGCAAGGGTCCAAGGCACCAAGGCACCAGAACTTCAACACAAAGCCCAAAGCTTGAGATCTCAAAGCGCGCCCTCAACCCCCCGAAAAACCAAAGCAAAAGCATAGGACAAACCAGGTCGGCCCGAATGTCAGCGCCATGCGCCGCGGTTTGGACAGCGCCCGGTACGGCCAGGCCAGTGCTTCGTAGTGACTGCAGGAGGCAAAGAGGGTGGCGTGAACCAGAGCTTCAGAGCTTAGGACTGGGGGGCTTAGGGTTCAGGAGACGAGAGTTTAGGAATGGGCAGCGGTTGGTGTTCTAGATCTTCGGGTTGGGCTTGTCCGGGATTGTGTATGGCAGCAAGCTGGCTTTCGCCCACTTAGGTTTGGGGATTAAGGGTATGAGGGTTTAGAGCGGGTTTAGCGAACCAGGGTAATGAGACTGTTCCACCGTGCCGCCACACCCACGGCCCAGAGTGGCGCAATCTTCGTACGAGACCTTCTGGAACTGCTGAATACCTGTAGCGTCCAAAATCTGAAGCCGTCCTTGTCTTGAGCGGGCAGGTGGCCACCTTGGTCGGGCGCTACTGCGCCGTGGCTTTCCGGAAGGAGGTGCGGGGCTTGAGCGTTTGGTGTGCAGGTTAACCAGGTTCGCCTTCAACCACACAAATCCCTCCGGTTGCGAGTGCAAATATCGCGGCTTGTGTGTCAGTAGTGTGTCCCATGTTTCAGCCCCCGAACGCAGTTTCGCTTCCCCTAGGTTTGGAGCCTCAGAATCAAACACCCTTGAGATGACCTTGGCGCCTCGTGGCAGTGATCGTACGAGGACCCCAGGCCCTAAGCTCTAGGTCCTAGAACGCCAGGCCCACTGCGCTGGCGACCTCAGGCCTCGGAGCTTTCGGGTCTTTTTGTTTTCCAAGCTCGTGGTCTCCTTCCCGTGGAATCTTCTCCGCTCTCCTTTCCTTCGCTCCCCTGGGGGGTGTCAGGGGGCCCAGGATTATTCAGGAAAAGGGTTGGGAAGGAGGGAAGGAGACCAGATTCTGGTCTTGTAAAGAATGGAGAAACTAATCCGGGTTTTGCAGCATGGGAGGGAGGGTAGGTGGGCGGTGCGGTAGTTGTCGAGGTCTGCACTCTGACGAGTCGCAGTAAGACCTGCAAAACCCCGAAGCCCAGCTCCTCAGAGGCTTTACAGCTTTCACCTGAAACCCTACAAGCTGTAGATCCCAAACCCAAGTCCTTTAGTTTTTTGGGGGGTCCCGCGCGCCAGGCTTGAGCACATCATCCACGAGCTCCAGCCATCCTTGGCCCAATTCTTTCAGGGCTTTCGAGACCTAAAACCCCTCCGAGCCCTAAGCTCTCACCACATAGAAGCACCGATGAGCCCCAAAGCCTAAGGCGTGGAACCAGGGGCTGGATCCGGGTGTAGGGGTTTCTGGAGTCTTTTCTGAGAACGAAGGGTTTTTAGATCAAGTTTTGGGGGGGGGGGGGGGGGGGGGGGGGGGGGGGGGGAGGGGATGGCAGTGCTCGCTGATAGTCACTGCCCAAGAAGCACTTGCAGATGGCTTTTGCGGATGGTGAAATCTGGCCTGATCAGCGGACGTACCTGCTGCGTATATGTCCTTACACTCGTTGAAGCTGAATGCTGAAAGTTGAGCGAGTGATGCATTGCGGAGGGTTGCAAGAATGATTAACCTAAAACCTATTCGGCCGGGAATCTTCAGGGCTTTCGAGACTAAAACCCCTCCGAGCCCTAAGCTCTCACCACATAGAAGCACCGATGAGCCCCAAAGCTAAGGCTGAACCAGGGGCTGGATCCGGGTGGAGGGGTTCTGGAGTCTTTTCTGAGAACGAAGGTTTTTAGATCAAGTTTTGGGTGGGGGGGGGGGGGGGGGGGGGGGGGGGGGGGGGGGGGGGGGGGGGGGGGGGGAGGGGGAGAGGGGATGGGGGCAGTGCTCGCCTGATAGTCCCTGCCCAACGAAGACACTTGGCAGATGGACTTTTGCGGATGGGGAAATCTGCCGTGATCAGCGGACGTACCTGCTGCGTATATGTTCTTACCTCGTTGGCTTGAAAGCTGAATGCTGAAAGTTGAGCGAGTGATGCCTTTTGCGGAGGGTTGCAAGATGGATGAACCTAAACCTATTCGCCGGAATATCTACACTTTGCCCCTGATACTGAATGACCCATCCGGTTTGGCGTTCAAACCAGAGAGGCTGTCACATTGCAGCGGGCATCCAAAGCGTTAACCTTAAGCCCTGGGGGAAATTTACGGCAGGAACGGCCTAAACGCGCCAGGCGCTGACGGTATCTCGACCAGCACCTCCGAGGGCAGCGGCCAGGCTTGCTAGGGTGGGGAGGGGGCTGGAGACAGGGTCCTGCCAAAGCCAAGTCACCAGGAGTCCGCTGCTCTAGGTCCGTAAGTTCTTCGAAAGCCCTGAATATTGCAATATTGAAAAACAAGTGGCAGAAATCAGAAGCGACCTGTCAAAACCGACAGTTCCACACAAAGCCTGTTTCAGGGAGCCTTGCTTCAGCGATGTGCCTAAATTACAAAGACCTCGAAGCCGTGGAGCATCTAACGAACCAGGATTCTACCAGGGAGAAGACAACATGTTCAGTGTCCAGACCGGTCTTTGGGAGACTGGATCTATAGGCGGCCAGCCGCATCTCCGTGGAAGAGTACAACATCGTCTGGGAGCCAGCACTGAAGCCATTGTCGGCGGGACCTTCTTGTGAGTACAGCCCGAGAGCCCTTTGCATCGACCGTCAAGCTCTCCTCTAGACCTTTAGGCTTTGGGTTCGTGAACACGCAAGCGGGACGTAAGTTAAAGGGCCCGAGCTAAACCAGAAAGCCCCAAAGCGTGTACGTTGAATCCTTCTGTCCAAACCCTGGACCTCCAGTCGTCACACTCGGTTGAGCGGTCTCAAGGGTGTGGAGGGACCTTATGATTGCGGATAGGTCTAAGCCACAGAAGCATCCCGTTTGGAGAGAGTAGAGCCATCTCGATGTAAGGAACTGAATAGGGCTGACGCGCAGATTAAGATGAACCCTGCAGAGGGCTAAACGCTTGACTTCAACACCCTCAAGTACCGCAACTTAATTCCAAGCCCAGCCATGTCCTTTACCCACAGCCCCTGAACCTCCCAGACTTCTAGATCCTAAACTCAGGCAGCTTGTTCTGAAGAAGGGGATGTCTACCTCGCCCCCCCTTCGTGGAGTTTCCTTCAACAAAAGTGTCGAGGGGCTTCGTGGCATTTCGTGGCTGGAGAACTGCCCCAAGCCATCCCCTGCTGGGCTCTTCAGGCCTAAAATCCCAAACCCCTCCCCCCCTTTGATCCTCAATTGTCCGAAACTTTGAGCCCAGGCCATGGTGGAGGAGTCCCGGCGGCGGGATCTGAGGCTTGGAGCTGCAGGATAGGCTTCGATTCGCCATTTACATTTTTGTTTTTTGGGGGGAGGGGGGGGAGGCTGATAGGGTTGAAGCGCACGTGGCAATCAAATTTTCAGGAGAAAGGTGAACATCAGTACTGACCACAGCAGAGAGAAACCATTCATCACGCGCATTCTGGCAGTCGAACTTGCTCTGACACATATTCAGAACATTATGGCTTGCAGGTGTCGAGTCGAACCCTGCTCGTTAAGGATTCCTGGTCTGCATCCTGAAGGTAATGGTTGAGAATGCTATGATTACAAACAGGCATCCCTGCCTGGTTCCGAATGCGGTAGCAGCGTAGCGTCGTCGTACCTTCCCGGTGTCAAGTGTCGGATGTGGGTGTCTAGCTGCTTCTTTCAGGGGTGGACCATGGCCGCAAGCAAGAGGCTTCCTTAGAACTCACTTTTCAAACCTGAATCGCTCAGGTTCCCCCCAACCTCTAAACTCCCAAACCCCCAAACCCCCAAACCGTTTGCCCAAGCGCCCAAACCCCTAAGTCCGTAAGCCCTGAAATGCAGAAAGCCTTAAAGCCCTCATCAATTCCAGCTTCCTGCAGGCCTCAGGCACTGCGCTCCAAAAAGCTGGCGGGGCCCTTGGGCGGAATGCACAAGTCGGGTCTGGGGGTGAGCGGCATGGGAATTTAGGGGGGAGGCGATCTCCGATTCTTGAAGGTCTTTGAGGGCGTTTTGCTGCTTTAAGGTTGGGACTGGTTGGGGCTGCTGTTGTATACTGGCGGCTTCGGAAGCTGAAGGGCTTGAGCCCTAGGCCCGCAAACCCCTTCCTTGGAACCCCCCTGTCTCAGCGCATCAGCGATGGCCATGTGCACACCCATGAACCACTGCATTGAAAGCCCGACGACGGCCTCCGTTCTCCTTCTCCCGCACAAAGACAACAAAGACAACAAGAAACATCGTCTGCAGACCCTGCGGGCAGGCCGCTCCACTGGAGCCCTCAGAGCCCACGGATGCCCCTGTACAGGACTGAACTTGGCAAAGGGTACCTTCAGACTTCTCAAACTGCCTCCGGGCTTCCATGTCTTGAGGGGAGGGGGGCAGGGACCAGGGATAGGACGTGTTGAGCTTTGGGGAAATGGAGGAGTCAGAGTAGGACTTGAGCTTTGGACGGGTGGGATTGAGGTGAGGGATTGCCTCTTTTGCGATTTGTGCCGTGGGTTTTGTCTTGGACAGCCTGGGCTAGCACTGATGCTATTCTGGTGAGCCAACGGCTCCAACTCCTCAAGGGGGAACACGCGAAAGCCTCCAAACTCAACCCTGAGCTCACCCAACCGAACCGGGTACCCGAGCTGCCTGAGATATCAATGCTAATGTTTGGAATGCTACAGCGCCTGGGCCTTCTGTTCAAAGCCGCTTGACACTTTGGGCCTTGTGAAGCTTCTCCATGAAGAGCAGGGGCACAGCATGTGTATAGATAGGCACAGTGACAGACTGCTCTAGCACGTTGGGTCAGACACGGATCTCCATCAAGACAGCCAGCCGCATGTAAAGATTGCTGCGCACATGGCGGCCTCGAAACCAGATCTGCTGCCGGTGTACCTGAACGTTTACAATGTTTCAAACTACGAGTCCGTGAAGGTGCTTAATGCAGTGTTTGCCCACCTGTGGGCACCAGTGAAATTTGGTGGAGTATTTCACGTTGGAGTTCAGATTGGCGACATCGAGTGGTCGTACGGCAAGACTCTGACAGCAAGTCGGCCAGGGGTGATTGGCTTGCCACCCCTCAGCGACACCAAGCACAGTTTCCGTGAATCCATCTTTATGGGCCACACGGAGAAAACCATGGAGGCGATCAACGCCATCCTCCGCGACTTGGTGGAGGAATTCCCAGGGTATCAATATGACGTGTTTCGGAAGAACTGCAACCATTTTGCAGACAGTTTGTGTGAGCGTTTGCACGTGTCAAGAATGCCCGAGCACATCAACCGATTCGCCCGCATTGGGGCTTCTGCAGAAGGCTTTGTCCAAGACAACTTCGGCAGTTTCAAGCACAGCTCCTGGGCACACATTGTGCCCAGCTCCCTGGCCTCTTGCATTGGAGGCAGTGAGAAGGCACCACCAGTCCGAGAGAAGTTCGGCCGTTATACGGTGCCCAAGCTCGCCAAGAAAACGTTCCGCGTCCCTGGCGCGGTGCTTGTTACAGCCAACATGGAAGTGGCACCCCTTTGAAAACTGGTGACCTGAGAATCCCAGCACAGGTTGAGGTGCACATCGCGAAGCGCTCCACCTTCTGGCGTAGATTCTACAATATGCTGCTTGCCAATGACAACAAGAATTCAGTTTGGGCTACACATGCCCCGAGTGACATGCATGTATTGCTTGCCAGTGAAAAAAGATGGGAATCGCGTGGCTCATCCCTCAATACATCTATTCCTCCAACAACCCACAAAAAGAACCCTGAAGGCTCCAAAGCCCTGAGCCCCTCAAAGCAGCCCGAAACCTTCAACCCTCAAATCCAAAAGCCGAACACCCTCGACGCAAGCCTTCAGGGAAGCGTTCGGCTCCTCCCTGCCTTACTCCCCCCCTTTCAGGAGCCCGTGCAGCCATCAGCGGCCCTGCCCGACCTCCAGTGCTGCCCTGAGGGTGGTTTGGGGTTGACTGGGCCGGTGTCCCAAACCTCTTCAGTAGAAAGATAGGGAGAGAAAGAGAGAGAGAGAGAGAGAGAGAGAGAGAGAGAGAGAGAGAGGACCCTTGGACGTCGCGCGCCCGTTGCGGCAGCCCTCTCTCTGTGGGGGGCTATGCATGCAGGAGAGAGAGAGAGAGAGAGAGAGACAACCAACCAAACCCCGAAGTTTGACAAAACAGGGGAAACCAAACCGGTGACCCAAAAAGTATCTCACCTGGATCTCGCACTCGGGCGCGCCTTGGTGCGCGAGGGGGCCCTGGGTCCCCTCATGCCCAGCAGAAGCAGAAGAAGAAGAAGAAGAAGAAGAAGAAGAAGAAGAAGAAGAAGAAGAAGAAGAAGAAGAAGAAGAAGAAGAAGAAGAAGAAGAAGAAGAGGAAGAAGAAGAAGAAGAAGAAGAGAAGAAGAAGAAGAAGAAGAAGAAGAAGAAGAAGAAGAAGAAGAAGAAGAAGAAGAAGAAGAAGAAGAAGAAGAAGAAGAAGAAGAAGAAGAAGAACAGAGAGAGAGCGCCCCTCGGCGCAGCCCTCTCTCTGTGGGGGGGCTACGCGTGCAGGAGAGAGAGAGAGAGAGAGAGAGAGAGAGAGAGAGAGAGAGAGCAGCCGCGGTCAGAGAAGCCATTCGCAGCCTGGATGAACATGCAATGGGGTGAGCCAGTCATCCTGGTGGAAGAGAGCCAGGATTCCCATGCAGCAGAGGAGACCAACGATGCCGACATGACGGCACTTACGATGACGGGGCAGACGACTCAAGCGGATTCGGGGGAACCACTGGAGGCGGAGACGCGGCCCACGCAAGCCTAGTGGGCGGCCAGCCCGCCAACAACTGCAGCGGCATGGTGCGCGGGGAGATCGGGGAGCAGGCATCAGCGGGACAATGGCAGCTGCGGAGTTGATGCAGAGTCCGTGAGTGGCAGTGGCATGGCCCACACAACTGTGGAGACGGCAGAGGGGGAAACAGCGATCGGGGACAAGTCGGAGAACATGAAGGGGCGAGCACAGGGGGAGAAGAACACGAACGAGGGGTACAGAGGGGGAAAGACGCAAGTAGATGATACACACCCAACAGTGGAGAGCCCTTCAATCAGCTTGGTATGCCAGTAGGGGGTTACTTGGGGGAGGGGGGAGGCTTCGGACAGGTTAGGAGGATTTGTGTTGGGGTTTTGTTCAGATTTCGGCACCCGAGTTGCTTGGTAATAGGGGGAATGTAGGGACAGATGATGCCACGTAGCACCGGTTAGCCGTAACACTTGGTGATTGGAGGGGGTGGCGGGGATGAGGGAAACGGCCGGAGCTGCACAGCTGCATTGATGCGGCGGAAAAGCTTGAGGTCAATAAACAGTCCGCATCGGCCGGGGAAACGCCCGCACCATGCGTCAGCTGATGCCCAGAGAGGGGGAGTTTGCAGCCACATGATGATTACACCCCGCCCCTCTCTGAGAGCAGTAGTCACCCCATGCCCTGAAGAAACGAGGTTGGGAGTCTTACTACAGTGGGATGTGGGATGCTTTTGTGGGGTTTTTGGGGAACTTTTCTCAGGGCGGGCGCGCCTCGTGCGCGGAGGGTGTGCTGGCGCGCGCCCTTCAAGCCCTGAAGCAGAAGAAGAAGAAGAAGAAGAAGAAGAAGAAGAAGAAGAAGAAGAAGAAGAAGAAGAAGAAGAAGAAGAAGAGGAAGAGAGAGGGAGAGCGCGCGCGCTGCGCGACATCACTTGTAGGCAATCTTCATCCTTTCAGGGAATGCTATTGGCACCAACTCCCCAAAGAGAGATGACCGAAGCCTCCAAAGCTTCAAGTCCCCAAGCATCTCAGCAGGACCGCCCTGCAGGCGGTGCGTGACCCGACCGGGCGCTTCGACTGGGTGCGGCCCTTGGGCGGCCCTTGTGCCAACGAGCGGCTCATCAGGTGTGAGCGTTTTGGAGAACAGGTGCTTCACGGTGCTTCAGATCTTCGTCGTGTTGGTGATCAAACCTCAACCCCCAAAGCCAGCTTAGGTACCCAGTAGTTTAGTTTTTTCTCAAACAGGAGTGTTTTGGAATCCTCTTCTCAGCGATGGTGGTCGGGCGGCTGGGCCGGCTTCCTTCATGGCTTCTGGGTGGCGCGGCTTGTCGTGGCTTTTCTAGGATTCTCATACCCTCTTAGGGGTATTTTGGAGCTCGCAGGTCATCTGCGGCTGGCCGGCAGCTACCATTCGGCTGCCCCCATCGCCATGCCGCGCCTCCTGGGCGTGAAAGGCAGCGGTCGGGTCGCTTAGGATTGCCAGCTTTTTGGGGTTAGAGGCCAGAGGGGTGTAGGCATTCAGTGGTCTAAGCTCCAGGACCCTAGTTGTTGTAACGGCTTGTTGGTTTTTTCGGGTTCCTGCAGTCCAGGCTTCGTGCGCCATCCGAAAAAATTTTGCACCTGTAGCTTAATGTAGTACCAAGAACACGCATAAGAGGCACGAGAAGCGGAGCTGAATGGTGATGCTGGCCACTACCAATAGGCTCAGGCATGAGGCGACAAGCAAGAATAGAACATGCCGCGTGTAAAGATTAAGTTTTCGGGACCTGTGCCCGAGAAATTAAGAAGCAAAACCCTCCTACATAGCCTGGCTAAAGCAAATGCCCATGGCAAATCCCTAGCGTCCTCCCTCCTGCGCAGATCTCCAGCAAAACAGCAAGCCGCATGTAAAGCTTGTGGCGCACATGGCGGCCTCGAAGCCAGAGCTGCTGCCGGTGTACCTGAATGTTGACAACGTCTCGAACTACGAGTCCGTGAAGGTTCTTAACGCAGTGTTTGCCTATCTGTGGGCGCCGGTGAAATTTGGTGGAGTATTTCATGTTGGAGTTCAGATTGGCGACATCGAGTGGTCGTACGGCAAGACTCTGACAGCAAGTCGGCCAGGGGTGATTGGCTTGCCACCCCTCAGCGACACCAAGCACAGTTTCCGTGAATCCATCTTTATGGGCCACACGGAGAGGTCCGTGGAGGCCATCAACGCAATCGTCCGAGACTTGGTCGAGGACTTCCCCGGATACCAATACGACGTGTTTCGCAAGAACTGCAACCATTTTGCAGGCAGCTTGCGTCAACGATTGCAGCCTGCAATCGTTGACACAAGCTGTCTGCAAAATGGTTGCAGTTCTTGCGAAACACGTCGTATTGGTATCCGGGGAAGTCCTCGACCAAGGGCATTGACTGGGTGCCATCCTCTGCGACTTGGTGGAGGAATACCCTGGATGCCAACACGACGTGTTTCGCAAGAACTGCAACCATTTTGCAGGCAGTTTGTGTGAGCGTTTGCAGGTGTCAGGGATACCCGATCACATCAACCGATTCGCCCGCATGGGGGCTCAGAAGACTTTGTCAAAGACAACTTCGGCAAGCACAGCTCCTGGGTGCACATTGTGTCCAGCTCCCTGGCCTCTTTGGAGGCAGCGAGAAGGCACCAGTCTGAGAGAAGCATGGCCATGGCATGACCATGCTTCTCTCGGACTGGTGCCTTCTCGCTGCCTCCAACGGTCATGGTCGATATACGGTGCCCAAGAAGCTCGCCAAGCAAACGTTCCGCGACCCTGGTGCGGTGCCGGTCACAGCCAACATGGAAGTAGCGCCCCTTTGAACACTGGCGGTTCGAGGTGCAGTGAGAACAGGACTTCATTTTGGGCTACACATGCCCCGAGTGCAAGGCATTCGTTGCTTGCCAGTGTAGAAAGATGGGAGTCGCGTGGCTCATCATGCACCTTGTCATGCTGATCAACTTCATCTCTGTAGCGAGGGCCTTTTGTCCAAGTTGTTACACTGCCTCCCTTCCCAATAGCCCCCTACAAAAGCACCTTGCCAGCTAAAGGAAGGGTATGGATCCCCAGCGTCCTCCGCGCATGAGGCCAGGGGCGGGGAGGGCGTGGTGGGAACGTAGGCCGAGTAGGGCGACATCGGACTTAGAACTTGTGGGTTGGGGTTCCGGAGATCAGGGTTGAGAGTTCAAGCTGCAGCTGCAACTGGGCATGAAGTATCTCCGACAGTCTTGCAAGCTTTTGTGTATTCGGTAGCTGTGCAGCTTTGGAGCTGTGCAGTGAGAAGCATTGAAAGGTTTCAAGGCGCAGAGGTGCGCAAGGGTGGGAGTTTGTGATTTTGAGATGTTGTCTGTTTCGGGCTCCATGCCTGGAGAGGGGCTCTGGGGATGCCGCCTGATACGTTGTGCTCGATTCAGACACGGATCTCCATCACGACAGCCAGCCACATGTAAGACTTGTGGTGCGCGCATGGCGGCCTCGAAGCCAGAGCTGCTGCCGGTTTATCTCAATGTTTACAACGTCTCAAACTGAGTCCGCGAAATTGCTAAATTTCAGCACCTTTTCCGACTCATTTTGAGAGGTTGTAAACATTGCGCTGAGTTCACTGTTTGCCCACCTGTAGGCGCCGGGAATATTGCACGTTGGAGTTCAGATCGCCGATATCGAGTGGTCGTACGGCCAGACTCTGACAGCGGGTCGGCCAGGGGTGATGGGTTTGCCACCCTGCAGCGATACCAAGCACGGCTTCCGTGAGTCCATCTTTATGGGCCACACGGAAGTCGTTCACGCAACTGTCTGCGAAATGGTTGCAGTTATGATTTGTCCATGGAGGCGATAAATGCCATCCTCCGCGACTTGGTGGAGGACTACCCGGGATACCAATATGATGCGTCATATTGGTATCCTGCATGGTCCTCCACCAAGTCTATCCTAACTGCAACCATTTCGCGGACAGTTTGTGAACGACAGGTGTCAAGGATGCCTGAGCCCATCAACCGATTCGCGCGCATTGGGGCTCGCGCAGAAGACTTTGTTCAAGGCAACTTCAGCGAGTTCAAGCACAGCTACCGGGCACAGATCGTGCCTAGCTCCCTGGCCTTTTGCACCAGTCCGAGAGAAGTATGGTCGCTACAGAACCCGGCACGCAGAATGTGGCGGTTTGAGGTAGCGCGCAGCATTCGGGCGTAGTTTGGGCTGCGCATACCTCGAATAATATCCATGTATTGCTTGCCCGTGTGAAAAGATGGGGAATCACGTGGCGCATCATGCACCTTTGACATGCTGATAAGCTTCATCTCTGTAGCGATGAGCAACAAGGATGAGACACGGTAGATTTGAGTTAGGTCATTTAGTACACGGTAGGATGCCTCTGAAATGGCTTTCGTCGGGCGTGCTGTTGCACTGGAACCCCTTGTCCAGGGATGCTGCGGAACAAGTTCGACGTCTGCTTCGTCAATGACGGTGCAATTTGCCAATCTGGGACTCCATGCCCGCTCTTAGCCGCTCTTACCCGCGCTTACCCGCTGTAGAGAACAGCCCAGAGCCGAGATCTTTCTAAGGCATCTCCCAATAGGCTGCAGGCATGAAGAACTATCAGACCTGACGCATGAGATCCCATTAGACTCAGGAAATCCCGATCTAAGCTCGAAAAACATGAGCTGGACACATTTGGGTTTTCGGATGGCAAGCCGCAAGCCCTGGCTTTGTATGCGCCCCATGACGCCACAGTCAAGGACACCGCACAACCTTGCAGACGTTGTCAACACCCCGAAGCCCAAAGTCTCTGCTATGGGCCCAGACGTAGCCTTGCTGTGCCCGGCAAATGTACCCAAGCGTGTAATGGTGCCCGCAGCCAGCAGAGACACGTTTCGTTGTCAGACTGCGGCCGGGACGGAAGCTGCCTGAAGGTTCTGGAATGCAGAAGTTTTCACACAACTTCATAACAGCTAAGTTGCTAAATCATAGCCAAAATCCCAGACTTTGCTCTGAGTCCGAAGCGCTGCAACCTCCAGGCATGAATGTACCGAAGACTAAATGCATGATACAAAAATTCAGCAGCCGCAGGGGTACTGCACCCCCTTTAAGGCAACTCTTCGATACTCTTAGCCAGCCCAAAGCTTTCAAAGCCCGCAGTGCACAAGGGTTCTGTTTGGTTCCGTGTGGTTCCCTGTATCGGCTGACCCGTGCACGCGGTATCTGAGATGGCCGTGCTTGCTTTCAGTGCCACACGCTGCATCGAACACGACGTCTTTCCAGATAATCAGAAACTGCCGCTCAGCTGCTGCCTTTGTTTTTTGGACCTGCATGAATGAACGTCCTCTATGTTTAGAAAAAGGTGCTGTTGCTTCTGAACCTTCTCCTCGCGTCATTTGGCGTTGGTAGGGTTGCAGCTCTAGCGGATCACGCGGGGGTGCTCTTAACACCGGTTTGGTTTTTAACATCGTCAGGATGCCGGGGAGTTTCTGCACAGGATGTTCGACCGACCGAATATCCTCTAGGAATCTCAGTGTCATCAGACTTATATCCGTGCACCCGACAAAACCTTGTATCATCGTCTCTTGCTCTTCCCCCCTTCCCCCCCCCCACCCTGAGGCTGGAGAAGCACAGTAACCCCCAAGCGCTCATGCAAACCCCCCAGCCCGCCGGATTCACCCGTCAACGCGGCTTCTGCAGCTCCAAGTTTTGCCCCGCCTTTGAGCGAGTGCTATCGTCGGAGACACCCCGCCCGTGCCGGGCCCACAAAGATGGGGGGTTCAGGGTTTCGGGGTGGGGTTGAAGCGTGGGGTGTATGTAGGATTGGGGTTTTAGCTCTTAGGCGTTCCCGATGAGAGGGACCTTGAGATTTTTCTGGGCCGTGTTCTCAGATTTGGGATATCTCAGGTCTTGGTTGGAGGGTTTTTGAAGAGGATCTTCGGCCTGAATTCCACAACTTGCAGACTTAATTAGGGCTTTCGGGTCCGTTTATACTCTTTTGTTTTGCCGGGGGTGGGGGGGGGTTGATCGGGTTCAAGGGCTCAAGCGCATGGGGCATGCAATCTTTGAGGAAACAGGTGAACATCAACACTGCTCATGGCAGAGAAACACGCATGACGCAAACTGCCGCAATTGCTCTGATACATATTCATAACATTATGGCTTGCAGGCGTCGAGTCGAACCCTGCTCCTTAACCCTGGTCCGCATCCTGAAGATGATAGTCTGATAGTTGAGAACGCTCTGATTACCAGGCATCCTGACCTGGTGCCGAATGCGGCGGCTAGCCCTTGCGTGGTCGTACCTTGGTGTCAAATGTCGGATGTGGCTGTCTAGCTGTGATTTCCGCTCTACCTTCCCACTTCTGGGGCCCAAGCAAAAGGTTTCCTTTGAACTCACTTTTCAGACCTGAATCGCTCAGGTTCCCCCAAACCAACCCCTAAACTCCCAAACCCCCAAGCCCCCGAACCGTTTGCCCAAGCGCCCAAACCCCTATAAGTCCGTAAGCCCTGAAATGCAGAAAGCCTTAAAGCCCTCACCAATTCCAGCTTCCTGCAGGCCCCAGGCACTGCGCTCCAAAAAGCTGGCGGGGCCCTTGGGCGGAATGCACAAGTCGGGTCTGGGGGTGAGCGGCATGGGATTCTAGGGGGGAGGCGATCCCCGATTCTTGAAGTGCTTTGAGGGCGTTTTGCTGCTTTAAGGTTGGGACTGGTTGGGGCTGCTGTTGTATACTGGCGGCTTCGGAAGCTGGAGGGCTTGAGCCCTAGGCCCGCAAACCCCTTCCTGGGAACCCCCCTGGCCATGTGCACACCCATGAACCACTGCATTGAAAGCCCGACGACGGCCTCCGTTCTCCTTCTCCCGCACAAAGACAACAAAGACAACAAGAAACATCGTCTGCAGACCCTGCGGGCAGGCCGCTCCACTCGAGCCCTCAGAGCCCACGGATGCCCCTGCACAGGACTGAACTTGGCAAAGGGTACCTTCAGACTTTCTCAAGCTGCCTCCGGGCTTCCATGTCTTGAGGGGAGGGGGGCAGGGACCAGGGATAGGACGTGTTGAGCTTTGGGGAAATGGAGGAGTCAGAGTAGGACTTGAGCTTTGGACAGGTGGGATTGAGGTGAGGGATTGCCTCTTTTGCGATTTGTGCCGTGGGTTTTGTCTTGGACAGCCTGGGCTAGCACTGATGCTATTCTGGTGAGCCGACGGCTCCAACTCCTCGAGGGGGAACACACGAATCCAAACTCAACTGAGCTCAACCCAACCGGGGACCCAAAGCTGCTTGAGATATCATGGGTCTCTAGAATGCTGAGACCTGGAATGATGTTTGGAATGCTAAAGCGCCTGGCCCCTGTGTTCAAAGTCGCTTCACACTTTGGGTCTGTGAAATTTCTCCATTAAGAGCCTGCACAGCATTTGTATAGATATGCACAGTGACAAACTGTTCTAGCACGTTGTCTCAGACACGGATCTCCACCAAAATAGCAAGCCGCATGTAAAGCTTGTGCTGCGCACATGGCGGCCTCGAAGCCAGAGCTGCTGCCGGTGTACCACTGCATTAAGCACCTTCACGGACTCGTAGTTTGAAACATTGAACGTTTACAATGTATCAAACTACGAGTCCGTGAAGGTGCTTAATGCAGTGTTTGCCCACCTGTGGGCACCAGTGAAATTTGGTGGAGTATTTCACGTTGGAGTTCAGATTGGCGACGTCGAGTGGTCGTACGGCAATGATTGGCTTGCCACCCCTAAGCGACACCAAGCACAGTTTCCGTGAATCCATCTTTATGGGCCACACGGAGAAGTCCATGGAGGCGATCAACGCCATTCTGCGCGACTTGGTGGAGGAATTCCCAGGGTACCAATATGATGTGTTTCGCAAAAACTGCAACCACTTTGCGGACAGCCTGTGTCAACGATTGCAGGTGTCAACGATACCGGAGCACATCAACCGATTCGCCCGCATTGGGGCTTGTGCCGAGAACTTTGTGAAAGACAACTTCGGCGATTTTAAGCACAGCTCCTGGGCACACATGGTGCCCAGCTCCCTGGCCTTTTGCGTTGGAGGAAGGCACCAGCCTGCGAGAAGTACGGTCATGGTCGTTACATGGTGCCGAAGAAGCTCGTCAAGAAAACGTTCGGCGTCCCTGGCGCGGTGCTAGTTACAGCCAACATGGAAGTGGCACCCCTTTGAAAACTGGTGACCTGACAGCCCCAGCGGAGGTTGAGGTGCACATCGCGAACCGCTCCACCTTCTGGCGCAGATTCTACGAAATGCTGCTTGCCAATGACAACAAGAATTCAGTTTGGGCTACACATGCCCCGAGTGACATGCATGTATTGCTTGCCAGTGTAAACAGATGGGAATCGCGTGGTTCATCCTTCATACATCTATGGCGAGAAGCTGCGAGAAGCTCCAACTCCCTGTCACATAGCCTTTCGCACATGCATCACGCGCAGGACCCGCAGCAACCCTATGCCCTGAGCCCTCAAGAAACCCCGGCCCCGAAGCTCACCGAGCCCTCAAGCCTGCATCTCAAAGACGCCGTAAAGCAATCCAGCTACTGGAGCACAGACCCAACTGCAACACTTCAGCATCCTCTGAGCTCTAAACTCTTCTAACTCGAACAGTCCGAAAAGAGTTCGAAAGCCGAACACCCTCGACGCTCATGGGCTCGACACCTATGTATAAGCATGTATAAGCCTTCACGGCTCCTCCCTGCCTCCCTCCCCCCCTTTCAGGCCGCCCGTGCAGCCATGGTGCTGCCCTGACTGGGCCGGCGTCTCAAACCTCTTCAGTCCAAATCAGAGAAGGATAGAGGGCGAGCGACGTCACTTGTCGCCAATCTTCATACTTCAGTTGCTACTGGCCCCCCCTACGTGATCGAAGTCCCAAGTCCCACGAGCCCGCAGCAAAACAAAGCCTTGTCTGCCTTCTCCGCAAAACGTTAGGCTCTCATAAGGTTCTCACGGCCTCGTTACGGGTACTTCGGGTATGTCGGCCCATGAAGAATGCCTTAATTCAGCTCCAGCCCGTCACTCTTTTTCCCTAGTAACCGTACTAACCCTCCTAACCCCAACAACCCTCATACCCCCAATAGCACCCAAAAAACCCCTGATACAACCTCAACAACCTGAGTAACCCTGGAGCCCTCTCAGGTCATCTGTGGCTGGCCAGCTGCCGCCATTCCCACGCCGCTCCTCCTGGGCGTGACAGGCAGGGGTTAAACGGGTTTAGGGTTTCGGGTTGAGGGTTGCCAGTATTTTAGGGTTTGGGGTGGGCAGGGCAGGTTCGAGGTGGTTAGAGGCCAGAGGGTGTAGGCGTTCAGGGGGTAAAGCTTCAGACCCCATTTCTTGTCGCGCCTCGTTTCTTTTAGGGGAACTGGTGTAGGGGGTATAATATAGCTCGTGTGCGGTTCAGATTACGGTGTTCGGAAGCAATTGTCCTTCGCGCCTTGAGCTTAGTGTTGTGGTCGTTGCAGGTGTCGCATAAGATGACTTTGCCCGCAAGAGGTATTCCGCCTTCCTTGCAGCGAGCAGAACACGAGCCGAGTCAAGCCTTCGTGCACGAGCAGCAGGGTTGACTGGTGATGCTGAAGTAGGCTCAGGAGGCAAGAGGCTACAAGCAAGAAGAGAACATGCCGCATGTAAAGTTTAAGTTTCAGACCCTGCGCGCCGCGCAGCTTGAGAAATGCCCATGACAAATCCCCAGCGTCGTCCTACACAGATCTCCATCAAGACAGCCAGCCACACGTAAATCTAAAGCTTGTGCTGCGCACATGGCGGCCTCGAAGCCAGAGCTGCTGCCGGTGTACCTGAACGTGTACAACGTTTCCAACTATGAATCGGTCAAGGTGCTTAACGCAGTGTTTGCCCACCTGTGGGCACCAGTGAAATTTGGTGGAGTATTTCACGTTGGAGTTCAGATTGGCGACATCGAGTGGTCGTACGGCAAGACTCTGACAGCAAGTCGGCCAGGGGTGATTGGCTTGCCACCCCTAAGCGACACCAAGCACAGTTTCCGTGAATCCATCTTTATGGGCCACACGGAGAAGTCATTAGAGGCGATCAACGCAATCGTCCGAGACTTGGTCGAGGACTTCCCAGGGTACCAATATGACGTGTTCCGCAAAAACTGCAACCACTTTGCGGACAGCTTGTGTCACCGTTTGCAGGTCTCAAGGATGCCCGAGCACATCAACCGATTTGCCCGCATTGGGGCTTGTGCCGAGAACTTTGTCAAAGACAACTTCGGCGACTTTAAGCACAGCTCCTGGGCACACATGGTGCCCAGCTCCCTGGCCTCTTACGTTGGAGGCAGCGAGAAGGCACCAGCCTGCGAGAAGTACGGTCATGGTCGTTACATGGTGCCGAAGAAGCTCGTCAAGAAAACGTTCGGCGTCCCTGGCGCGGTGCGAGTTACAGCCAACATGGAAGTGGCACCCCTTTGAAAACTGGTGACGTGACAGCCCCAGCAGAGGTTGAGGTGCACATCGCGAACCGCTGCACCTTCTGGCGCAGATTCTACGAAATGCTGGATGCCAATGACAACAAGAATTCAGTTTGGGCTACACATGCCCCGAGTGACATGCATGTATTGCTTGCCAGTGTAAACAGATGGGAATCGCGTGGTTCATCCTTCATACATCTATGGCGAGAAGCTGCGAGAAGCTCCAACTCCCTGTCACATAGCCTTTCGCACATGCATCACACGCAGGACCCGCAGCAACCCTATGCCCTGAGCCCTCAAGAAACCCCGGCCCCGAAGCTCACCGAGCCCTCAAGCCTGCATCTCAAAGACGCCGTAAGGCAATCCAGCTACTGGAGCACAGACCCAACTGCAACACTTCAGCATCCTCTGAGCTCTAAACTCTTCTAACTCGAACAGTCCGAAAAGAGTTCGAAAGTCGAACACCCTCGACGCTCATGGGCTCGACACCCATGTATAAGCCTTCACGGCTCCTCCCTGCCTCCCTCCCCCCCTTTCAGGCCGCCCGTGCAGCCATCAGTGGCCCTGCCCCACCTCCAGTGCTGCCCTGGGCCGGCGTCTCAAACCTCTTCAGTCCAAATCAGAGAAGGATAGAGGGCGAGCGACGTCACTTGTCGCCAATCTTCATACTTCAGTTGCTACTGGCCCCCCCTACGTGATCGAAGTCCCAAGTCCCACGAGCCCGCAGCAAAACAAAGCCTTGTCTGCCTTCTCCGCAAAACGTTAGGCTCTCATAAGGTTCTCACGGCCTCGTTCGGGGTATTTCGGGTATGTCGCCCCATGAAGAATGCCATAATTCAGCTCCAGCCCGTCACTCTTTTACCCTGGTAACCGTACTAACCCTCCTAACCCCAACAACCCTCATACCCCCAATAGCACCCAAAAAACCCCCATATAACCTCAACAACCTGAGTAACCCTGGAGCCCTCTCAGGTCATCTGTGGCTGGCCAGCTGCCGCCATTCCCACGCCGCTCCTCCTGGGCGTGACAGGCAGGGGTTAAACGGGTTTAGGGTTTCGGGTTGAGGGTTGCCAGTATTTTAGGGTTTGGGGTGGGCAGGGCAGGTTCGAGGTGGTTAGAGGCCAGAGGGTGTAGGCGTTCAGGGGGTAAAGCTTCAGACCCCATTTCTTGTCGCGCCTCGTTTCTTTTAGGGGAACTGGTGTAGGGGGTATAATATAGCTCGTGTGCGATTCAGATTACGGTGTTCGGAAGCAATTGTCCTTCGCGCCTTGAGCTTAGTGTTGTGGTCGTTGCAGGTGTCGCATAAGATGACTTTGCCCGCAAGAGGTATTCCGCCTTCCTTGCAGCGAGCAGAACACGAGCCGAGTCAAGCCTTCGTGCACGAGCAGCAGGGTTGACTGGTGATGCTGAAGTAGGCTCAGGAGGCAAGAGGCTACAAGCAAGAAGAGAACATGCCGCATGTAAAGTTTAAGTTTCAGACCCTGCGCGCCGCGCAGCTTGAGAAATGCCCATGACAAATCCCCAGCGTCGTCCTACACAGATCTCCATCAAGACAGCCAGCCACACGTAAATCTAAAGCTTGTGCTGCGCACATGGCGGCCTCGAAGCCAGAGCTGCTGCCGGTGTACCTGAACGTGTACAACGTTTCCAACTATGAATCGGTCAAGGTGCTTAACGCAGTGTTTGCCCACCTGTGGGCACCAGTGAAATTTGGTGGAGTATTTCACGTTGGAGTTCAGATTGGCGACATCGAGTGGTCGTACGGCAAGACTCTGACAGCAAGTCGGCCAGGGGTGATTGGCTTGCCACCCCTAAGCGACACCAAGCACAGTTTCCGTGAATCCATCTTTATGGGCCACACGGAGAAGTCATTAGAGGCGATCAACGCAATCGTCCGAGACTTGGTCGAGGACTTCCCAGGGTACCAATATGACGTGTTCCGCAAAAACTGCAACCACTTTGCGGACAGCTTGTGTCACCGTTTGCAGGTCTCAAGGATGCCCGAGCACATCAACCGATTTGCCCGCATTGGGGCTTGTGCCGAGAACTTTGTCAAAGACAACTTCGGCGACTTTAAGCACAGCTCCTGGGCACACATAGTGCCCAGCTCCCTGGCCTCTTACGTTGGAGGCAGCGAGAAGGCACCAGCCTGCGAGAAGTACGGTCATGGTCGTTACACGGTGCCGAAGAAGCTCGTCAAGAAAACGTTCGGCGTCCCTGGCGCGGTGCGAGTTACAGCCAACATGGAAGTGGCACCCCTTTGAAAACTGGTGACGTGACAGCCCCAGCAGAGGTTGAGGTGCACATCGCGAACCGCTCCACCTTCTGGCGCAGATTCTACGAAATGCTGGATGCCAATGACAACAAGAATTCAGTTTGGGCTACACATGCCCCGAGTGACATGCATGTATTGCTTGCCAGTGCAAAAAGATGGGAATCGCGTGGTTCATCCTTCATACATCTCAGTGCGGGCGCAGAGGGGGGCGGATAAACGTAAATACACCGATACACCGATACACCGATACACTGATACACCGATACACCGATACACCGACCCCCCCGAGGGGGGGGGGGCGATCGGCGTAAAACGGAGGCAATACACCGATACACCGACACACCGATACACCGACCCGGGGGGGGGGCAATCAGCGTAAAGTGGAGGCAATGCACCCATACACCGATGCACCGACTGGCGGGGGGGGGGAGTCCCGGGCTACTACACCGACACGTCCACACGCCGACCGGGGAAGGGGAAGGCCGGGGCTTATCAGATCAGAACCCTCCTGCAAATTCTGGGCCTTCAATGTCCGTCAGCAATACACCGATACACCCAGGGGATCCCGGGGGCGGTTGGAGCAGGACTGCGACCATCAGGGCCCAAGAATTTCAATCAAGGCCCAGGAAATTCTGGGCCTTCATTGTCTGTTGGCTGGAAGTCAACGTCTCGCGATTGAAGCAGGACTACAACATTCAAGACACTAGAATTTCAATCAAGTCCCAGGAAATTCTGGGCCTTCATTGTCCGCTAGCTCTGCACAGATACATCCAGGGGTTCCCGGGGGCCTTGTGGCAAACAGAAGACAGGGCAAGACAGGAGGGAAGGGAGGGGGGAGGGATCCCCGGATTAAATCGGGGGGGATCGGCGTATCGGCGTGGAGGGGGGGACGGGATCGGCGTATCGGCGTATCGGCGTATCGGCGTATAGGCCTATTTCTGGAATCGGCGTATCGGCGTATCGGCGTACAGGCATCTTTCTGGGGGTGGGGGGGAGGGGCGAACGGCGTATCGGCGTAACGGCGTGTTTCCCACAGGCTTGGGGGGGGTGGGGGGGGGGATCGGGGTATCGGCGTGTTACCCGGCGTATCGGCGTATCGGCGTATTTCTGGGAGAGGGGGGGGGGTCAGCCTATCGGTGTTGGGGGCGGGGGGGGGAAACCGGCGTATCGGCGTATCGGCGTATCGGCGTGGGGAAGAGGGGGACAAAGGGGGGGGGGTTCCGGCGTACCGGCGTATCGGCGTAAATCGGTTTTCGCCCCTATTCCCATGCACGCTGATACATCTATGGCGAGAAGATGCGGGAAGCTACCAACTCCCTGTTACATAGACTTTCGCAAACGCATCAAAAACCCCGGCCCCGAAGCTCACCGAGCCCTCAAGCCTGCATCTCAAAGACGCCGCAAATCAATCCAGCTACTGGAGCACAGACCCAACTGCAACACTTCAGCATCCTCTGAGCTCTAAACTCTTCTAACTCGAACAGTCCGAAAAGAGTTCGAAAGCCGAACACCCTCGACGCTCATGGGCTCGACACCCATGTATAAGCCTTCACGGCTCCTCCCTGCCTCCCTCCCCCCCTTTCAGGCCGCCCGTGCAGCCATCAGTGGCCCTGCCCCACCTCCAGTGCTGCCCTGGGCCGGCGTCTCAAACCTCTTCAGTCCAAATCAGAGAAGGATAGAGGGCGAGCGACGTCACTTGTCGCCAATCTTCATACTTCAGTTGCTACTGGCCCCCCCTACGTGATCGAAGTCCCAAGTCCCACGAGCCCGCAGCAAAACAAAGCCTTGTCTGCCTTCTCCGCAAAACGTTAGGCTCTCATAAGGTTCTCACGGCCTCGTTCGGGGTATTTCGGGTATGTCGCCCCATGAAGAATGCCATAATTCAGCTCCAGCCCGTCACTCTTTTACCCTGATAACCGTACTAACCCTCCTAACCCCAGCAACCCTCACACCCCCAATAGCATCCCAAAAACCCCCGATATAACCTCAACAAACTGAGTAACCCTGGAGCCCTCTCAGGTCATCTGTGGCTGGCCAGCGCCATAATTCAGCTCCAACCCGCCACTCTTTTACCCTGATAACCGTACTAACCCTCCTAACCCCAACAACCCTCACACCCCCAATAGCACCCACAAAACCCCCGATATAACCTCAACAACCCCAGCAACCCTGGAGCCCTCTCAGGTCATCTGTGGCTGGCCAGCTGCCGCCATTCCCACGCCGCTCCTCCTGGGCGTGACAGGCAGGGGTTAAACGGGTTTAGGGTTTCGGGTTGAGGGTTGCCAGTACTTTAGGGTTTTGGGGTGGGCAGGGCAGGTTCGACGTTCAGGGGGTAAAGGCGCCTCGTTTCTTTTAGGGGAACTGGTGTAGGGGGTATAATATAGCTCGTGTGCGGTTCAGATTACGGTGTTCGGAAGCAATTGTCCTTCGCGCCTTGAGCTTAGTGTTGTGGTCGTTGCAGGTGTCGCATAAGATGACTTTGCCCGCAAGAGGTATTTCCGCCTTCCTTGCAGCGAGCAGAACACGAGCCGAGTCAAGCCTTCGTGCACGAGCAGCAGGGTTGACTGGTGATGCTGAAGTAGGCTCAGGAGGCAAGAGGCTACAAACAAGAAGAGAACATGCCGCATGTAAAGTTTAAGTTTCAGACCCTGCGCGCCGCGCAGCTTGAGAAATGCCCATGACAAATCCCCAGCATCGTCCTACGCAGAGCTCCATCAAGACAGCCAGCCACACGTAAATCTAAAGCTTGTGCTGCGCACATGGCGGCCTCGAAACCAGAGCTGCTGCCGGTTTACCTGAACGTGTACAACGTTTCCAACTATGAATCGGTCAAGGTGCTGAACGCAGTGTTTGCCCACCTGTGGGCACCAGTGAAATTTGGTGGAGTATTTCACGTTGGAGTTCAGATTGGCGACATCGAGTGGTCGTACGGCAAGACTCTGACAGCAAGTCGGCCAGGGGTGATTGGCTTGCCACCCCTAAGCGACACCAAGCACAGTTTCCGTGAATCCATCTTTATGGGCCACACGGAGAAGTCATTAGAGGCGATCAACGCAATCGTCCGAGACTTGGTCGAGGACTTCCCAGGGTACCAATATGACGTGTTCCGCAAAAACTGCAACCACTTTGCGGACAGCTTGTGTCACCGTTTGCAGGTCTCAAGGATGCCCGAGCACATCAACCGATTTGCCCGCATTGGGGCTTGTGCCGAGAACTTTGTCAAAGACAACTTCGGCGATTTTAAGCATAGCTCCTGGGCACACATGGTGCCCAGCTCCCCGGCCTCTTACGTTGGAGGCAGCGAGAAGGCACCAGCCTGCGAGAAGTACGGTCATGGTCGTTACATGGTGCCGAAGAAGCTCGTCAAGAAAGCGTTCCGCGTCCCTGGCGCGGTGCTAGTTACAGCCAACATGGAAGTGGCACCCCTTTGAAAACTGGTGACCTGACAGCCCCAGCAGAGGTTGAGGTGCACATCGCGAACCGCTCCACCTTCTGGCGCAGATTCTACGAAATGCTGGATGCCAATGACAACAAGAATTCAGTTTGGGCTACACATGCCCCGAGTGACATGCATGTATTGCTTGCCAGTGTAAACAGATGGGAATCGCGTGGTTCATCCTTCATACATCTATGGCGAGAAGATGTGAGAAGCTACCAACTCCTTGTCACATAGCCTTTCGCACATGCATCACGCGCAGGACCCGCAGCAACCCTATGCCCTGAGCCCTCAAGAAACCCCGGCCCCGAAGCTCACCGAGCCCTCAAGCCTGCATCTCAAAGACGCCGTAAAGCAATCCAGCTACTGGAGCACAGACCCAACTGCAACACTTCAGCATCCTCTGAGCTCTAAACTCTTCTAACTCGAACAGTCCGAAAAGAGTTCGAAAGCCGAACACCCTCGACGCTCATGGGCTCGACACCCATGTATAAGCCTTCACGGCCCCTCCCTGCCTCCCTCCCCCCCTTTCAGGCCGCCCGTGCAGCCATGGTGCTGCCCTGACTGGGCCGGCGTCTCAAACCTCTTCAGTCCAAATCAGAGAAGGATAGAGGGCGAGCGACGTCACTTGTCGCCAATCTTCATACTTCAGTTGCTACTGGCCCCCCCTACGTGATCGAAGTCCCAAGTCCCAGGAGCCCGCAGCAAAACAAAGCCTTGTCTGCCTTCTCCGCAAAACGTTAGGCTCGGGGTATTTCGGGTATGTCGGCCCATGAAGAATGCCATAATTCAGCTCCAGCCCGTCACTCTTTTACCCTGATAACCGTACTCACCCTCCTAACCCCAACAACCCTCATACCCCCAATAGCACCCACAAAACCCCCGATATAACCTCAGCAACCCCCTGGAGCTCTCTCAGGTCATCTGCGGCTTTCCGGCTGCTACCGTTCGGCTGCTGCCATCGCCATGCCACTCCTCGAGTGGTCTTACGGCCAGACTCTGACAGCAAGTCGGCCATTGGCTTGCCACCCCGCAGCGACACCAAGCACGGCTTCCGCGAATCCATCTTTATGGGCCACACGGATCTGTCAATGGAGGCGATCAATGCCATCCTCCGCGACTTGGCACCATGTGTGCCCAGGATCTGTGCTTGAAACTGCCGAAGTTGTCTTGGACAAAGCCTTCGTGCAGAAGACTGTGTTCAAGACAACTTCGGCGAGTTCAAGCGCAGCTGCTGGGCGCAGATCGTGCCTAGGTCCCTGGCCTCTTGCGTTGGAGGCAGCAAGAAGGCGCCAGTCCGAGAGAAGTATGGTCGCTACCGCACCCCGGCACGCGGAATGTGGCGGCTTGAGGTGCGCAGCGCGAAGGGCGCAGGATTCGGGCGTAGTTTGGGCTGCACATACCCCAAATAAATCCACGTCTTGCTTGCCCGTGTGAAAAGATGGGGAATCGCGTGGCGCATCATGCACCTTGACATGCTGATAAGCTTCATCTCTGTAGCGAGGAGCAACAAGGATGAGACACGGTAGGTTTGAGTTGGGTATTACACGGTACATGTGTGTCCTTGTGTTGCAAGCTTGCTTGTTCTGTGTTCTGCATGTGCAGGCTTGCGGGTGCAGCCTAAGCTGGCAAGCATTGTTCAGCACCTCTCCTTTCATCCCAAAACAAAGCAGGATGCCTCTGAAATGGCTTTCGTCGGGCGTGCCGTTGCACTGGAACCCCTTGTCCAGGGATGCTGCGGAACAAGTTCGACGTCTGCTTCGTCAATGACGGGGCAATTTGTTGCCAATCTGGGACTCCATGCCCGCTCTTAGCCCCGCTTACCCGCGCTTACCCGCGCTTCCCCGCTGTAGAGCCCAGAGCCGAGATCTTTCCAAGGCATCTCCCGATAGGCTGCAGGCATGAAGAGCTATCAGACCTGACGCATGAGATCCCATTAGACTCAGGACATCCCGATCTGCCAAGCTCCAAAACCATGAGCTGGACACATTTGGGTTTTTCGGATGGCAAGCCCTGGCTTTGTATGCGCCCCATGACGCCACAGTCAAGGACACCGCACAACCTTGCAGACGTTGTCAACACCCCGAAGCCCAAAGTCTCTGGGGCGTGGAGTGCAGATTCGTGAGCTTCGCGTGGGCTCTGCAAAGTGCCTGAACCCTAAAAGAACGGTAAGATCCCCGAGTTTCGATCAGAGGGTGAAGGGCACCTGTGTCCATGCAGCCGACTTTTCAAGGCAGGAAATGTACCCAAGCGTGTAATAAGCGTGTAATGGTCCAGTAATGGTGCCCGCAGCCAGCAGAGACACGTTTCGTTGTCAGACTGCGGCCGCGACGGAAGCTGCCTGAAGGTTCTGGAATGCAGAGTTTTTCACACAACTTCATAACAGCTAAGTTGCTAAATCATAGCCAAAATCCCAGACTTTGCTCTGAGTCCGAAGCGCTGCAACCTCCAGGCACGAATGTACCGAAGACTAAATGCATGATACAATAATTCAGCAGCCGCAGGGGTACTGCACCCCCTTTAAGGCAACTCTTCGATACTCTTAGCCAGCCCAAAGCTTTCAAAGCCCGCAGTGCACAAGGGTTCTGTTTGGTTCCGTGTGGTTCCCTGTATCGGCTGACCCGTGCACGCGGTATCTGCGATGGCCGTGCTTGCTTTCAGTGCCACACGCTGCATCGAACACGACGTCTTTCCAGATAATCAGAAACTGCCGCTCAGCTGCTGCCTTTGTTTTTTGGACCTGCATGAATGAACGTCCTCTATGTTTAGAAAAAGGTGCTGCTGCCTCTGAACCTTCTCCTCGCGTCATTTGGCGTTGGTAGGGTTGCAGCTCTAGCGGATCGCGCGGGGTTGCTCTTAACGTACGGTTTGGTTTTTAACATCATCAGCATGCCGGGGGTTTCTGCACAAGATGTTCGACCGACCGAAGGACCTCTAGGAGTGTCATCGGGCTTGTATCGTGCACCCGACAACACCTTGTATCATCATCCCTTGCCCTTCCCCCTTCCCTTCCCTTCCCCTTGCCCCTTGCCCCATTCACCCACCCCCTTCCCCCCTCCCCCCACTCTGAGGCTGAAGAAGCACAACAACCCTCAAGCGCTCATGCAAACCCCCCAGCCCGTCGGCTTCCCTTATCACCTCACCCGCCAATGCGGCTTCTGCAGTTCCAAGTTTTGCCCCCGATTTTGAGCGAGTGCTATCGTCGGAGACATCCCGACCATGCCGGGCCCACAGAGATTGGGGGCTCAGGGTTTCTGGGTGGGGTTGAAGCGTGGGGTGCAGGGTTGGGGGTTGGATCTTACATGCGTTCACGATGGGAGGGCATTGAGATTTTTTCTGGGCCGTGTTCTCAGATTTGGGATATGTCAGGTCTTGGCTGGAGGTTTTCGGATTTCAAGCTGGATTTGTATGCCCTCATAGAACTTGCGTAGCCGTCGCACATGCTCCTCAGCAGCGTCGATGCTTCAGGTCCGCCGCTGCCGTCAATGCCGCTGCGGCGAGCCGCGACTACAAGGCTGAGCAGGGGAGTCGGGTGTTACATGTTAAAGTAGGGTCCATTTCGCTGCTTAAAGGAATGAGACTGGAGCCCGTATCGATTCGGGTCTAGGATCGAGTGTTTAGGGTGTTTTTGGTCGTTGGGCCCTACAAGATGGTGGTCTCAAGCCTGTTGGGGTGGGGTTGGAGTCGGAGTCGGGGGCTTGGTATTGTAGCCATTGTAGCCCCTAAAGAGCCCACAGGAGAGCCTGATAAAAGCCCTTTGAGGCCTTAAGGTCTCCAACGAGTATCAGCGCTTCAGGGCGGCTTCCGCTTCCCGATGCTGCGGTGAATCCCCCCTCTTATGATTCTTTCAACGTCGCCCGACACTTCGAACACCCTCAAGAACTAGTGGGGCAAATTTAGGGCTCAGGGGTTTTTGGGGGGATGCTCAGGTGCCTTGGGGCGACCCTGTGTAAGCCGGCCCTAAACCCTGAACCCCCAAAAGCCCTGTAAAGCCTTGAGCCCTAGAATTTTAAGGGTCCTGGAGTCGTGGAGACGGCTCCAGGAATCCCTAGGGTCCAAGAATTCTACAAGTTCACCACAGTTCACCCCAGTGCCCGGCACCCCCCACAAGAGGCGAGGGGGGGGACGGTAAACACGCCCTGGGCTCGGCCAGGTCTACCCCCGTATCGACTACCGAACGATCACGGGCGTGGAAGGCGGCACATTCTCCAAGACTTCACCCATCTAAGAAGAAAATGACCACCGTGGTATCCACCCCCTGTGGTTTGCGGAGGGTTTAGGGTTTCCCTGGTCTGTGGTTCATGCTGGGTTTAGGGTTTAGGGTTCGCGTTAGGCTTTAGGGACTGTAGGGTTTTAGGGTTTTCATTCTGCCCCCCGGGGCAGGGTGGTGGGCTTGGGGTTCAGGGTTCTGGGTTTTTATGGTTCAGGGTCGAGTAGGTTTCGGTTTTGGGTTTTACCCTCCGCCCCCTGTGGCTCGTGGTGGGTTCAGGGTTAACGGTCAGGGTTTAGGAGGCAGCGGAGTGCGGATGCATCTGCTGACACCGGTAGAGAGTTCAGGGATGTTCAGGGTAATCCCGCACATCCAACCCCAAGTCCGACGCCCTGAATCCCCGAAGCCGCGTCTCTTTCTCGGTTGGGGTGCCTTGACCGGGTGTGGGTTTGAGGGCGGACCCTGCCCGTCTTACCTTGTCCTTGGGCTCCAAGAAGCTTTGGAGGTTCTGCAGGATTGGGGTTTCTCGAGTCCAACCGTTCTCGTGGGTTTCCAGGACCCTTGGTGATTATGGAGAACGTGAAGTTCCCCACGTACGGCGCGAGTCTCATGGGGTTTCGGAACTGTTTCGGCTATGTGGGACTCCTTGAACCCTAAAGCCTAAGGTGAGATTGTGAACGTCAACTTGTCGGTCACGGGCTCAGCTGCCTTTCGTCCCTGGCAGTTAGTAGGGTGCAGGCGTGAATGCCAGATTCCAGGCTTCTGATGCCAGAAACTGCCGGCTAAACCCTACACCTTGATCCCCAAACCTTGATCCGATCCCCGATGCCTGAAGCCTGAAGCCCGCTAAAGGCCCCAAAACAGGCCTTCACAACCTCAACGCTGAACCCTGCAGCGACTGGAGCTCCGAGGACGGCACCGTGCGCCAGGGGCAGATTTTGGAGGTGAACAAGAAGAAGGCGGTCGAAGCCGCTTTTTCATAGTGCTCCTACGATTGGCTACTATTGTTATTGCCATTTGTGATTATTGCTTTGTTATATTTGTTCTTCTTATTCTTCTGCTTATCATTTCAATGATTGCTACTTTTATGACTATGTTTTGTTCTTCTCATACTGAATGAAGCGGCAAATGTTATTAGGTTATGATGCTTCAGGGTTCAGGATGTAGAGTTTGGCTGCTGTGCACTCTTTCAGTCCCCAAGCTCACAAAGCAAGGCGCTGCACAAAACTCTTACATCGGTTCACTGTGATGGGTGCCAGGCAGTCGTGCAGGTGTTCGAGGGAACCAGCAATATCGACAACAGGCTCCATCTGTGCTGCACATGGCCGGTGGTATTTTGCTTCAGGATTCAGTTGTTCAGGGATTTAGCGGTTTACGGTCTTAGGGTTTCGGGATTTAGTGTTCAGGGTAGTGTAAAGAGTTGGGGGTCAAGGATTCAGAGTTTACAGCCTTGGAGTACGGCATGGCTTTCTTAGATCTCCGACATCTGAAGCCCCCACGCGAATCCTGAACTATTTTGGGTACCTCAACGAAGTCCGACGCCTCAGAATCAGCCGCGAAACTAAGCACCATCCCGGCTGAAGGGATTGCCACATCGAGTTCACTGGCGACACCCTGAAGATGCCCATCTCAGATGACCTCATGGGCCCCTTGTCAGCCTCAGAGCCTCAGAGAGCCCATCCCGAAGTTTCATCACTTGGAGGGGTTTTTTTCAGCTCGAGGGCTCCTTGGAGCTTCGGCGTTCAGAGATGCGAGGGTTCGTTTGGGCTGATGGGGTGACGGCGAAGTTCTTGTGTCGGCGCCTTGCCTGCAAAGGCAAGTGGGCTGACCCGGGAGCCGTTCGTTAGCGTGAATCCTAAACACCCTGAGCCCCCTATTCCCCAAACACCCCCACAAGCCTGAAGCGCGAAAGAGCCCGAACCTCCCAAAATGAGAGGCGAGCCCGAAATGGGGTCATATTACCCTCAGCTGCCTTGGCCCCCTCCGGTTACCAGGCCGTGCCTTCAATGGCTCCGGAAAGCCCATTGACAAGGGGCCGCGCCCTCGCACCCGAGGTCGCCCTTGCGGTTTGGGGTCTCTGGGGTTTTAGGGCTTATGAACCTTATGGTTCCGGGTTTCAGGGTGTTGCTGTAGGGTTTTGTTGGGGTTTCAGGGTTGCTTGAAAAGCAGCTGCACAATTGGATGCAGGTGAGCAACACGCCATAGACCATGGAGCCTCACTCCAACATGGGATGCCGCAGCACGTGTAAGGTCCGCACTGGCACCGCACCCCTCAAGCCCTGTCAGGTCCTATCAAAGCTCGCAAACCCCAAGCCCTACCAACCCTAAAGCCCTAACAAACTCGGAGCTTGAAACCGATTTCATGGCCCTTGGGCACATCGAGGCCCTCAGTGTTGGCAGAGGACTTCCTGGACATCAATGGAGCACCGCTGAACCCCAAGTGGCCTGGCCGCATATATGTATATGTACGCACATTGTAATTTCGTTCATATGACATAGGGCTGATGAGTCTAAAGAATGTTTAAAGTTAGGCTCACACGGCACTCACTAAATGTCAAAGTAAGTGATAGCACGTGTGTTGGCGAAAGCTCACACTGAGTGCTGTCAGAGTCCTGGCGCCACCCAGAACCTCCCAAAAGCCACCAAAACTCTTCTCGAAAGACCGACATGGGCTCCCAAGAGCCCTAAGCGAAGATCAACTAACAGCATAATAAGATGATGACAATAAGGCCCTGTAAAAAGCATAGTTCTCTTCGTTCTTCGTCCTTGTGTTCGCTTGCTTTTGCCCACCGACTCACTTAATCATTGGTTTATGGTCACGGGGCTCATTACATTTTGTAGTACGGCATAAGAGTACTCGCACTACGCCTAAGAATGGTAATACGTGAACTCAAACGAAAGACCCGCGTGAGTAGGATTAGTACTTTTCGAGTGAACACGCAAGAACTTCATTTCAACGGGCGTCTTTTGCCGCATGAAGTTAAGTAAAGGCGTGAACGCAGCGAAGCCCCTAAAAAAGATAGATGGGAGGCTTCTTTGATAATTTGTTCGTAAGACCTAAGACCTAGGGGGACCAATGATAAGGTGTCTACCGAGTTTTGAGGTTAGTAGGGTTAGCGGCATGTCTGCTGGCAGGTCGCGGGTGTACCCGAAGGAGATGATCCAGCCGGGGCCTTAGAGAAGCTGCCCCAAGTTTAGGTGAGGTGGCTTCGGAAAGCCAGAGCAACAGGGGGTAAAGGGCTCAGAGATTCCCCTGAGGACAGGAATCAGTGCCATCGACACCATGAACTCTGTGGTGCGAGGGCAGAAGCTGCCCCTCTTCTCGGCCAGGGACCCGGCATGGAGCGTTTCTTCAAGTGCCCTCAAGCCACAGTTTAAGAGGCCTGGATGCTCTTTCCCCTGCGCCGCGCGAAGCCCTTTAAGCCCTGAACCGACGCTGAACGCTTCGCGGCTTGCTCTGATCGGTTGCTTGTGGCTGGCTGTAAGTCGAGCCTGGAGGAGGCTAGTTTGGGTTGGAGGTCCCGGGTCTAGCGCCCCGGGCCCTTTTAAGCCCTGAGCCAAGCTGGCCCCTTGAGACCGGAGCCGCCTTTCCAGGCTGCCGGTCTGCCTCACAACGAGATTGCTGCGCAGGACCCCGCAGCGTAGGACGACGTAGCAGCAGCAGTGGTTGAGATCTCAGGGCCAATGGGTTGAAGGTGGTCGGGGTTTTTTGGGCTTGGGGTGGGTGGAAGACTCAGGAGTTGACGAAGGGTTTGAGATAGGTGTGAGAGGGGAGGGGAAGTGCTTCAGGTTCTCAGGTGGATGAGGCCTTGGACATGAAATCCTGCAGGTGTGCCGACAGGCATCGTTGGTCAAGGGAAAGGATGTGCGGGGCTCAGCGTAGAAGGTTGGGGAGGCATCTGAACATGTATGTCTCGGGACCCCCCCCCCCACCTATGTCCCCGAACGCATGAACTTAAGCTAACATCCACGAAGTTGCAGTCCGAAGATGAGACAGGCCCATCCAGACCCGAAGCCTTCCATCACCTTTTTGTTCTGAGGTGATGGACCACACCCAGGAGAACTTTAGCATCGTGTTCGGCGCGATGGGCCTGGGAACCCAGGAACCCGGTGGCCGCGTGGCTCTTCAGGTTCTCGGGGCGAAGCCTTACGGATCCTAAGCCAAAGTAAAGCGGGAACCTGACACAAAGCCCACAAAGGGTGCCTTGCTCGGAGACCTTGCATTTCAGGTTTAGGATCTCATCGTTAAGCCAGAAGCCATGCAACCCTAGCAGCAGAAATCCCAAAGGCTGACAGCTCGGAGCCCCACACAAGCCCACCAGCAACACCCCCAAGCAATTGCTTGAAAGCCTGTTAGCTCACTCAGCAAGAACAAGCCCAGAGGTGTGAACATGGAGACAGCGCGATTCTTCAGGAACGACTTCGAAGAGAGCGGGGCTCAGAGGTTCCTATGAGCTTGCGACCAGTTCTCCAAGTTCCTAAGTGACATTGGAAGCCAGTCTCCTATTGGGAGATTTGAAGATGGCTCGTCAAAAAAAATAAAATTCTTTATCGTCAAGATAGCCGATTCTTGAGGATTCAGGTTGCATGGCCGACGGAACAGCATTAGGCTTGATTTGAGTTCCAATCCCCTCCCCGGCTTTCACGGGGATTTCTTGGGAGATGAGCCCTCGGTTGGTGAAGGGTGCTTGTGGGGCTCCATGCAGGGAAGCCCGACTGCACAGGCTCTGCGCAAGGGGCGCTCGCTCTTCTGAGAGGGCTGCGGTGAGACAGTTGGGGTCGCTGCTCTCCGGCGCCATGGCTGCCGAGGCAGTTCCTGGCTCCGGGCTGCGCTGGTTGGCGTACATGCGGCACAGCGACCGGCTGGACTGCGAAACTTGTGAAATTTCGGGAGCTTGGCCGGACGCCGGCCAACGACCCTACGACACGCCCATCAGCAACGAGGAGCTGCCCCTTGAATCCGCTCAAGTTCTGAAGGAGAGTCTGCCAGAGGGGGTGGCGGTTTGTGCTGTGGTCAGCTCGCCCTTCCGCCGGTGTCTGCAGACGGCGGCGCTGGCAGGAAGGCAACTGGGCCTCAAGATGCTGCACGTGGATAACCGGCTCGGGGAGCTCATGGCGGCCGTGGCACGGGACTGTGGCCCGGTGAAGCTGGAGGCGTTGGGCTTTCGGTACATATCCTTCGAAGAGGCTGCTAACATTGCCGAAGAGGCCGGCCTACAGTTGCACTGGGACCCCGCTGCTGATGTGCCTGCCACTGATGAGAGTGCGGCCGACATCCTGCGGCGAGTCGATGCAGGGGCTGCCATTGCGAGGAGTGCTTTGGGCAAGGAGGAGTTCAGCCCCACAGAGTGTGTGCTGCTCGTGACGCATGCAGACTTGCTGATGCAGCGCCTTTCCAAGCTCATGCCAGGCAGCATCTGGGCACCCGAAACATGTGCCTGGTTCCTGGAGTGCCTACATGATGACAGCGTGCCCAGCATGCACCGCTTGGAGCGTCTTCTGTAAGTGCGCTTTGAGGCTTTGAGGCTGTGAGGTTGTGCTGCCACCCAGAGCGGAGGCGCGCATTCCGGGGTCGCTCAAAGAGCCGACGCTTGTGTCGGAGGACGCCCAAAAGGATGAACCTGGGCTACTTGAACGCGCTCCGCACGAACGTGGAAGCCGATGTGTCGTCGAATCCTGACAAGCCATGGGCAAACAAGACTGTGATCATCCAGTACTGCAAGGTGAACGGACTACTCTCTTTGAACGAGGCGGCGGCGTCCTACTACTCGCCATACAAGCTGAAGCAAAACATGAGGGACAGGCTTCACATGTCAACGAGCTGTTCCTTCGGCATGATGGCGAACCTATCCAGGCTTGAGCTTACCGATAGCCCCAGCGCCGAAATTCTGTCCTTCCGCCCGCACTACACCACTCCCTACCCTCAATTTGCCAATGCTCTGAAGGCAGCAGAGAGGATGGAGGCAAGCAAGAAGATGCCGATGCTATCCGCACTGAGGTGGAGAAGGTTCGTAGCAAGTTTATCTTGATCCAGCTGATCACTACTGACTGGTGCCCTGCAAGCTGGCGGGAGGCGATGGAACAAGACGCCACATGCTCTGCTCCGCGCTTTCCCAGCTGGGCGGCCAATGACTTTGTCCATGAAATGGGGATTGGAGAGGAAAGCTGGAGCGAGCGGGCAGAGTACCTCAGACGAACGCCCTGTCTGCTGCGCCTACTGTGCCTGCTGTGCCAGCTTTCGGCGCTTGCAGCGTTCTCTGCTTTTGGAGGGTTGTCAAGTGCGCGGAAGCAGAAGAGAGAGGGCCGACACCCCAAACCTGGACCCCAAGCACTGCAGCCAAAAAGCAACTAGGAACGGTTCCATGGAGAACGTCGTGCTCTTCATGAACCTCGCAAACGCCTGGATCCCCAGCCATGGACCAGAGAAGGTCAAAGACAAAGCTGCGATTGCTGTTCAGGGAACTGAAGTGTGGATGTCTAGAATCAGAATCTGGATCTGTATGTTAACGTAGTAGGATGAATTCCAAATATGCAACCTTCCTTGTGCTCAGCAAACGTTTAAGTTGTTCGGCCTGACAAAGATTGAGAGAGACGAATGGTGCGTGTTGCGGGCGGTTTCTATGTTGGGTTCTCAGTGGCTCGGAAACAGAGATTGGGCTCGAATCTTGTACCCTCTGACTTGTCTAATGTTTACCGCCTGGCCGCGACCGCTGTGAAGGACATGAGGTCTCTAGAAAGGAGGGCGTATTACAACCCTCAAGGTGTGACGGATTCGCAGGGGCAAGATGAACAAGGCAAGGCTGGATTTGAAGGACCAAGTTGGTTCCTGCAGTTCTGAGGATCCCACCATCGAACGCATTGTCACGCCCCGCTTGGCTCTGACGACTGCAGAGTACTTCGCGCACCCTGGCCCTGCAAGAAAGAAAGTTCGAGCTTTTGGTTTCCATGTGCTTTGGGGTTCATTCGGCGAAGGTGTATATAAACATACCAAGATTACCAAGATTGCAGTCGCTAATTTCGCAAGACACAGAGGCAGGAATGAAGAAGACAAACGATGCCTTGCAGATTGTTTCTGTGAGCGGCATGCCCCCCCAGGTTTTGTCCCCCATTCGGGGTACGTTACTTTCTGTCAGCCGCGCTTTCTACCCTACGCGGCCCTACGACCCACAAAGCGTATAAACGCTATGAGCCTAGTTATGAGCCCTAAACTCCTTAAAGTCTATGCAAAACCCGAAGCCCTACAAACAATAAACCCCACATTTTAGGCCCTAAACCCAATAATCCCGCCTTGTAACCAACCCTAAGCCCTAAGCCTAAAGGCCTACACCACCTCAAGACAGCCCAGGTACACGCGCGAGCAGCACGTGCCGGGCTGGGAAATGTGCCACTATTGTTGGCCAACCGAAACACCCCGCCAGAAGTCCCTGAGTTCTTCAAATACCAAAATCGTAGTTCCAAAGCCCCCAAACCTCCATACCCTTGAAACTGTAATTCCAAACCCCTCCAAAGTCCGAAATCCCTACTGAGCTTTAAGATAGGCTGTTGCAATCAACACCACAAGAGCGAGTTTCGGGTTTCACGTACCTTTAGGCCAAAAATCAGATATACCCGAAGAGTGGAGAGTTCTGTGGTTGTGGAGCGGAACTCAAGACCATGCATTGTTTTGCCCCCATTGAGTTGTTATGACCATCCCTACATACTTCCTCTTGTCGTCTATGACTCACACCTCCGAGAACCTCCAAGAGACCTTAGTCACCTGCACCGAGGTTTTCGTCATCCTCACAGACATGAGCTCCTATGCCGATGCCCTTCGAGAGGCGCCATCGCCACAACGGCGGCTTAGAATCTGGGAGTTGAGGAGCATCGAGTCAGCAGCATGAATGTAGAGACTGAACCCCAAGCTCAACCCAATCCGGTATCATAGGTCTCTGACTGCTGGGACTGCTTGGGATGATTCTTTTTGGAATCCTAAATCGCTTGGGCCTTCAGTTCGCAGCCGCTCGACAGCTGGTGCTTCTCAAAGTGGGCCTGGTGAAGTTGCGCCATGTAGAACGAGGGCAAAGCATGGGCATGTAGGCACCAGCGACAGACTGTTCAAGCACATTGGATCAGACACTCCATCAAGGTAGCAAGCCGCATGTAAAGCTTGTGCTGCGCACATGGCGGCCTCGAAACCAGAGCTGCTGCCGGTGTACCTGAACGTGTACAACGTTTCCAACTATGAATCGGTCAAGGTGCTTAACGCAGTGTTTGCCCACCTGTGGGCACCAGTGAAATTTGGTGGAGTATTTCACGTTGGAGTCCAGATTGGCGACATCGAGTGGTCGTACGGCAAGACTTTGACAGCGAGTCGGCCAGGGGTGATTGGCTTGCCACCCCTAAGCGACACCAAGCACAGTTTCCGTGAATCCATCTTTATGGGCCACACGGAGAAGTCCATGGAGGCGATAAACGCAATCGTCCGAGACTTGGTCGAGGACTTCCCCGGATACCAATACGACGTGTTGCGGAAGAACTGCAACCACTTCGCCGACAGCCTGTGCCAACGATTGCAGGTGTCAACGATACCGGAGCACATCAACCGATTCGCCCGCATTGGGGCTTGTGCAGAAGACTTTGTCAAAGACAACTTCGGCGACTTTAAGCACAGCTCCTGGGCACACATGGTGCCCAGCTCCCTGGCCTCTTACGTTGGAGGCAGCGAGAAGGCTCCAGCCTGCGAGAAGTACGGTCATGGTCGTTACACAGTGCCGAAGAAGCTCGTCAAGAAAACGTTCCGCGTCCCTGGTGCGGTGCCCGTCACGTCCAACATGGAAGTGGCACCCCTTTGATAACTGCCGGATCGAGGTGCGCTTCTCGAAGCGCACAGCGCAGATTCGGACCATGACATGCTCGCAGCTTGCTAACGACAACAGGAATTCAGTTTGGGCTACACATGCCCCAAGTGAAATGCATGTATTGCTTGCCAATGTGGAAAAATGGAACCTCGTGGTTCAATGCATCTATGCTGAGATCCCGTCCGCGTCTGGGCCTCTCGCTGCAGGTGTCGGCCGCGCGCGAGGAGGTGCCGGGACGCCGCGGCTATCCTGGCTACATGCGCCCTGGGCGAGGGTTCGGCAGTCCGGGTCCGGCATAAACTGAGGAAAGAAAGCTTAGAATGGATAGAAGGGAAGAAAGACATGGCAGGGACTCAGAAAGGCGGCGAGATTTTTGGGGGCACGGGAATGGCTTTCGAGGCATTCTTGGCTTAAGGTTTCTTTTGAGGATAGGGTGTGAAGGGACAGTGCGTCCTCAAACCGAAGAACCAAACCCGAAAGATCCCGAACCTTGAAACCTGCAAATCCTCGAAAGCCTTGAACTGCGAGGTACACAGCCCGGCTCCCAAACTGGGGAGGGTTTCTGGTTGTAGGACCCCTCAACCCCTAACCCCTATAATGTTGCCTCCGCCTTAGTCTCCTTCCCCACTATCACGCAAACTTTGACACACTTGTTCTGTGAGCCTTGCTTTTCAGAGCCACAGGAAGAATGCGAAGTTCGGGGGCAGGGGACCCTATCAAGACAGCAGAAGGCCAGAAGGCCAGGAAACCTTGAAGATTCAAGCCTGAAACTTTTAGCTTCGGATTCCCAAAAGATGAGATTGTTTGCATGGGGGAGGGGGTGGGGACAATCCCCTCAGCCCTGACACCCCCCTGAGCCTTAAACCTTAAGCCCTAACGCCTTCACGTCAAACCTTAAACCACGCCTTGGCAAGGCTCCAGGGTTGAATATATTCAGGCCCAAGACACCCCGGACCCATCCTGAACTTCAAGTTTTGAACTCCTTGTGCGAGCCCCACAGTAAGGACTTGTCCACGATCTACGAGCGAGCCGGTCGCGTCGAGGGCCGTTCCTCGGCGGGCATCAGAGGTTCGTTCGATGAGTTCTTCAGGGCTGAGGGCTGTAGGGCATGTTAGGGTTCAGGGTTTGTTTTGGACTCTGCGATGCTTCATCATCTGCCGTGCTTGCTTCTCCCAGTTGCTGAAGTCGTTGCGTTTCCTTCGTTTAGCGGCAGACATTGGGGGGAAGTTTTTTTCTGTGAGAGGAAGCAGTCATCGGGGCTGCAGCTTCCGGGGAAGTCTTGCCATGCAGCCACCTTTACAAGCCTTTTCTTAGAACCCAAAGCCAAGCCCCTCAAGCTCCTCAAGCATGAACTGATGAACTCCTGGGAGCTCCCAAGGCAACGGCTCCATTACGCAGTTTCCCATTTTGACCATGCCCAACGATGCCTTTGCCTCAGACTCGACTCAGACTCGGGAGAGAGGGGGGGACTGCTTTAGAGACTTGAGGGTAGCTCTTCTCGGCAGGGACCCCGAATTCTTGGGAAGTGGTGCGCCCAGGATATTACGCACCCGATTCCTGACCTCACCGGCTACATCACGGAGGGTCAGGCGCGGCCTCCATTGCACTGGTGTACGAACACCCAGCTGCCCGTTCGGAACCCCAAGAGCCCAAAAACTCTGGCAACCCTACAAACCCTCCCTAAACCTTCTCTCTTAGAGCCTCGACCCTTCAGGAGCTGCGACCTCCGAGATTCTGTCGGGTTAGAGGCTCTCAGATTAGAGGTTGCCTTGAAACCCCCCAAGCCCCCAAGCCGCAGAAGCCTTGAAGCATCCTAAAACTCTGGACACGCGCCTTCATGCTCGTTGTGTGTCGGAACCTGGGATCCTCGGCAGGTGTTCGTGGACCGATCCCTGCACAACAGGCAGATCTATCCCCCCATCAACGCCCGGGCCTCTTGCAAGGGATTTCAGGGGTTGGAATGTTGGGGAGCTTGAGTTGAAGGTGACAGTGTTTCACAGAGGTGCCTTTCAGGGAATCTGCTGTGTGCCCGCTCCGTTGCCCTTTTCAGGTGCTGCCTTCCCTCAGCCGATTGATGAAGTCCGGAATCGGAAAGGGCGCCTTGGTGTGAGTTAGGGTACTGAGGTGCGGTAGGGTCCCCAATCTTGTTTGTTGACTACTCTGCAAGTGCAAGCAAGGTTTAGGGGAGGTAGCTGCAGGGCTACGGTGGACGCTGAAGACTGAAGGGTTTTGGGAGGGGCATGAGCACAGCACGGAGGGATTGTTTCCTCTTCCTCCAAGCCCTATAGAAGGACGTTTAGTAAAATGTAGGTTGGAGGATCGACGAAGCAGAAAGGCGTGTCCCCGGGATTCATCCCCTCCCTGTGATGTGCCTAATTGTAAACGCTTGCGCGAGCCGCCTCGGCAGCCGGGCCGGCCCCAGGACAGGAAAGGAGGAAAGAGGGTTTCTGCCCAAAAAGGGTGCGTTGTGAGGCGCTCCCTCTGTAGGAGCCACCGACAGGCGGGACCCTCCACGGCATCGGTTTGCAGCTCCTCCAAGCGATGGGAGGGGGTCCCACAGGGCGGGGCGCGGGGGGGGGTCCGCCACAAAATTTTGCATGGGGGAAGGGTTGGGTCAGGGGGAGATCCGGGACTGCTTGCTCCAGACGCTTCTCGGCAGGAAGCCGAGGCGAATTTCTTCTACAGCGGCCTTTGTAGCCGAGGCATGACGCGCGACGACCACCCCAACGTGTCCGACCAGCTTTACGCCAACTACGCCATCGGCCAGGATGGTTTCGATCTTGGGATTTCGGGCGAGCCTTTGTTCGGACGGGCAGCCGGTATGTGTACAACCAGAGGTATGACGTTCTGTGCACCGTCTTGCTACTCCCGCAACTCCCACAACACGGCAGCTTGCGTACTTGCGTTGCGTCTGATCTTGTTTACGACTGAGAGAGTAGAGCTTTTGGGTAACGGGATGTGAAGAGTGTATGTTGGGTATGTTGAATTGTCGTAACCTGTCGGAGTTTGTCTTGCCACCGCCACCGCACCACCCAAGTTGGTCTCTAGGGGACAGGCAAATGCAAAATCCACAAGCGGGTGTCAGATGGAACTGAAGGAGCAGCAATGTTTTTGCTAGCTCCAGCCACATCCTTGGGATGTCTCAAGATCCATTAACCTGAGCTGTAAGGCTCTTGCACTTTGCTTTAAAAAGAATCCGAATCGCAGGGTCCGAAGATCATTGCCAGAGGCACCCGTCGCTCGCGTAGCTTGCGGCGTTGCGAGCGTCGCTTGCTTAGCCCTGTGCCCTCCCTTGCGCTAAGTTTTCTTAAGACCCAGGGGCTCGGGGTCTTCCATGACCAAGCGTTTGCATCCCGGAACGAGGCTCTGCATTGGAGCTTGGCGCAAACCCCCCAAGACCCTCACAGGATACCAGGGCCATGAAGGCGGTGGTCGGCGAGGAGGCGCTGGGCCTTCTTGGGCTTTTAGTTCGGGTAATCTTGGGGCCTGGGGATTTCATGTTTCAGATTGTTTGCGTATTTAGGGTTGTAGATGCTTGTAGGGTTTGGGAGCTTGAGGGCTTTAGGATGCTTCAGGCTTCTTCAAGGGGACACCTCAACCTGGGCAGCTAAGGGCTTGCGGGGTGTTTCGGCCCAGACCCTGAACCCGAAGCCCAGAAGATGTGTATGGATATGTGTGGCTCCAGCCGATGGGTCCGGGTATGCTCCGGAAGATCCTACGAACTGAAAGGGATGTAGGGCCCAGGTCCCGTAAGCTGCTTCCTGGCAAATCATGGCTTTGCAATCTCTCTCTCTCTCTCTCTCTCTCTCTCTCTCTCTCTCTGTCTGGTCATCTTCTAAGACCAAACGGCCTAGCTGCCTTACACCCTGTTACGATTCACGCACCTGCGGAGGCCCTCAGCGAGGACGAGCACCGCTCGCCGTGTTTAATCTGGCGTTTATTGGGTTGCATCAAGCGGGTTTAGGGCCTAGGTTGCGAGGCTTTGGGGGGATTAGGGTTCAGAACATGGGGTTTAGCAGTTTTTTCGGAAGCATATGCCTGCCTTGTTGTGGCTCCTTTTATGTTATGGTTCAGTGAGGCTGTTCGAGCATGACATACTCGGGGCAGCTTGGGCCCACCGAGTTGCCACCAAAGTAGTGCTGTGTCCAAGAGTCCAACCTCATGAGTGGGGGTTTCCGACGTTAGGGGTACCTGCTTGGGGTCCTTATGATAAGGGGATCTATATTTCGGGTGCCCTACATCTTGTAACGTAGTGAATAAAGTCACGGAAGCGTCGAGCATCATCGGTGGCTATCGAGCGAAGAACCACCGGAAGAACTGTGAGTGACCTAATGTGTGCTTTCTGCGGGTTCTTGCTGTAAGCTCCTCCTCTAGGCAAAGCGAAACAGTCTTGACTTGACTCCCCCTACTCCAACCCTAAGCCCTCAAGCCCCTTTATGCCCAGTAAGCCCTTACCCCGCATGAGCATCTGGCAGGCACAAGTACTTAGAGTTCACTGACAAGTTCGAGCTCAAGTTCTTGCGGGTGCCTCAGTTGGAGGCGGCATGAACATTGTTTCATCACGGGCTGCAGGGGCATGGGTGAAGCATTCAGCAAGGGCAGCGCCTCAATTGCCATGGTGAGACTTGACCAGACCCCGGCATTTTGCTTTACGTGGCTCAAGCGTCCCAAGAGCATCTGACTTTGGAGAAAACTGTGACCCTCTCTCACAGCCAAATCAGTTGTCGAGCAAACAGTGTATGCAGCTGCAGACCGCAAAACATGTGTAATCTACTATTAAACCCGCGAAAGCTTTCCAATATGGAGCCGCCAGAGCCGTCGCCTCGGAGTCTCTACGGCACGGAGAGTTGGGGGGCTTGGACAGGTTGCATTCACCCCGGGAAGAAGGCTTCTAGTTGTGCAGGTCGTTTGTCCGGAGGTTTTGGCCTTTCTGCGCGAATTGCCGGCCTTGCCTGGCATGTGCATGTTGCTTGGTTGCTTCCACGGCCTTTCTGTGCGCTCCGCGTGCAGTCTTGAAGAATGGGTTTAGGCCCCTAAAACCCAAAAGTTAGTCGGTCCTACGCCCTTGTTGGAGCTACAGTCAAGTCAGAGCGTGTGTTGCTTTAAGGGTTTCACTGATGTATACAGGCTTCGGGAGTCAGGGATTCGAAAAGTTCAGGCTTTTGGGAAGGGAATGCGTGGAGATGTTGCCCGCTCTCGCCTCTCAACAACAAGAGCTGATTCTAAACTTGGTCGAGGTCGGTGGCATGGATCAAGGGCTGGTAAGCGGGATGGGAGGGGGGGGGAACTCGGCCGAGAGGGCCGGTTGCATGTCCAGGGCGAAGGGATTCAGGGAACCCCTGAACCCTAAACTCTAGACCCTAAGCCCTAAAACTTGAATCCTAAACCCTAAACCCTAAACCCTAAACCCTAAACCCTAAACCCTAAACCCTAAACCCTAAACCCTAAACCCTAAACCCTAAACCCTAAACCCTAAACCCTAAACCCTAAACCCTAAACCCTAAACCCTACTAAACCCTAAACCCTAAACCCTAAACCCTAAACCCTAAACCCTAAACCCTAAACCCTAAACCCTAAACCCTAAACCCTAAACCCTAAACCCTAAACCCTAAACCCTAAACCCTAAACCCTAAACCCTAAACCCTAAACCCTCAACTTAAACCCAAACCCTAAGACCTCAACCCCCAGCCTAAAGCCTTAAACCTCAACCCCCAGGCTTCTCATTCTCAACATGCCGCAGGTTTGCCAACCGCCTCCAGGCTTTGGCAGAGGCACTGGACCAGGTGGGGGGTTGATCAGCGGTTCATGGATTGATGGTAGAAGCCTTCTACAGTTTTCTAAGCTGCTAAGCGGCGCGAACTCTGTGCTGCTACTCACTTCCTAGGGCTGCTGTCAGTACTTAGTGCAAGAACTGTTGTTAGCATGACTTTTGCTACCGCCCCCGATCGTCGTCCTCACCGTTTTTTGGTTGCGGTTGTCGTTGTCGTTGTGGTTGTGGTGGTTGTTGTTCTTGTCTTCTTTGACACTGGCCCAATGGGCACCAAGCTTCGGGTCCTGAGCCCCTCTGGCTCCAAAGAAAACCTTAAACACAGTTTCGCGCTTGGGGTTAAAACTAGAGAACGAAGTTCCCAGAAGTCGCGATCCAGAGAGCCCCGCATGCTTCAGTGAAGGGTTGGCCACAACCCTTCACGGAGAGCAGCCCCCCATGCTTCAGTGAAGGCTTAGCCGCAACCCTTCACTGAGAGTGGCCCCGCATGCTTCAGTGAAGGCTTGGCCACAACCCTTCACTGAGAGCAGCCCCCCATGCTTCAGTGAAGGGTTCGCCACAACCCTTCACTGAGAGCAGCCCCCCATGCTTCAGTGAAGGCTTAGCCGCAACCCTTCACTGAGAGCGGCCCCGCATGCTTCAGTGAAGGCTTGGCCACAACCCTTCACTGAGAGCAGCCCCCCCATGCTTCAGTGAAGGCTTGGCCACAACCCTTCACTGAGAGCAGCCCCCCATGCTTCAGTGAAGGCTTAGCCGCAACCCTTCACTGAGAGCGGCCCCGCATGCTTCAGTGAAGGCTTGGCCACAACCCTTCACTGAGAGCAGCCCCCCGTGCTTCAGTGAAGGGTTCGCCACAACCCTTCACTGAGAGCAGCCCCCCCATGCTTCAGTGAAGGCTTAGCCGCAACCCTTCACTGAGAGCAGCCCCGCATGCTTCAGTGAAGGCTTGGCCACAACCCTTCACTGAGAGCAGCCCCCCGTGCTTCAGTGAAGGGTTCGCCACAACCCTTCACTGAGAGCAGCCCCCCATGCTTCAGTGAAGGCTTAGCCGCAACCCTTCACTGAGAGCGGCCCCGCATGCTTCAGTGAAGGCTTGGCCACAACCCTTCACTGAGAGCAGCCCCCCATGCTGCAGTGAAGGGTTCGCCACAACCCTTCACTGAGAGCAGCCCCGCATGCTTCAGTGAAGGCTTGGCCACAACCCTTCACTGAGAGCAGCCCCCCATGCTTCAGTGAAGGCTTAGCCGCAACCCTTCACTGAGAGCAGCCCCCCATGCTTCAGTGAAGGCTTGGCCACAACCCTTCACTGAGAGCAGCCCCCCATGCTTCAGTGAAGGCTTGGCCACAACCCTTCACTGAGAGCAGCCCCCCGTGAAGGCTTGGCCACAACCCTTCGTCGAGAGCAGCCCCCCATGCTTCAGTGAAGGGTTGGCCACAACCCTTCACTGAGAGCAGCCCCCATGCTTCAGTGAAGGCTTGGCCACAACCCTTCACTGAGAGAAGCCCCCATGCTTCAGTGAAGGCTTGGCCACAACCCTTCACTGAGAGCAGCCCCCCATGCTTCAGTGAAGGGTTGGCCACAACCCTTCACTGTGGGTTGGCCACAACCCTTCACTGAGAGCAGCCCCCCATGCTTCAGTGAAGGCTTAGCCGCAACCCGTCACTGAGAGCAGCCCCCCATGCTTCGGTGAAGGCTTGGCCACAACCCTTCAGTGAAGGGTTGGCCACAACCCGTCACTGAGAGCGGCCCCCCCCCCCATGCTTCAGTGAAGGCTTGGCCACAACCCTTCACTGAGAGCAGCCCCCCATGCTTCAGTGAAGGCTTGGCCGCAACCCGTCACTGAGAGCAGCCCCTCATGCTTCAGGGAAGGCTTAGCCGCAACCCTTCACTGAGAGCGGCCCCGCATGCTTCAGTGAAGGCTTGGCCACAACCCTTCACTGAGAGCAGCCCCCCATGCTTCAGTGAAGGCTTGGCCACAACCCTTCACTGAGAGCGGCCCCGCATGCTTCAGTGAAGGCTTGGCCACAACCCTTCACTGAGAGCAGCCCCCCATGCTTCAGTGAAGGCTTGGCCACAACCCGTCACTGAGAGCGGCCCCGCATGCTTCAGTGAAGGCTTGGCCACAACCCTTCACTGAGAGCAGCCCCCCATGCTTCAGTGAAGGCTTGGCCACAACCCTTCACTGAGAGCAGCCCCCCATGCTTCAGTGAAGACTTGGCCGCAACCCTTCGTCGAGAGCAGCCCCCCCATGCTTCAGTGAGGCTTGGCCACAACCCTTCATGATAGCAGCCCCCCATGCTTCAGTGAAGGCTTGGCCACAACCCTTCACTGAGAGCAGCCCCCCTAACCCTTCACTGAGAGCAGCCCCCCATGCTTCAGTGAAGGCTTAGCCGCAACCCTTCACTGAGAGCAGCCCCCCATGCTTCAGTGAAGGCTTGGCCACAACCCTTCACTGAGAGCAGCCCCCCATGCTTCAGTGAAGGCTTGGCCACAACCCTTCACTGAGAGCAGCCCCCCGTGAAGGCTTGGCCACAACCCTTCGTCGAGAGCAGCCCCCCATGCTTCAGTGAAGGGTTGGCCACAACCCTTCACTGAGAGCAGCCCCCATGCTTCAGTGAAGGCTTGGCCACAACCCTTCACTGAGAGAAGCCCCCATGCTTCAGTGAAGGCTTGGCCACAACCCTTCACTGAGAGCAGCCCCCCATGCTTCAGTGAAGGGTTGGCCACAACCCTTCACTGTGGGTTGGCCACAACCCTTCACTGAGAGCAGCCCCCATGCTTCAGTGAAGGCTTGGCCACAACCCTTCACTGAGAGCAGCCCCCCATGCTTCAGTGAAAGGTTGGCCACAACCCTTCACTGAGAGCAGCCCCCCATGCTTCAGTGAAGGCTTGGCCACAACCCTTCACTGAGAGCAGCCCCCATGCTTCAGTGAAGGCTTGGCCACCACCCTGCACTGAGAGAAGCCCCCATGCTTCAGTGAAGGCTTGGCCACGACACTTCAGTGAAGGCTTGGCCACAACCCTTCAGTGAGTGCAGCCCCCATGCTTCAGTGAAGGCTTGGCCACAACCCTTGAGCGGCCCCCACGCTTCAGTGAAGGCTTGGCCACAACCCTTCATTGAGTGCAAGCCATCTGCTTCAGGTGACGCCCTCGCTGCCGGCGCCCGCGGCCGTGCCAGAAAGTGGGAACCCTAAACCCTAATCCCCTTAATCACCCTTTTGATTCTTGGCACGTGGAACTTTGACTTCTATGACAGCTCGCATCACCCAATTTGGTGTTTTTAGGGTTTTGGGGGTTGAGGCTTCTTTTTCGTCAAGGGTGTTTTGGGGGTTTGAAGGGGTTCTCGGGGGTTGCGGGTTCTTATGCTCGTAGGGTGGGCTTAAGGCTTGTGGGGTTTGGGGTTGCAGGGTTTTTGCGTTTTGGTGGGTTTTTCAGAGCTTGAAGGGGCTTCTTCGAATCCCAGCGCTGCGCGCTGCCTGAAAGTGGGAGCCCGAAGCTCTGACGCACTCAACTGCTGGATTTTCAAACCCTTCAAGGAGAAGCTGCAAGCCCTACAGTCTTTAGAGCTCCAACCGCAAGGCGGCCAGCCCCCAAGCCCCGATGCCTTGCAAAGTCGGAGCAGGTGACGAGACGGAGGCCGACGGAGTGGAGGAGAAAGTTCACAGCACTTCGAGTTTCAGAATTTGGGTATTAGGGGTGAGATCTGTTTTACACTAAAACCCTTTAAGCTTACAATCCCCTGCGACCGCTAGAGTTTTAGGGGTTCTGGGCAAAGGGCTTCATGCTGTGCGATCCGAGGGAGTTTCAAGTCCGTGCATCCGGCTCCGAGATGTATGGGGACGTGGTGGGCATGATGAAGCTCAGTCCTTCCGGCCTTTTCTGGCAGCCCTTGTCCTTTGGAGCTCGAGGGCAGGGAACGTTGTTTAACCTAGTACCCGAATCGTACACTACCAGCCTGAAAACGCAAAGGCCCAAGAACCACAGTCACCTAGCAGCCCTTAACCCAGGACCCTAAACCCTGAACTTTGGATCCCCAAGAAGCGCCTATACAGCCTTCCATAACTTAATAACCCTGCAAAAAAGCGCCAAGACACCAGAGGACCCTCTCAACAGAAGGCGGCCGCAAGGACCCAGAGTCGCAGGAGCTTCGAATAGGGGGCTGAGTAACGGGGTTCTTTTGGAGGGGTTCTAGGAATTTAGGGTGAAAAGGGTTTAGGTGGGCTGAAAAGAAAAGGTTTGCATGGTGGAGTGTGCCGGCAAGAGGTTTCTCCACCCCCCCCCCCCCCCCAAAAAAAAAAGTGCGGTGGTGAAGTGCAGACAGTCACGATGGTTCGACTCTGGTTTGATTACGTCGGGCTGCCTCAAATGCCGAGGACTCCGGCCCTCACTCGCCAAGGGGGGGAAAGCAGCGGTCTCTACACTACAGGCGCTTCCTTGTGGAACTTCGGAGCTAGGTTGCGCTCGTATGAATGCCAAACTTGACCTTGAACCCTGGGCTGCGGAAGGTTGGCAGTTACAGGTTTTCGGGCTTGACGCTCTGAGGTGCCCGAGGCAATCTGCACCCTAGCCGATCGAACAAGATGCTCCCGAGACTCATTAGCTCTTCGTAGGAAGTTCGGGGTATCAAGACGGGAACATGAGGTAGTTACTTGTACAAACAGTTCTTGCTCAGAACGCAGCCCCGGAAGAGGTTGATTGATCTCTGTGTGTGTGTATACATATATAAATGGTCACCCCCCAGGTTTTTCTTTGTCCCTATAAAAACCCTCGTAAATATCGATTAACGTGCCATGCTGGCTATGTCAGGCGATGTCCTGTTTTTGCACGTCTAATCGTATGTGAGAAAACCTGTAAATAGTGAAAAACGTGTGTGGTTAGCACTACTTGCACATCATCACCTAAAAAAGCACCGAAAAAAGCATGCGAAAATGCAATTTAGTGAACATGTGTGTGAATTATTTGCATAGGACGGGCCTATAAACACAGAATTGTATGCAAAAAAAACATATTCTTTTTTGGAGAATGTGCTAAAAATCCAAAATTCAAAAACTCAAAACCATGGAGCCGGGAGGCAGCCTTTTTTGGATTTGTTGTTTTTTTCTTTAGTTTTCTGGGAAAAATGAAAACCATGTTTTTTTGGATTTTACTTGTTCCTGGCCTCAAAAACCAAAACAACACATGGTTTTTTGGATTTTGACTCAAAATCCCCAAAAAAACCTTTTGTTTTTTCGGACTTCAGGTGCTCCTGGCCTCAGAGACAAAAAAACACATGATTCTTTGGATTTTCATTCAGAATTCAAAAAAGAAATCGTGTTTTTTTGATTTTCAACCCCCCGGAGAGTAAAATCTAAAATAACACAAGGTTTTTTTTTCCAAAAAAAACACAAAAAAAACCTCGAGAAAACCAAAAAAAAATGGCGGCCTCCCGGCTCCATGGTTTTGAATTTTTGATTTTTTTTTAGTTTTTCGAAGCAAATTTTGCAAACATTGCTTTCCTTGTATAAAGAACGTGTATTGTCATAAGGTGTCTTCTAATGTGATTGCCTTGCACACATACAGAGAAAAACACACAAACACACCCACCATTTCGTTTTAATTTCAAGTCAGCCTATTCGGTATTTAGGGCGTGGCGTTAACATGTAAAGTTCCATTAGATTTATTTGCGAATGAGGCTTAGAAGAGGATGTCTTGGGATGTGGCGTCTTTCAAAAAGGTAATATTAAAAGAAGAAGGTTTAAGAGAGGGTTTCTTAGGGTGTGTTCCTGAGGATGTGGACCTGCAATTCAAACGTCTCATTAGAATTACATTTCATTACGAAGCGGGGCCAGAGGAGAAGTTCACAGGGTGCGGTCGGTAAAATAGAATTCCAGAGAGGTAATAACGAATGAGGCTTGGAAGGGCGTGGCCTCTTAATATGTTTTTTGTTTTACTTGGTTTGTTTTTACGAACGAAGCTGTGGCTTTATCATACACAAGTCGATTGACATGTCATGAAGAGGCCCCAGAAGAGGATTTCATAGGGGGTGGCCGTTAAATGTAGAATTCTGGGTACATGCAAACACGAATGGGGGCTGACAAGATGTTATCTTAGGGTGTGGCCTTTAATATTCTGTCCAAAGAGGTGTCGCCTCTTAACTTAAAAATTCAATTTAAGTGGAATTACAAACGAGCCCAGATGAGGATTTCTTAGGGTGCGGTGTTTTAATACAAACCTCGAATTGCATTTCATTACGAAGCGAGGCCAGGGAGAATTTCATGGGGTGTGGTCTGCAAAATACAATTCGGGTATTAACCAATGAGGCTTAGCAGAGGATGTCTTGGGGCGGGGCCTCTTAACTTGTTTGTGTTACTTGGGTTTAAGTACGAACGAAGCTGTGGCTTTATCATACGCAAGTCTATCGATTTCATATGGTGTGTGGCTGTTGCATATGGAATTGTAAGTGCATTTCAATACGAGTGGGGGCTCAGAAGATGACATAAAGTTCTGTCCAAAAGTTACATATGAACCTGGCCTAGATCAGAACTTCTTAGGGTGTGGGCTTCTTACCCTAGAATTAGAAACTGTATATGAGATTCTGTTACGAACAGGCCCCAGAATGGTGTGGCTTTTTCATACAAGCATCCAGGCAAATCGAAATGAAGTCTAATTACAAACGAAGGTCTAATGAGGACTTCTTGGGGTGTGGCTTTATAAGACAGACTTCGAATTAATCTTCACTACAAATAGGGGCCAAAAAGGGATTTCATAGGGCGTGGTCTGCAATATAAAATTCTAACTCGGTTTCATTGCGAGGAGGATGTCCTGGAGTTAGCCTCTTAATATACACTTGCTTTACTTGGGTTTAATTACGAACGAAGCCCAGAAGAGGAATTCTTAGGGTGTGGGTTTACAATACCAAATCAAATTACGTTTCATTACGAATGGGGCCAGAGGAGGGTTTCATAGGGTGTGGGAAAAACAAAAAATTCTAAATAGGCATTAACCAATGAGGCTTAGAAGAGGATGTCTTGGGGCTGGGCCTCTTAATTTGTTTGTTAACTTGGGTTAATTACGAACGAAGCTGTGGCTTTATCATACACAAGTCTATTGACATGTCATTAAGAGGCCCCAGAAGAGGATTTCATAGGGTGTGGCCTTTAAGTATAGAATTCTTTTCGGAGGGTGTGGGCTTCTTTCTCGAAGCAGTTTTTCAATAAACTAGGAAGGAAGCCCAGATGAGGATTTCTGAGGCTGTAGCCTCTGCATATAAAGTTCTTGTGAGATTCCCCAGAAGAGGATTTCATAGGGTGCGGCTTTTAATTGGCAAATTGGATTTCTAAATAAATTGTACTACGAATGAGGCCAGAGGATTTCTCAGAAAGTGTGGCCGTTTAATATGAATTCCGAATTGGGTTGAAATCTCGCCTTGATGTGCCCGCAAGGCCTTCCGACCTAGATCATGGGGGGTGAGCTATATATATATATATATATATATGTAAACTCTGACAAAGCGCAACCGGCCAACCCTCAAGAACGTTGGGCTTCGAACACAAACTTGCAACCAAAAACCCCTAAACCCACCCCTTCAGCGTAGATCCCCCCAAACCTAGGCACCCATAAACCTCACTCCCTGTGCAGTTGCGGCTGCGGGCAGAGAATGCCTCGCTGAATGAGCTGAATGAGCTGGCTGCGGCGGCGGATGACACAGAGAGTGAGGAGGTTTCTCGAGTTCCTTAAACGCCCCCAAATAAAGAGCCCTGGCCCCTAAACTGAAACCCAACAAAAGAAGGCCCAACGAATCCCCTTGACCCTGACGTCCTCAACCCTAGCCACCCTAGCCCCGAAGCCATGCAAGGGATTTGGAGTTTTGGTAGATCGGTGGCGGAAAGGTTCCCTCAGATGTGCGACCTCAGCATTGCTGGGTAGTGCACTTGTGCACGTAGTGACAATAGCACTAGGAGCTTCTCTTTGATTTCGATTCCGTTTGCTCGCGTAAGCCCGCCGCTGCTGAAGCAACGAGGCCCGAGTTTTGTGCGGCAGCTGAAAGTTCACTTAGGAGTAGCAAGCAGCCATGGGAAAGAAGGGCCTCGCTAACTTCGTTGACCGGGGCCTTCATAGGACCCTTGCTGAAGACTTGGATGCGCGCATGCGAGAGGCCATTATCCAGGAGGTCTATTCCATGAGCCCCTTGCAGTTGGTGCGCGACGCCCGTGCGCGACAACTTTGAGCATGTCGCGGAAATCTACCGTCTTCGAGGCTTCCGGGGCTGTGAAGAGGCCGAGCTGACTCATGTGGAGCTCAGCTCATGGGCTTTGTCCTGGATCGATTGGGGGCCGAACAGCTGGCACTCAGCGTCCTACTGCGTGGAGACCTCATCCAGGCCCTGGCGGGTCATCGTGACGAAGAAGGGCAAAATCAGCGGTGTCTTTCCTGTTGTGGATCCAGATAGTGCAGCAGGTGCGGCGCATGGAAAGTCTCGCCGAGAGGATGGCTCGGCTGCCCACGCGACCAGCCTGCCAAGGCTGCTCGCAACGTAGAGAGGACAGACAAGGCTTCAAGAAACTGGTCCGTGCCATGCAGGATGCTGCCGTTCATGTGGTGGCATTCCTGGCTTCAGGGTGCCCGTCCCGGAAAGTCTCGGAGACGCGCCGTTGGCTGCAGGAGCTTTGTTGGGAGGACCTTCCAGATTTGAACAGAGACCTGGAGTGGGACTCCTCCGAAAGCTGGGGTCCTGGGCCAAACAGGCTTGTGCGTCACTTCGCACCCATTGCGGCGTTCAGGAGCTGGTGCTGCCAGTAGAGAAGGTAGGCTTCACCCACGACTCAATCTCCACTGCTTTCAGACGAGCACCGCTGCCGGAAGGGTGCCTGGTAGAAGACCTCCGATGGGGAGGGCAAATCCTCTGCAGCACCAGGACCTTGCCATCGATGCTGTGTGCCACAAGGGCCGCATCCCGTCGCTGAACAGCCGGCGCCTATGGGCGTTGAAACAGCACAAGACACTGCATGCTAAGTCGGATGTGCGCGTTCGCGTGCTCGCCTTCAGGGGGTCGTTTTGGGCTCTAGCCTCTTGAAACGGGTGGGCCCCCCCCCTCTCCCACCCTCCCTCGTCCTGCCCTGCCTACCCGGCCGAGCCTTGAGTCCTTGGGTTGCACCTTCGTCGCTGCCCCCCCTCGCGGACGCGTGCTTGCATGGTCGCATGACATGTCTCGTGTTCTTTAGAGTAGGGTCACTTTGTCGCACGTTCGCACTTCACGTCGTTGTCTGGGTTTATTTGTTTTGCTGGGTTCGTTGACTTTTGGGCGCAGGACGTTCTGTAATTCCCGCTCCTGCAGTGATTTCAGCTTTTGCTTTGCTTAACCTTCAATTTCTACCGTGGCTTTTGCCTCCGGGCGCTTTGAGCCTTTGGGCTTAGTTTGCTTGCCTACGGGCCTTCTTTGCAAGGGTTTGGGCATGTCGCACCTTGTGGGCGATGGAGATGTTGACACTTTCGCTAGCTTGGTGGAGGCGTTACGACGCATTGATGCCATTTGGGCACTTGAGCCGCTGCGTAAGGAAGGTGTCAAGTCTGCTAGGCACCTGGAACACTTGTCCAGGCCCGAGCTTCGGCGCTTGCTGGGGCATGAGGCCTCTGATAGGTTTTTCGCTCCGCCAAAAGTAGCCCGAAGCAAAAACAGGGCTGATCTTCCCGACGTTCACCCCTATGCCAGAGGTTCACTGCAGCGCCTGGGGGTTGTGCAGCATGGCCCAGGGCAGGTCGCAGCAGTCAATTGGGCACAGGCGGACGAGAGGTTTATGCGCGATAGGTTCGCATCCACGTCACACAAGCCCCGAGAGTCGCGCTGGTCCACCTGGACCAAGTTATGCAGAGTCCGGGGGATTGACCCCGTGCCGGTCACTGAGGAAACGATTTTCAAGATTGGTGCCGCCCTCAAAGAAGGCCGTTATCGGTCCGCAGCGCAGTACTTCAGCATCGCCAAGTCGCAGCACCGTGAGCTTGGCTTTCCTTGGTCAGCAGACCTCGACCTTGCTGTGTCGCAAGCCGTTCGCAGCGTCACCAGGGGCATGGGGCCGGCACGCCTCAAGCATGACTTCGTCTTGGAGAACGCCCCGGCGGACTTTGGCGCCCAGCTTCACTTGGCTTACGACATCCTTAAGGTTCCGCCCGAACAAAGGTTCGCCAGCCCCGAGGGCGTGGTCGTGTCAGCATGCTGGTTTATGCTCCGTGGAATAGAGCTGGCCAACGTTCGCTGCGCAGATGTTACTTTTCGCAGGGACGAACGCTCTGTTCGCATCCGCCTTCCGGTCTCCAAAACCGACACAGAGGCCAAAGGCTGCGAAAGGTCGCACTCGTGCTTCTGTCGCCCGAGGCATGCCCCAGGTTGTGCTAGTTCGCAGGATGCAGCTACAATGTTCACACCGCTCCAGAAGTGTCAGTGCCAAGCAGGCCGCCAACCTTTGTGCGTCTTCCATGCGATGCTGTCTCAGTCGATTTCGTTGCGGAGACAAGGTTCGTGGCAGCCCGAGTCCCCTTTCTTCCCAAGCCCCGATGCTTCGGTGCCGAGCAAGCGAATGGTCGCACGGCTCGCCCAGGCAGCAGCACTCGTGCTCATGCGTGCACAGTTCACTGACTGGCCATTGGAGTCGGTTGTTGATTGGGCTCAGCATTCTTTTAGGGTCGCAGGCGCCCAGTTCTTCGCACGTGGAGGCGTCCAGTTGGGGCAGATCCAACTCGTGGGTCGCTGGGGATCCATGTCTATCCTTCGCTATGTCCAGGACGCCATGGTCCAGATCCCGAGTGCTAGCTCTGATCGTATCGAGCAGTACTTGTCCGGTGGTTTGCCTGGATCTTTTGCTAGTTCGCAGTTGCAGAATTTGGTCCGCGACATGGTTGCGCAGTGTGTTCAGGGCCAAGGCGCCTTGGTGCATAACATTAGGTCGAAGTTGGCTCATAAGCCTGCGCTGGCAGAATCCAGCGTGCCGTCTGAGTTGTGGGTTTCGCAGTGCGGCAAGTGGAAATATGGCATGTCTTCCTCCTTTCGTAATGCCACTCTGTTGCCAGGATTTTCGCAGTGCACTGTTTGTTTCCCCGAGTCAGCCACATTGGCATCAGCAGCATCTGCAGCTCGAGAAGAAGGAGAGTCAGGCACGGACAGCAGCTCTTCTTGAAAGCCTCATGGCGACCGCGATGCCCGACCTTCAGGCGCAGGCGCTGGCGGCGGGCCTTGACAAGAATGTGCTGGCTCACCTGGTCGCTTCGGGCATAGTGACGTCGGGCGCCTTCTTTCATGCCTTCTCAGAAAGGTCGCGCGTTCCCAAGTTTTTGGAGGTCTTCGCCGCCGGGGTCGAGATCAATGGGGCTACAGCCAAGCTGGACGATACTGGGCTCATGGTCGCAGAGTCGGTCATGAACCACCTTATCGACGAGTTCACGGTGGCACGGCAAGCGCTTTTGGCGCCCGCGAATACAGGCCTTGCAGCCCCCGCTGCCTCCTCAGCGTCCGACACATCGAAGGTTCCGAAGCACTTGCCAGCTGACTACTGGTCGCAGTTCATCAAGGACTACCAGAAGGACATGATTGGGGGCCAAGTTCGCCAATTTCCAAAACACCTCTTGGTAGGAGCCGAGGAAACGCTAGCTAGGCTCGTTCACGAAAAAAACACCTCTACCCACAAGCCCTTGAAACTGGGGGAGATCCCTAGCCAACGCCAGTTCACGGCGAGTGGCGCAGTGAACCCCTACCGCATGAAGGACGACCCATCTGCAAAGATGGTAGTTCGCGAGGACGGGCAGTGGGAGAAGATCACGACCAAGTTTCCAGAGCCGCAAAGAATGACTACATTCCTGGACGCGATCGAGGCGGCCAAGTACGCGTTGTTGTTCGCAAGGTGGGGCCCGGAGCTGGCGCTGGAAGAGTGGTTCACATGGTGGAGCAACCTTGTTCGCGACCACCCAGGCAAGTTTCCGCACCTTCGCCAGTTGTGGGTTAAATGCCACTGGGAGTTGTGCATGAAACTCCGTGAGGGTCTCGCTTTCGGGGTTGCTGCAAAACAGGTTCGTGCCGAAACCAACGTCCAAGAGGCATTGTCACGATTTCTTCCCCCGGACAACCCTAAAGGCAAAGGGAAAGAGAAGGGCAAAGAAGTCGCGCATCGCCTGTGGTCGCCGTACCCGCCTCAGTCCAAAGGCAAAGGAAAGTTTGCAAACCAGTGGAGCGCCGCCGCGGGGCAACCGCAGCAAACACAGGCTCAGTCGTTTCCCAATGTCCAGTGCAGGTTGTTCGCCCAAGGATATTGCAAGTTCGGCGCGCAGTGCAAGTTCGCGCACGGACAGCAGAGCCCGCCAGCCTTGGGGCCACACACACCCGCTGTGCCGGTGCCTCCCAACCCCCCGCAGAGGGGCTAGGGACAGCACGGGGCGCCTACATCGCCGCAGCAGGCGTTACCCGGCCACATTGGCGGCCACTTTGCACAACCTACGAAATCCACTCAAGTTGAGTTCCCGTTTCCGCCTGAGCCACCGACCTTGCAGAAGCCAGTCGCGAGTCCCGGCCCCCCCACCCCTAAGCGCCCGTCCGTAGTCCCGGTTCCCCCTCCGCCAGCCGGCGCCCCAACCCTTAGTTCGGACGGAGCGCCTAGTCCCGGTTTAAAGACCCAGCAACAGCGCGCAGCAGCCGCCTCAACCCTAGTCCCCAACCCGCCCGGTTGCGGTTTTACCCAGACCCCTAGTCCGGTCGTTGGGCTTGGTAGGGTTGAACCCCAGACGTTCCCACAGGAAATGTGTAAGGTGCCACAAGTCCGCCCACTTCTAGTGCTCAGCTTTTTCGACGGTATTGGCACAGCGTTCGAGGCTCTGCGCCAGCTAGGTATGGAGCCGCTCATCTCGTGGTCGTTCGAAACAGACCCTGACTGCACCAAGGTCTGTGGAGAAAGACACCCAACCGTGCAGCACATGGGCGACGCACTGTGCATCAGCCCGCACGCAGCGGCCTCCCGATTGGCAGCGCTCGCCCCAGAATCCTCCGTTGTGTTGGTGACCGCAGCCCCACCGTGTCCGGACTTCAGTAGCATCAAGGGAGACAATGCCCTGGGACCAGCAGGGCCCGAAGGACAAAAATTTGTTAAGTGGGCGAAGTGGCTTCAAGAGTTCAAACAGGTTGCTCCTTTTCAGGTTGTTTCCTTGGTTGAGAACGTAGTAATGCAGCACGAGTCGCAGACACAGGTGGAGCAGATCTTGGGCATGAGAGGCTTCGTGTGCGACGCGGCCTCGTGGGGTGTGGTGTCTAGGCCACGTTTGTGGTGGACGGACGCCTTTCAGCCGCCAGAGCCTAGCCAAGATAGGCCACTGCCACTGTTCGCAGGCATTGCTCGTTGGAAGCGGTTTAACAGGAATTGGCAGCTCCTCCCTTCGAGCCCACTGTTTCCTAAACAGTCTGCAGCTTCGTGTCCCACAGGTACACTTCACCCCGAGATAGTTGCAGGCCGCGCTCTCTTTCCTTGCCTCACTACACCAGCTCCGGGCCCGCAAGGTCGCCTTCCACCAAAGAAGAAGAGACGAGCCGAGAGCCCGGGCACCGAGGCCAGATGGCGGCAAGACGCACAGCAGTACCCGCCTTGGCAGTACCGCCGCACAGCTCTAGTCAGAGTCGCAGGGGTGGATGCCCCTCCGGACGCAGCCACGCGTGAGTGGTTGCACGGCTTCCCTCCGGGATACACTGCCAGCGTTGACGCCAAGACTAGGTGCAAACAGCTAGGTAACTCTTGGCACCTCCCAGTGTCCAGGTTCCTGTTGTACCTGCTGCTGTTGCAGTCCCAGGTAGCCCGAGCAGCCTCGTCCCCGACCGAACAGTGGTACTGTCGCCTACCGGACCCCACATCACAGCTTCGATGGCACCCGGACGGGTCGCGCCCGTTGCTCCGTGCTTTTTCGTTCTGGACACGTGCCTCCCTGCAATGGGACCCGCGGGAACCTCCATCACACACTTTGCAGGGCCCGCCCGACAGCGTGCAAGAACACCTGGCGTGGGCCTTAAAGTTGCAGTGTTCAGACCTGTTTCCGCTTCGCCTCAACTCGTGTCTCGAATGGGCATTTCAGGCTCAGGAAACAATGGCTGCGAAACTCCCTCTCTGGAGGCAGACCGTGTGCGACGACCTGAAGTCCTTGGTCGCAGAGCTGGAGGAGCAACAGGACACTTGGCTTCAGAGCTCGCCCGAGCATGTTCGGAAGGTGTATATGCAAGGCACAGGTAAGGTCAAATTCCAGTTGCTGGCGTTTGCTTGGTTGCTTTCGCAAGGCGGCTTCCCGGCCTGGGAAGCCCTTGTCTCCGACTTGTACTGGGGTTTCCCATTGCTGGGCCCGCTTCCTCAAGGTGCGCAGTGGGACACAAGGTCAGACTCGAAGTATTCTCGCCCCCTCTCAAAAGCAGAGTTCGCTTACAAAAATAGGGCTCACTTGTGCGAGAGTGCGCCCGCTCTGAGGCCCGCAGAGCACACCGAAACCATGCTCGCCGAGTTGCAAAAAAAAAGGGACTTAGGGACTTAGGTAGGGTTGAGGGCCCGTTCGACGTCAACGACCTTCTGGTAGGGAAGTTGCCGCAAGACATTAGGGTCGCACGGGCGTTCCCGATCGTCCAAGAATCGGAAGGGACTACCAAGGTCCGCAGAGGAGACGACTGGCTCCGCAGTTCACACAATGAGTGCGTGTGGGTGCAAGACACGCCGCCATATGCTGGTGCCCCTACCGTCGCATCTTTGGTCAGGAGGGCTTCGCGCAAGGAGGTGCCAGCAACGTCCGCAACGGACCATGAGTACGCGTACCGCATGTTTCCCGTCCGCAACCCGCGTGAGTGCGGAGTCCTCCTTCCTTGCCAAAAGGAGCAGGCCCTGTGGCTGCACCTTGCACTTCCATTCGGGTCTACTGGCTCGGTGTGGAGTTACGTTAGAATCGCAGATGCCTTGACTTTCGTGGCACTCACACTACTGATGCTCCCTACTGCCCATTACGTGGACGACTTCTTTCAGGTCGAGCCAACCTCAGTAGCCGAGTCAGGCTTTCAAGCGTTCCAACAGCTCAGCAGGCTGTTAGGTCTGCGAATGAAAGAATCGAAAGCTAAGCCGCCTTCGCAAGACCAGACACTTCTGGGAGTTAGGTGGCAGGTTTGCCCGCCTTTTCTCTTGGCTAGCCCGGGAGCACAACGCATTGCAAAGTTGTGTTCGCGCATTGCAGCCATCTTGCAGGCAGACACATGTTCGGTTGCCGAGGCGTCTAAACTTGCTGGTAAGTTGGGGTTCGTGACTTCTTGGGTTTTCGGTTCAGTTGGCAAGGTCCTCCTCAAGCCACTGCATCGGCTTCAGCACGCTCACAGTGCGAATCACAATAAGTTGTCTGCGCCGCTTCGCAGGTCACTTGAGCTTTTGTTACAGCTTCTACCCCAGCTTCGACCAGTCCGCATCCCCTTGCAGCTTTCAGCCCAGGGGCTCAAGTTCGCCATTGTGTATGCTGATGCATTCATCAACCTAGGTGGCATTTCGAGGTGCGCAAATAGATGGCTGGCAGACTCCCCGCCGCTAGAGGTCCTAAGAGACTCTTCCAACGGCATAGGAGTGTGCGTGATCACGCAGAGACGTCGGTTCGCTTTTCGCACTGAGGTACCGACCCACGTGTTGGCTAAGGCAGCATCCACTAAGGCTTTCATCTTTTGGCTGGAGGCAGTTGCACAATTGCTGGCGCTTGCGGCCCTGTACGAGGATAACCCTGACTTTGTGGTTTGCTTTGTAGACAACACGGCCGCGGAGCACGCGCTCAATAAAGGCCACACCAAAGACCCCGCGTTCGCATGGTTGATAGGAGCCTTTTGGGTCTGGGCCGCTGAGGCAGGATGCCTGCCGATGTTCCATCGAGTAACATCCGCAGCTAATCTGGCAGACGGCATATCACGTGGCGACTTGTCGCTCATGGAATCCTGCCAGTTCGCTCTGTGTGAGTACAAGCTCGACGATGTTTGGCAAATCCTGCTCCGGTTGCAGAGCCAGCCAGAGAACCTCGAGCAGTGGCAGTTCGCGGAAGTGGTTCGCTCCCTCAGCCGGGGCCTGCTTACCCCAACGTCTCAGTGACTCCACGCACCACAAGTGGGGAGGAGGCGCGCGGAGAGTGGGTCAGTGGAGCGCGCCTCCAGAGGAGGTTGAAGCTCCTGTTCACGTCTACGCATCTGACGCCACCTGAGACGAGCAGGTAGAGGAAAACATGTCCGTTGCTACGGTCGCTTTCTGTTCGCACTGGGCGCCCCGAAGCGTGTAGAGCGCATTGTCGGGTAGTGCACTTGTGCACGTAGTGACAATAGCACTAGGAGCTTCTCTTTGATTTCGATTCCGTTTGCTCGCGTAAGCCCGCCGCTGCTGAAGCAACGAGGCCCGAGTTTTGTGCGGCAGCTGAAAGTTCACTTACCCTCCTCACCCGCCCTGTCGAAGTTGTGTGGACGGGTCAGTGGAGCGCGCCTCCAGAGGAGATCCCCTTGACCCTGACGTCCTCAACCCTAGCCACCCTAGCCCCGAAGCCATGCAAGGGATTTGGAGTTTTGGTAGATCGGTGGCGGAAAGGTTCCCTCAGATGTGCGACCTCAGCATTGCTAATTCGGCCCTGGTGCCACCTCCGAGATTGTTTACCTCGACGAGGGTAGCACCCGTAAACTCCAAGGCCAACAGTAAATGTGAATACCCCACTCCTGAGGAAGAGAACGAGAAGAGGCGTTCAGACAGGCCCAGCCCTGAGAGGCTTGGGTACTTGAACCTTGTCTGGAATGGGAACTCGAACACATGGATTTTCAGGCGTCCTGCTTTTCTGAGCGTCAAACTAAGAAGCTCGGACTCCCTCCCCGCGGCCATTCATGTGAATTCAATGTGAATGGCCGTGGGAGGACTGTTATGTTACTTGTGGACATGGAGCGCCGTGAAGCTTCGTGAAGCACCAGTTGCACAGCACGATTGGAATTGCATTCGACATCCCAAAGCCTCCTGAATCCCGGCAGCGTTTCGCGAGCTCCGAGGACGGACGTGCTGTTTCGACAGCAGCTTGGCGTGGCATCTCTGGTGACTGTTTCGTAGAGCCTCAAAACCCCCATCACCCCGCTTCTAGTTTTCCCAAACTTCGGGGGAGGTTTTCCTTGACACACCCCTGCACTCTTGGGGGGCTCCTGAAGCTGCAGTCTGCTCGGACGTTTCCAGGGGTACCCGACTCCACGAGCTCTAGGCTTCACAGAGCTTTGGGGCTTCAGGGTGTCGGTTCGAGAGGTGGGTTCCATACCTTGGCAGCGGAAGTTCGGGTGTAGGGCGTCGGGTTGAGGCTCTGCAGTCCTCAGGCTGCTTCCCGAGTCCCAACCCCTGCAATTCCCAGCCCGAGGCCCCGAACCCTGAACCCTAAGCTACACCCGTCCAACCCCCAAGCCCTTTGTCAATCCCGGTGGGCCAAGGGAGGTCGAGAGTGGCGACCCCGCGCCCTCCGCCCTGGACAGCCTGGATTGAGCGGCGACGTGTTTCGACCATTTTCTTTAGTCGAAGTTAAGGTGGTCCAGGAGGCGGCCAAGAGAGCTTAACGGAGTATCTGGTGGACACCCCACTAGAGTAGGGTTTCCACTAGTGGTAGTGGGGTGTCCACTGGTGGGTAGTGGGGGTTCCACTGCTGGGCCACTAGTGCTGCGCGCCGAGTGGAGAACGAATCTGCCACAGGGCCTTCCCTGCCACATGATCCATCCCTCTAAGCTCTGGACTCTAGTGAACCCGAAACCACGTCAGTCCACATGTCCAAACTACAAAAAGGTCACGGATTAGCAGAGTGCGGGGAGGCTTCCGACCCGGCACCGAGAGTGATCTTGGCCGGTGCGAAAAACAGCTGCTGTGCACCAGCGTGTTGATTTCAGGTTTCGGGTGGGGCCCCCTGGGGGGGGGGGCGGGGTGGGGGGTCTGAAACAGGATTTACCCCCCACCCCCACCCCCCCCCCCTGCCCACCCCACCCCCCCCCCCACCCCCCACCCCCCCCCACCCCCCCCCCACCCCCTCCCCCCCCCCCCCCCCCCCCCCCACGCCCCCCTCCACCCGCCTGTGGGGTGGTTCTGGGTGGTTTTGTTTAGGTTGGGGTTTCGGGTTTGGGGTTGTAGGGGTAAGGGTTCATGCGTGGGGTTAGGGTTTCCTTCAAAGGGGGGGGGGGATAACATGGGGGCGGGGGCGGCGCAGAACGCACAGCGCACAACCATATATATATATATATATATAGGGGTTTTATAGGGGAATAAGATTAGGGGTCCCCTTTAAGCCCTTAATCTTCGCGGTTTTGGTATTTTGGTTCCCTAGATGCCCCAGATGTAGGGCCGCCGCCCAGGGCTCAGGGACCGTACGAGAACCGCGACATCTTCGCGTCTCTCGACATTGCTCCCGCCTTGGTGTTTTTCAGACTTTGCTACCTTAAGAAGTGTCGCCCTACGGCGCAGGACGCATACCTTTAGCACTCCTTTCTCTACGAAGCCTTCAGCCCTACAAGCCTTCAACCCCATAAACCTAAACCCTGTCCCAAAACCCTGGCACACTAAGCCCAAAGCTTCGAAACCGAAATAGTGACGATGAGGCTTGGACCTTGCTGCGCATCTTCCCACAGGCCCTGGGCCCTTCGGGCGTCGGAAATCTGGCCCCCACGGCTTCGGGGAGATTGAGAACTTGAAGGGGCTTCAGGGTCCTGGGGGGGCTGGGCTTTAGGGCTTGCGAGCAATGTTTGGGGCATCCTCTCAGCCTTCCTCCAACAGGCAAGCTGCAAGACTCAGCAGGGTGAGCCCGAACCCAAGACCCCAAACCGCAAGAGCTTCGAACACCACCACTGCCATCCATAGCACGAGTGCTCCCAGTATGACTCACTTGAGGGATTGTCCCGAGACCACCTGACCATTCTGACCATTCTGACCATTCTGACACAGGAGCTGCTGAAGAAGATCCCCCAGAAGCTGAAGGACGGGAATTCGACCTTTGTGGTTTCCCATCCTTGAGAGCAAGCCTGGGCCTAAACAGCAGAACAGCCCTGAAGCCAAGACAATGGCAACTGCTACTGGTATCAGTTGCACCAAGTGGTCAAATCGGTCAAAGCAGCAACTGAAACGCTGCGATACCGAGCTCTGATGGGCGAAGGCTTGCCAAAGAAGTGTCATGTAGCCTTGCGTTGAGGTGACGGAGACGCTGTTTGGTAGCGACTGGCGACTCATGCCACACGAGCCCTTGTCCAATGCGCTCCAGCAAGGGGTGCATGATTCCCCCCCCCCCCCCGGCCCTTAAAGACTCCACGCCGTTTAAGTGGCCCTCTAATCTGATCAAACCCTGTACACAATCCTAAGCCGTGTATTCAGGCCTTGATCTCGACTCTTGGTGTTTCGCCTGAATGCTGGAACAGTGTGGGAAGCATCCCCTGAACATCTGAGCCCGGCCCTCATGTCCAAAAGCCGTAAGCTTTGGGATCAACCCTTTACCTTACGAACTTCGGCAATGGCCCAAGGCCCGGCTCAAACGTGAGACAGAAACATCACATTCTATGTTATGTATACTGTATAAATATCAGGCACGAAAGTATAAATTGGCAGGACAAGTACTACGACCGCGAGAAGGAGATTCAGAAGGCCGTGCAGTCTCTGAAGTGAGTTGTAGGACGAATCAGTGCATCGATGCATCAGAGATGCTTCTGAGATGCATTTGGAAGTGGTCATGGGGGACGAGACAGGAGGAACCCCTGCAAACGAACGACAGCAGTGGCTGTATCTGCCTTTTGCATGTACTAAATTCCCCATTTGTTCCCCGCGTTTTAGAAGTTGAAGCAGATAGGTTTGTTTGTTGAGCTGGGTGCTGCTGAGACTTCAGCAGTCAGCGTGGGAGCCGACTGTGTTGATGGATTCGACTTACAGGCTCATGCAGCACAAGCCTCGCGAGCATGGCCGCTTGAGACAAAAAATTTGTAATTGTAAGCATTGCGCGTCGCCCGTTGCTACGAAGCCCGCCACCCCCGCCTGCACAGGGGCACAAAAGCCACATAAACATAAGGACCGTACAATTGGGAGATAAGGGGCATTCTGGAAAACAATGTTTTGTAAGATCCTGATTGTTATGTGGTTTAATGGTCCTCCATGCACAGCAGTGCATCATGCCTTTGGTGGTGACTTTTAGACAACCTGAACAACTGAATGCATGAATTCCTTGCAGCATTGGTTCCGTATCCGATAGACATGGAATGACATGGATCATGCGGGAATATCTCAATCTCAGGGGCCTAGACCAGCCGCAACCAGCCCCCCCACCTAACAGAGCTTCGGCAGCCCGCACCTCAAACCCTAGACCCAAACCTCAAAGCTCCTCAAACCCTCAGGGGAGAACCCCCTAAGGCCCTAAGGCCCTCGGAGTCCCGAACACCTTACCCTTACTTTTTTTCAGGCCCGACTTGTCGGGGGTTTTCACATGCAAAGAGCCATCAGAGCGTTTGCGAGTTGATGGGCGTTTGCACCTCCCGGAGATACAGGACGCGACCCTCGAAACCAAAGCTTCCCAAGCCGGAAACATGCACTGCACACTACAATATGGAGTGTACGATAAAGCAGAATATGCAGACATATGTATACATTTTTGCTTCCCACAGACGAAGCCTATCTTCGCAGGAGCCACAATGTTGTCGTCATCACGGACCCCAGGAGGGAAGGGTGAACTCCCGTAAGCCCGAAGCATCCTTAAGCCCTGTCGAATCTTGGGGGGCTGCTCTTTCAAGGCTTCAGGGTCAGATTGGGGGGATGCCGGCCCATGCTAACAGTTTCATGTGGTTTGGGGTTTCAGGGGCTAACAGTTTCACAGGGCTTTCGGCTTCTGGGATTGCGGGGTTCAGGGAGGCAAGGTCTCAGGGTAGACGAGGGGGTGATGTCGAACATTAGGAGAACATCTGCAGCCTAAAAAGGCGAACCTCTGCGCACAAGCAACCCGCGAACTCAGCTGAGTGCCTCGTTCGTGATACCGTGATGGCTTCCCCGCTTCTGACCTTCTGCCAGGTCGAGCCCAAAGCTTTAAAGCCCTGAGCGTCCCGAAACCCGGAACCCTAAAAGCCAGCACGCTGGATCTGAGCCTCGTGGGCATCGATGCAAGGATTGGAGAATCCTGAAGGGCCTAGCTAACGCCTGCAGCAGGTGAGTATGATAGGATACTACAGAAATTTGTGAAGTTAGCTTTAACGAAGCCTCGGCGCTACACCCTCAAGCTCGCAAGGCCCTGAAGTATTTGAGCAGGGGTCCCGCTCGCGAGGCGCTTAACGCGTGAGGGCAATGACGGGGATTTTCCTGCTCAGTTCCCGGAGTACTGGGCCAGGGCCACAGCGGTTCGTGGCTTTTGTCTTTGCGGGCTGGAGCCCGAAGCCCCAAACCCCAAACCCCCCACAAGGGCTCAGGTGCCGAGGGGGTGCAGTCTCATGTGCCTCAAGTGTAAACCCTAGGCCCTAAACCCTTAGCCCTACCGATGGTGGTTTGACTCTCAGGCTTCAGTGCGGGGTTCAGAGTTCTTTGAGGCCTTGAGCTGACTGTCTTCATGTCTTTTGACCTCAAGGATGAGGGCGTGTCGAATCCTAAAAGCCTTATGCCCCCAAGGCCCGACTTGAGCTTTTGGAATCGAGGTTTCTGGGTTGAGTGGGCGAAATTCGGACGAGAAATCCTCAGCCTTCAACCACCCCGGAAGGGTGGGAAGGCACCTCTTAGGTTTGGAGCCAGGGCTGCCAGAGGGCCAGAGGTTGAGTTTTTTGTTTTTGCTTTTTCCAAGTCTTCCCCATTTCCGAGTTTCCTTTCTTGCAAAAGGGGGTTCTATGATGACTGATAACTGTCATCAGCAAGGGGTTGTGACTCAGAAGCTTTAATCTAATGAAATCTTGCTGATCCGACATCGAGGTGACAGGCGACTGCCCGCAGCCCTTCCACAACATCGTCGAATGCGGAACTGAAGAGGTCCTTCATGTGCAGGACCGGTGGGAGGAAGCCCCCCACAGCAGCCCACAGACCCGAAGCAGTGGGAAATCTGCCTCGGGTATCTCTTGCGTGGTTGCTACATGTTGGGGGCACACCGTGCTCTTGACAAGCTGCACGCAAGCCTATAAGCATTGAGGATGTGTGGGTTGTTGCAGTAAGTTCTCCAAGACCCTCTTCGTAGCTTAAAAGACAAGCTTGGCATCCGGCATCGCCATCACGAGCCGAGACATCAACAGCGACTGTGCAGGAAATCTTGGACCGCACCATGTTCATGCCTGGTGAGGCTGCGACTGAGGGAGTACAGTTCTGAGAAGTTTGGGAGCCCCTGTAGACAGGCAAATATCTACAAGTTGATGCGCACTTTACCAATTTACACGTTTTGCTCGAGGCCGGCATTGTAACTTGTAGCGTTCAGGGATGAGGCGGGGGTGTATGTGAGAGTCTATGCAGGTTCCGCACAAGATGAAGATCAGCAAGCTTCTTCGGATAGAGGCGCGTGGGGGAGCGCAATTGAACCCCGGTACGGGGCGCGGAGGCGTCAAGAAGGAACCCCCTAAACTCAAAGCTTCCAGGATCAAAACTGCCCGACAACCCGCCAGATCCACAAAACCTTTCAACCACAGTGAAGCCGAACTGAAGGACTCCCGCATGTGGCACCAGTACGAGAGGCAAAGCACTTGGGGGATTAGGGCTCTGAGTTAGAGATGGTTGTGGGTTCAAGTGGTCCAGGGTTCTGCCATGTTCCGCTGTGCGGTTTCAAGCCTTGAGTCACTTCTGAGCACCTCGAACGCCTGAGTCTCTGCGTTAGCCGTGAAAAGCAGTGATCTGGTGCTGCACGAAGCTCAGACCCCTGAGCTCCAAGCTCTGCGTGGTCCAGGGATTAGGCATGCTTAGGCTGGAGGCTTGTGGAGTCGGGTTTGTAAGTTTGAAGTTTCGGGGCTTTCCGCGTTTAATTAGGGGTTCCAGGAGCCTGGGGCCAAAAAACCCCAGGAGCCCCAGAGTCCCCAGCTGTGCACCAGGAGCTGTGCATGCCTCTCCGAGGCTCGAACCCAAGAGGCGCTGTGGGAGATTGGACTTCAGGGCCTTCAGGGTTTTCGGATGTGCAAGGGTCGGTTTGGGGTCTAGGCTTGAGGCTGTAAGGTTAAGCAAGGAGCTTGTTGCTGTGCAACGCTGGGGCTCCTTGGCCTTCCCTCTTGTCAGGACGAGCCTGCGGATGACGCTTGCCAGCAGCTTTTCCAGGGCTTGTGGGATTTAGGGCTGAAGGGCTTCGGGTCTACGATCCAGAGCGACGGCACGCATCAGCCAGTCGACTACGCCTCATGGCTTCGTTTTCTGTGACTAAACTGACTAAAAACCGAAAACCCGATACCCTAGCACAAGCCTAATTAGCCCATGAAGTTGGACTCAGATCATCCGCACGCCGTTTTCTGGCACTCTGCAGCCGAAGCCGCTGACGTGGCATCTCGGAGTATGCAAAAGGCGGAGTTCAGGGCTTCAGGTTTGGCCCTCGGCTCCAGCAAGGCGCTTGATTGAGTTGGGAATGACCTTTTGTGCCCTTGCATGAGCTCGCTGGGGTTTGTTTGCACTTTTGCCCAGGCGCGTGGCGCCGGAGGAGCTGCGAAACCGGTTGCGCCTGGAGTGCAACGAGGCGCATGCCCGCTTTAGATGGCATGGTGCTTCGCGCTTGGGGTGTTAGCATTCAAGGCCTACAAGGTGCAGGGGCTCGAGGTTTCAAATCTTGTGGCGTTCTAACTAGGTGCAAGAGCTGCGGGAGTGCCTCGCATTGGCATAGATGTTGGTGGTCGTGTTTGCTGTCGTTCCGCACTTCGGACCTAATGGACTCTAAGTCAGTCGGTTTTCGGGGTTCAGGAGGCGGGGTGGGGGGGGAAGCTTGGCAAAGCAAGGAAGGAGCACCACCATTCACAGCCCTTCCTGGGTTTCAGGTAAAGCTCAGGTCTTTGAGTTGCTTTGTGCAATTATTCCCTTCTGGGGATGCTGTTATAGCAGGCTCATGTACAGAAGGCACCCCATATGTGAAAGGTAAGACAAGAAAAGCCAGGTCGGGTTTAAGGGCGGGTGAGGCTGCTGGGGGGTGGGCAGGACAGGGTCGGTTGGGTGGGGGGGGGGGGGGCGGGTTGGGGGGTTGGGGCAAAAGAATATGAATCACTTTAGCTTTGTGCTTTTTAAAGATTTGTCTTGGGCCACTTGCTTTCTGCTTTAGCGCTTTCGGTGGAACCGGAAACCCCAAACCCTAACCTTAAGCCTAAACCCGAAACCCCAAACCAGAAACCCTAAATCCTAAACCCTAAAAGGCTATGGCGCAGCCAGCAGCAACAACTAAATGAATCCCCCCCAAAACAAATCAAGCTGGACCCATGACGGGGAATTTGGTGTCCACCTCCTATGGTGGGGTTTGAATGCCCACTCCCCTTGATGCACCGTCTGCTCCCGGACAGTGGATTTACTGAATTTGCCCTCAAACCTTACCCCCATAGAACTGCCGCTTCGCACCTCTCCCTCCTCTCCCTTCCCCCTCTTCTTCCCCCTCTTCTTCCCCCTCTTCTTCCCCCTCCTCTTCCCCCTCCTCCTCGCCTCCTCGCCTCCTCGCCTCCTCGCCTCCTCGCCTCCTCGCCTCCTCGCCTCCTCACCTGTCTCTCTCTCTGCCTCTGCCTCTGTTTCTGTTCATGTCTCTGTCTCTGTTTCTGTAGGCATACCTGTGGCATGGAACTGACCGGAAGAGTGCGGAGAGCATCATCGGCGGCTTGCAGAGCAATGTTGCATCCCTGTCTCTGTTAAAGCCCCTGCCCCCAAAAAACCTTGAGAACGCCCGAAAAAGACCGAAATCTGAGACGCCGAAACTCCCCAACACCCCAAACCTATCGTTGTGTGCGTCCTTGGGAGCCTCTTGAAACTGTCGGGGTGAGCAGTCTTCAGCTTAGATTCTTAGACAGGTTTGCAGAGATTTATGGATGCGAGCCAGCCTGCAGTTCCTGACTTTACCCGTGTTCTTGCTCTCCATTGTGAAGTCAAAACACACCATCAACTTCGGACTGAGCGTTTCTACTATCGGTTCCAAACATCTCGTGGCACAGTCTGGACCAGGCGGTGTCTGGTTGTTATGTGGTTTTAGGGCAATTTGCCAAGGACATCACTTCGACATGAAGCGGGCAGGGTAACCTGGTCGCACCGTTGCCCGGGACTGCAAAATTTCCATGAACCATGGTCGAAGTTGGGCAAGACACCGGGATGGCTTGTTGTTTTTTTGTTTGTGTTTATCTCTCTCTCTCTCTCTCTTTCTCTCGCTCTCGCTCTCGCTCTCTCGCACCGAGCCGCCACCCGCACATAGCATTCATCCTGGCAGACCACGAAAATCCTCAAAGCCCAAACAAATCTAGCTAGGTGCGTGAATTGAAATTGACCCATGGTCCTCAAAGACCATTACACTCTAAGTCAGTTTCTGCATGAGTGCACTTCTGGCAAAGAGCCCGCTCACGCAGCAGAGCCTGACAAGCTCAAAAGACCCAAGACCGCACAGAAGAGACAAAGCCAAGGTCCGTCAATGCAAAGGCTTTGGGCAGAGGCACATCGAGAGATCTGAGGGCCCGAAGAGTCTGGAGTTGTGAGAACTTCCCTTAAAGCCTGAAGGCTTCTTTAAAAGACTGGGCACTTGAGAATGCAGAAGCCGGAGTGACCTCACAATTGCCACTTGTAAGACCGCCCCAAGTCCCGAAAGCGCTAAACCTTAGCGCAACTCTGAGATCCTCTGGCATGCTGCAATCCTCACCCTTACCACCTACAACTCAACAGAGGCAGACTGGGGAATTGGGGGCTTCAGGATTTAGAGACCTTTGGTGGTTAGTTCAACCACACGTCGCCATGTTATAATTGCCACACGGCCACAGTCAAGGCCAAGCAGAATCAAAGAATTCAAAGAACAGGTGCCTACTTTGCGGAGACGTCCTGCCTGGCCGACAAGTATGCTCCGCTGGGCGCTGACGGCCTTCACGTGACTTGGACGTGAGAAAATCTTTCAGCAAGAGCCGACAACGGGTAGTTGGGCTAGTTGGTTGCCTGATGCAGTCACCCAGCTCAAACACTTGCGCTCAGTCCATCCTCCTTGTCCGGGCTGCTTTGGGGCGTGTCTACGTCGAGACGCGGCGGCTCAGATGGGCATACGGCATTGGGCATAGAATGTGGAGAGGTCTAGCATCGACACCGGGGGTTGAGGTGTCAAGTCTAGTGCTGAGCTCGGACGGCAGCTCCCTTCAGGGGAATCGGTTCTGGCCTGAACTCTAAACCCACACCCGGGCCATTCCCTGGGCTGATGCTTTCTGGATGTGCCCCGTTGCATCTCGCAGCATTGACGTAACAGCTACAGCTTCAAGAAGATTCTAGAGTTCCAGCAAGGAATGCGCCCACTGCCCGCAAGTCCCACGGAACAGGTATACTAAGTGGCGTGGTGGCAGATTAAAGCGGATGGTGTCTGCCAAGAACGTGGTGAAGGAGGGCAAGTATGACAGCGTGCCTTGTTTGGGCAAACCCTCAGTCTCCCCAGTGTGTAAGATTTCAAAAGCCCCACAACGGGTGAAAGCTCAGCAGCTTGTGTAGACCGAGAGTTTCGAGGACGCTGCTTGTTGAAAGTAGTTCGGGGCTGTGGTGGGAGATCCTGCTTTAGGGTTTGGAACCCTGTCGTTCCTGATCTCATTGAAGTGGATGAAGCCCCCCAGGTGCTGGGGGATCGGAAGTACGCCTTCAACACGGACGCACGGGAGTACTGCGTTTCCAATACTAGCCAGCTCTACCCGGAGTACATGCGTCTCGGGAGGACAAGGGGAACCTCGGGGCTTAGTGAGACAAGACCCTCCACAAACCGGCAAGAACTTTCCAGAAGAACCCCCAATCCCCGGAACCTTCTGCCCCTGAGCCAAGCTGTTGTTCGTCCCAATATCCACACCATAAGGATCAGTATGAGGATCAGTGGATTTTTCAAGTTTAGGGTTTGGAGCGCCCTCAACCTTTTGGACTTTCAGCCTTGACGCGACGATGGCATCAACCAGATTGAGGGCTTCCTGCTTGGGTTTACTAGGCATGTGCTGGCAGGGTGCTTCGTTTTGAGGACTTTAGAACTTTTTGAACTCAGGGTTTGAGTTCAGTTGGGCATCCCAGCCAAACCTCATTGCTATGTGCTGAGAACCGCTTCTGATCTTAGGTTGCTTTATTCGCGGGAAGACGATCCTGCCGCTTTGCCTGGGCAACCGGTCAGCTGAAAGTTTGCACTTAAGTTATTGAGGAGCTTCGTGTCGCCATCAATGTCACCAGACGGAATGGATGCTCTGGACAGTAGCAGGTTATTGAAGGATATATGTCAGCACATTGCAAAACCTCACCTACCCCAGCAGTTGCAAACCAGAGCATCCGCTCAAGAGTTCTTGGCCACGCCGGGGAACTTCCAAGAAGTTTGCGCTCGCACGTGCCGCCAGTGGCGTGGAACGTACTGGCTTCGCCTCAGTCGAGAGCACCGGTGGATGTGAAAGTATGGCCTGGAGCGAGCCCGATGACCGCAACTCTGAGCCCAAGCCCCCAGACCTCAGTTACTAGTTCTGGGCATACTGCTGAGAACCTCCGCCCCTGCCTCTCGACTCTGGCAAGCAGGGAACCCAGGAAGTGCCTGCACGACGAAGTCAATGGCCAGAGCCGTTCTGCCAGTTGTGACAAGCAGGGCCACCCATGTGGCCCATGATGGCTTACTAGTGACCTGAATACTGAAAGCTAGCCGCAGACCCCCCCAGGTCTCAAAGCAAAAGCACCATGTTGGAGATGCGACTTGCAGGGTGTTTCACCCGGGCTATCCTCTGACGAGGGATGCTTAGAATATGTGTCTGGATGGCCAAATGACATGAGTGGCGATTCAGCCGTTTGCATTTTGAAACCCCAACCCGCTTCGCAAACCAGTCACGGTGCGACAAAAAAGTGCGGCTCACGTCAATCTTTAGCCATGAGACTTTCGGCCCCCATTGAAGGATTCAGTTGACACATGTCTTGACCCTATGCGATCTGTTGGGTGTTGACCTCTTGCCCCCGGCCTCTCAGCTCTGGACCCGAAAACCGTGAAACCACGAAGTCCTGTTCACGGATCGTTGTAAGTGATTGCAGAGCCACGACCCGTGTGTAGCACACCATCACCATCAGACATGCTTTGGTAGGGTAGTTCAGCGTATCAGTTGTCAGGCAATCTGGAACGCCGAGCCCCCGACCTGGAACTCAGGGGTCCCCCTCCCGCCCCTGCCCCCGGAGACTGTGATGCAGAGCCGGGGTTTTGGCCTCGATGTGGCGAGAGGTGTTGGAGGCCGATCTCAAATCCTTGAGGGAGGCAGGTTTAGGGTTGAGAGGGTTTAGAGAGGGTCTAGATAAGGGTTTTTTTGTTGTGCTGAGAGGGTTTAAGATCTGAAGACATGGGCTTTCAACGCCTGAGCCCCCTCCTTGCACTGCCAAACGTCACTTTTGACCCGGAAAGCCCCAGACAGTTTGGGCTCAAGCCTTCATCCAAGAGCCCGCGTGCGACACTCGCGGAGATGCAGAGCCTGGGCCTAATCATTCGCAAGACCTTCCTGGAACGAGAGGAGGATTATTCTGAAGAAAGTAGGAAGCGCGAGCGGTCCTGGCGTGTGGAGACCGCCCGATACACGACAAAAGTGGCCGCTTCTCCGGCAGCCTCTTCGGCACGATCCTCTCCAATGCCATCCCTCTCCAATGCCATCCTCTGGAGCTTCGGCGGCCTTCAGCGGCTCCGAAGCGCCGCAAGGCCCTGGGGCCCTCATTCCGAAGAACACGTGGACAAGTCTGTGCACGACTGGTTGCAGGAGTACAAAGCGCTCCTGGCTGCCTGGCACCCCGACAGAAACAGGGGCCGCGAGGACTGCTTCCGTTCTGTGTTGGATCAAAGAAGTTCTACCATGAGCCCGAACCCCCACCTGGATCCATACTTTAAACATGAACACTTCCACACTTGAGGGCCGAGAGGGTGTCAGCTCACGCCCGCCTCTACACCCTGAACCCCGCTCACCAAAACACCTGGAACCCTTGTATACACCCCGACCCAAAACTACAAGCCATAGACATCCTGAAGACTCAAGGATGGCGACGAATTCTTATCCTGCGATGAAGGACATGGGGGTTTCAAGGGTCAGGTCACGGAGCTTGCGCGCGGTGTCAGCGTCTTTCGCATTAGTTACTACAGTGTGCCGGTGTTCGTGCTGGAAGCAAAGGGGTCACAGGCGGCCCGAAGCCCTGAGCCACAGTCCTTCATATTGAAGGTCGAAAGCTGCCCGGCTAAAGGACACAACAGGTCTGGCAAGTTTCGTTCGAGTCCTAAGACTCTGTGGCTCCATGGCTCCAGGCTCTTGGTGCAGTTTAGGACAGCCAGGTTTTCTAGCCAAATATGAATTTCAGGGAGTTCGTATGGAACGCAGGCACCAGGGCTCTGCTCAAACATGCTCAATCTAAATCACTATGTCATTGGCCACGCGTCCTTGCAAGCGAAAGAAGGCATGCGAACTGTCAGCCCCGAATCTGAAATTCCGCGCCTCAAGATCCCGCGCCTCACGTTTTTTTGTGGGCCACTGTGCAAGACACTTAAGCCCTTTACAACTCCTGGCTCGGGCTACGCAGAACTTTAGGGTGTAGGGTCTCGGGTTTCGGGTTTAAGGGGCCCCGCAAAGTGTCTCCCTGAAACCGGAAACCCGAGAAGGCTGCTCGCTCCCGACCTAGCAGATGCTAAACCCTAAACCGTATGAACCCTAGGCCAGAGGCCTTCCTTGCCTGTTTCACCCTTATTTGCAGCAAGTTGTAGTGCATCCAGTCGGATTCTTCGCCTGGGAAAGTGCAAGTGATGAATGAAAGAAAGCCTTTTGTGCTCGATTTTTCCCTCTATATGTCTTGGTGCGTTTGTAATGAAAGACATTGAAGAATCTCGTGTAAAAGCAACAAAGGTGACAGTAGCGAAACGTCAGCCCAGGACACCAAGTCCTACCAGCACGAGCAGTAGCAGCAATAGCAAGAGCATCAAACGTAAAGACCCTGATGCCGACACAGATGGCGTCAGTGACTTAGTGATGATGGAGATACGCGAAGACAACGATGATAACGATGATAGTACCGCGTGGCGGAGGATCAGAATGAGGACAGTATGGGTCCGATCAAGATGAGGCGGAGTGGGCGCTTTAAGGATTCTGACGGGACGGGTTGAGGACTGTGGCTGATATCTGGCTGATTGGGGCTTTGAGCTTGGCTTGGATGCTTGGTGCTAAGAGGCCCGCCCTCACACCACTCCCAGCCAGAAAGCCCTCAACAACCCCGACACCTTCAACCCTTGCGCTGAGCTGTGGATGGCTTGGATGCGCGAGGCCTTTTGGCCGTGCAACTGAAGCTGTCACGGGTCCAGGCTGTTTCGGGTAATTTTCGTGTAGGTGTAGCACGTAAAAATTCATTTTTTTCGTCATCCTATGAGCCATGGGAGGGGATCTCAATTTTCAGACAACAGTGGACCTGTGACGACTCCGAAGTGCCTGCCCCATAAGACCGCGCGCTTCGAAATTCACATGAAACCCAGGCAGACATCCAAACATGGAGCGAGCGGCCGCAGAGAAGCAGGGGCGACGGTTGCCCTCAACGTCCTCGTCCGAGATCTCAATCTCGACCCCGTCCGTCAGGATGACAGGCGCATTGAGGTGATCGCCAACGGCCTGCCTCTGTGGGGGGGTGCCCAGGTCGCGGTTGACACCACCCTGGTCTTTCAAAAACCCTAAAAAGCCCTAAAAAACCCTAAAAAACCCTAAAAAACCCTAAAAAACCCTAAAAAAACCTTAAAAAACCCTAAAAAACCCTAAAAACCCTAAAAAACCCTACAAACCTTAAAAGACCCTAAAAAACCCTAAAAACCCTAAAAAACCCTAAAAAACCCTAAAAAACCCTAAAAAACCCAAGACAGCTCTCCAGAGAGCAAATGACCACAGACGCAAAGAGATTGTCCACTTGCTTTCTTCAACGTTTGGATGAAGCTGCTCGAACGCTCGTGTTTGCAACTCGTGCCTGGACCTCTCATCGCAAAGTGAGGTCGCCTCCTTAAAGGGTTTAGGGTTTAGGGTTTTGGGACACGGACTTGACAATACTTGCTCATGGCTGCTAGCCATCGGGCTCGCGCATCATGGTGGCCGCTTGGAGAACCTGTTGAAAATCATTTTTGCATCACCCGCATCTTTGCTTGAAGCCGCCAAGTGCTCAAGGCATGGTGGGCATGAAATCCAAAATGCAAAGCCGGCACCGTCAAACAAGCCTCGCAGACACGTGTGGTAGACTCAACAGGCCGTGGGCAGAATTATGTCAGTTGCATCTTGAAGGTGAAGCCCTGGAAGTGAATCCAAGCAGCTTGTTTCTGGTAACCTCAGACCCCCATGTCCGGTGGTCACATGGCACCCTTGGTCCGATCCCTGGAGAGCCTAAGACCTTTCCCTGTGTGATTGCAGGTTTTGCGGTGAAAGCATAAAGCATGTAGGTCAGACAGTTGTTGACTTGGGTTTTGCGCGTTTTGCGATTTGTGGCCCAAATTTTCTTACGTCCAGGTTGCGGCCCGCACGTCTGAGTCCGGCAAGCGGCAAGAGGCTCCGATCCGCGAGCTTGAACCACTCGGAGCGGTGGTGTCGGGCGGGGCAAAAGCAAATGGCAAGGTTTCTGGGCGGTGCTATAAGCAAATGGAAGACAAGCTGATCGGTGCAACAAGCAATGTTCTGGGTGATTTCTGGATGGTGCAAAAAGCCAAGGCCTGGAGCTGCAAGCAACTGGTAGGCGCTGCATATTAAGCAAATGGAAAACATTGCTGGTCAGTGCAACAAGCAAGGTTCGTGGTGGTGCAATACGAAATGATGGGAGTTTCTCGGTAGCAAATCGCACCGCCCAGAACCCCTTTCATGTCTTTTAGCGCCGCCAAGAACATGGCCTGTTGCACCGCCCTGTGCCCAATTCAATGGCTCTACACGTTGTTGCAGCGCTGCACGAAATCAAGCACAAAGAAAGAAGACCGAAACCAATAGAAAGTGCTTGTTGTCAGCTAGAGCCCATCTATTATAGTCATCACTTCATTGCACACAATGACCTCTCGCACAGATGGGGGAGATCTGATTGATGTCATCAGTGACACTTGGTACCATTGTACGGTGGTCGTTCCATGCAACCTCTCGAGGGCGGTGCTTTTGAGGAGCGCAGGATAGCTCAA